GCAGAAGCAGAAGGACCCAGGTAGTTTCACTATCCCGTGCTCTATAGGTAAATTGCATGTAGAGAGGTCCTTGGCAGATCTAGGTGCTAGTATCAATGTAATACCGTATAAATTGTTCAAGAAACTAGGCCTAGGTGAACCCAGTGCAACTAGGATGAGTATTCAACTAGCTGACCGATCTATAATTCACCCTAGGGGCATAGTGGAAGACCTTCTGGTTAAGGTTGGCAGATTCTTTTATCCTGTGAATTTTGTTGTTTTGGACATCAATGAGGACACAGAAGTGCCACTTATACTGGGAAGGCCTTTCCTGGCCACCGCCAAGGCCCTTATAGATGTGCATGATGGGACCTTAGTCTTGAGGGATGGAGAGGAGCAAATATCGTTTTCCATTGCTAATACTCATCCTGCTTCATCACCATTGCATGTTGTTTCTCACCAGGAGCACGAGTCTGTCGTGTATCCGTCTGTGCTTCCTATTTTGCAGGATTCCCCTCCCATACCTTTGCCGCCACTCCCGTCCACGCCGTTACCAAAGGAAAAGATCAGGGAGGAGTGGCGGCCGAAACTGCAAGTAACTAAGCCTGCTCACAAGGAAGCCGGAAAGCACTATGAGCGGGTCCCGCTTCCTGAGCCTCGACCACCCTGGCCATCCGAGTATTCACTCGCTTGCATCCTGCCGGATAGCCAAGTCGAGTTGACGAGTGCTGGTGGCCACATTCGTGGTGTGCATGGCCACCATCTGAAGCTGTACCTCAAGAGCGATGTGGATCCACTCTTGAAGGCACCCGCGCCTACACCTCTCTAAGCATCCACCTACTAGCGTCCAGCTAAAAGACGGTAAAGAAGCTCTTGTGGGGAGGCAACCCCACCTAGGTTTGCATTTTCTTACCCTTTTTCCTTTTGATTTTTTGTGTTTTTGAGTCTTGAGGTGTTGTCCAAGAGTCGTATGTCGATTTTGAGTGAAAACAGGTCAATTTCGGAGTTCTGGCAGCCCACACGGCCAGCCCTAAAAGTCACACGGCCGTGTGGAAATGGGTTTTTGCCGTGTGGAGGCCATGGAAATTTCACACGGGCAAGAGGGGTCCCTCACACTGCCGTGTGGATTGGCCCCCTGCCCGTGTGAAGCCTCGACAATTTCCACACGGCCAGTTGTGCTTTTGACACGGCCGTGTGGAATTCCTCGGCCTGGCCATGTCGGCCCACACGGGCACTTGTGCACCTCACACGGCCGTGTGAGTTTGCCCATGTGGCCGAGCCCAGCCTTTAAAAATCGGCCGACACGGCCGCGTGGTCAGAAATTTCAAACGCCCTCGCCGGAATCCTCTCCCCCTGGCTGGAAAACCGCGACCTTTCGCCCTCTTTGGCTATTTTCGGCGATTTTTGGTCGATTTTTCACCAAACCACCTCCACACCCATCCTTTTCTCCCCATTTTCGGCCTATCCCTCGACTTTGAGGCGATTTGGACTGATTTTGAGTCGCCGGAGGCGATTTCCGGTGAGACTCCGGCGAGGCTCCAATGAGCACTTCCGGGTAGATTTTGGCCTCTTCGTCGCTTCCATTTCCTTCCCCTCATCATCCCCTACACCTCTACTTGTGTCTCCAGGTTTGATTTTGATCTTAACCTTGTGATTTATGGAGAATTGGGTGTTAGGGTGTATGTTTAGAGAACAACTTTGAATCATGTGAATTGTGTGCAATTGATTGAGGGGATGGCTTGGTTTTTGTGTGAATTGTGTTGGGCAATGTCCCCCATGCTTGTTTGAGCCCTTGTGTGCAAGAAATTTGTCACTTCTATGCTTAACTTAATAGTGCACACAAGGTGTTCGATGAAATGCCTGTTTTTCGTGCCATGTTGTGGGCGCCGGTTGGGGCCCTTAATGATGTGCTTTGAGGGTGTGTTTGCTATGGATATGAACCTTGAGTTGCCTACTTTTTCATGGATGTGCACCCCCACCCCGATTATGCTTGTTTGATCGAGTTTTTGACCCCCCGAACTATGGATGAAACCATGGTTCGGCTGTTTTCTGTTCTTAAGTGTGGGGGTGTGATTAACCTTTCCTTTGGCTCTTTTGGTTCCACTTTGGGTTGTTCTTTTGCAGGATCATGATGAAACCCGACCTCAAGTACCCGTTTATTCGGGATTTGAATAGGGGCCCCCACCAGGATGGTTTTAAGAGCGTCCTGGCCTGCTCGTTTGGGCAGCATCATTGCTGGTCCAGGCGGGAATTTGAGAAGCTGCACTGCTACGAGCACTTCTCCGCCATTGTCACCAACCGCCCCTGGCGCCGTCTACTATGAATTCGCGAGAAGGTTTACCACGAGCTCGTGCTTGAGTTCTATATGACCTTCAAGCACGAAGAGACGGAGGATTGGGCGGACGGTGAAGCCGTTAAGTTCAGGCTCGGCGGTGCACCCCGCTCCATGAGCTACCACGACTTGGCGACCGCCCTCGGCCTCGGCCTGGCCGATGATAGGGACTACGTCACCGAGCTCACCAAGCCAGAGGGGGTGAACTTCAAGACACTGTACACCCGCCTCGCTCGGCCAGGCCAGCGTCCCTTCGTCGCGGGGAGGACGAAGGCCAGCACCCTGCAGCTAGACAACCGCATTCTCCACCACTTGCTGGCAAAGTCCTACACTCCAGCTGCGGACAGTGTCAGCGCCATCACCAAGAGAGCCATGTACTTCATCCAGTCCATCCGCCAGGGGGATCATCTTCTCCACTTGGGTTCTGTGGCAGCAAGAACCTTCGACAAGAGTGCTTCAGAGCTGAAGAGCCTCCTTTGCACTCCCCTCATCACCCGCCTGGCCACCTACTTCCAGATATCACTGCAAGGGTGCACAGAGCAGGGGGGACACCAGTGTCTTTGGCGAATATACGATCCAGCACATGCACCTGCTTCGAGAAGAGCGAGGAGTCAAGTGGATCGAGGGGTTTCCTCAATCTCAGATCCCAGCGGAGGACCAGCCGGAGGTTCCCGAGGATGCGGCTGATGAGGATGTCCACCCTGAGGATGTGGATGACACTACTGCCCCCCGCCCCACCACCTTCGAGTACGGGGGTAGTAGTTCCACTTTCCCCGGCCAGGACTACTTCACTCATCAGTTCGAGCAGCTGCGTCTCCAGAATCAGCAGCTCTTCGACCATCAGCTCCAGTTCCAGCAGCAGTATTCGGCTCACCATGCCGAGTACCAGACCTGGATGGCTGCTTATGATGAACGTCTTGATCGGATGGAGACCCAGCAGGGGGTGACCCTGGCTCGCATCAAGAGGAAGCAGGCCCGATCTCGGCGTATGCAGGAGGTCCAGCAGCACCTACTCCAGCTACTACCGGGCGAGCAGCCAGTCTGTAGGACTCCCTGGGAGGACTCTCCACTTCCACCTCCACCAGCTGATGATGATGATGCCTTCATGAACGACATCGATCTGGACAACCTTGGCGACGAGTAGGCTGTACTCGTCGCCCCTCAGAGTGTGTTTTTGTTTTAGACTTTTTATGTTTGCTCCATGTGTTTGAGGAGCTTGAACTGAGTCTGTCGTTTGTTTTTGTACTTTTGGTTTTCTTTTGTGGATTGTCATTTGTGTGGCCATCTAGGCCAACTCTGATCCCTAACGCACAGTGTTCTAGTGTGTTCTTGTTATTTCCTTCGTGCAGAACTGCCCGTTCGTTCCATATGTTCCCCGGTGACTGGTCAACTTCCAGTCTCCCACAGTATTTCAATCCGGTAACATCGTTCCCCTTCTCTCTCCCTATGCTCCATTGAGGGTAATGTCGTGCTTAAGTGTGGGGGGTGCTTTGTATCGGTTGGAATCTATATACGTGTGCTTGAAGCCTAGTCCGCTATCCAAATCTCGAGATTTGAGGGCTCCAAGTACGGCTGTTTGATCATATTGGCACTGTGTTTTGATTGGTGAATTAAATGGTTTTTGGATTAATGCATGACAACTGGATGGTGACTAGGCCAACCTATAACGATGACTGAGACGTGCGGTAGAGTTGTGTAGGGGTTCAGTTTTTCAACTGTTTACTTACCAATTGTGACTTGGATGGATCACTTTTTCTTGACAGTCGTTTATGCATCTAGTTCAGGGGATCAGAATGAGAGATAGAGCATATAGGTAGCCATGTGAGATTTGAGCCTGCTCGTTTCGTTCTTGTGCGATAGTTCCCTCTTCCATGATGTGTAGCATTCACGTTGTCATTAGCTAAGATGATGGAGGCATAGGATTAGCCCACGACCAAATTGACTGTCCTGGTGTGTCATACCCCCTAGTCAGCCCCTTTGAGCCGTGTGTTATCCTTTCTTTCGGTTTGCAATGAAAAATCACCCTTTTGCATCTCTTAGAAGGTTCCACAGAGTGGTTTTTTTTTTTTGCATGTTCTCTGCTGTTTCTGCTAAATATAATGTGAGAGTTGGAGGTAGTTCTTAAAAAGTTAGGCAGGTGTTTGAAAAATGTGCAGAGGTGGTGGTTCTCTTAAGAAATGAAAAAAAAAACAAAGAAAAAATGAAAGCAAAAGAGAGCCACCACCAAAAATCTAAATAGTGCCCATTAAGTAGTGTTTCTTAGCAGTCTGGTTTAGAAATACTAACATTTATGTGACCTCCTTCGCTCTTGTGCTATGAAGAATTTGAGTAATGCAGAATAGCATAAAGAAAGTTATTGGTTTGATTGACTGTGAGTTGGTTGGGTTTGGAAATGTGGAACCTTGTGCTATGAATACTTCCACCACCTAAAAGGCCTTTTCCCCATGTCCAAGACCCTAGCCAGTCATTTGAACCTGTGTCTAAGACCTCCGAATTAGTTAGTGATGACAACCATTTATGTGAAACTCTAACATTTAGAGGTCGCCGTCATGGTGAAGAGATGTTAGGGATTGAGAGAATAAGTATGCACATTTTTCGCATCAAATTGTCCTGACCCCACTGGTCGAGAGTGAGCGATTCATTTCCTTGTTCGTTACACTCTTTACCCCGGTGAGGACCTAGATGACTCGGTCTTGATTCTGATCTCTTGAGTTTTATGCATGAGGTGACTGTCTCGAGTAAGTGGTTGAGTCAAGTCTATGTTGGTTGATGAACAGAAGGGAGACTCCTCCTTTACTCGATCTTGCTGCACTCGAATGTCTTCTGTGGTGGTTGTCCAGGTTGCTATTGAAGTTGTTTATGTGTTGATGTTTGAAAGCCAGTATGATTCACGTGTTTTGTGCCTATATGATTTGTCCCCAATGTTGGTATGATTGAAGTATGTGAGCTTACCTTGTGTCTGACTTTGTTTGCTTGGGGACAAGCAAACGGTTAAGTGTGGGGAAGTTTGATAGACCGTTAATTGCACATGTTTTTACCCCCATTCTGGAGCCGTTTGAGATGTTGATTCTCGTTTTTTAGGCCGATTTCACGCTAGGTTGTTTTTGTTTGTGATATTTCCGGTCCTAGTACGTGAATGAAGGTTTGGGAGCGAGTTTGGGGTCGATTGGACGAAGATCGGACGTGTAGCGAGTCGCTGAGGAAGCCACACCGGGCACTCCTAAAACCCAACGGCCGTGTAAGGAACCAATGTGGCCGTGTGGGATTTAGTGAGGCTTCACACGGGCATGCTGAAGATTCCATACGGCCGTGTGTCCCTGGCCGTGTAGGTAGCCTGAAGTCCATTTATTTGAAATGCCGCATTTTGGAACTCACACGGGCAGCTGGGTGAGCCACACGGCTGGGTGAGCCACACGGCCGTGTGGCCTGCCCGTGTGTGTCGGGAATTCTGGTTTTAACCCAATTTCGAGCCACAAGTGAGGGGATCGACTTTTCAGAGCAAAAAGAGAGCCCTAGAGAGAGAAAGTGCGAAGAACACACCCTAGAAGCAATCTTGGAGCTGGGTTTCATCAAATCGAGCTTGGAGATCATCATAGGAGTGAAAATCATCATCCCAGAGCATATTCTTCCCATTTTATGAGTATGACTGCTTTGTATTTTGTTTCTCTCTCTCTCTCTCTCTCTATGGAGTAGACCCTTCTCTCACTTGGGTATGAAGAACCCTAGTTCCATGTGTTAGGGATCATGATTGTAATGACTTGGGATTGCTATACTGTTTGGTTTTAATCGAATGATGCATGTTTCATTGAATAAATTGAATTCTGATCAGCTTTTCTTGATTTCTGCTGCAACCTGAGATAGATAGAATCTTATTAGGTTGTGAGAGCTTCTTCATTCGATAGTAGTGGATTGGCTATACGAGAGTTAGTCAGTCTACTGCTTTGTACTTGAATCCAATTCCAGTAGTGGAGTTCTGTGCTTATTGCTTCAGCTTTCCATCCCGGTGAAGACTAGTCGTCTGCCGGGTAGTTAGACTGAGAGGGCTTGGTCAGCTTAAGAGATTCCAAGCTACTGTCGGATCTTCCGCAGTTTAATCAACAGTAAATCAACCCACGATAATTACAACTGAGACCTAACTAAGGAGCTAGGGGGACTCATTCCCGAGTGACTCTTCCTTTGCTTCAGAAAACCGAACCAATTTCTGCTTTCTTACTGCTTTTAGTTAAAACAACAATCAATCGACTTAGTTGGCTAGATAATAGATAATCACGGAGTAGGCAGTAGATCTAGACCCCGGGTTATTAATTAGAACTTGCCACTATTTTGCATTTCCGGAGTGCAATTACACTTGGTCGCAGTTTGGTGTTATGTCGTAGCGTGTCAAAAAGACTTTAGAAATCAAAGTGAAACAAAGAAGATAAAAGTCAATTAAAAACGTAGGAAAAATAAAAATCTATTAATATCACTGATTAGATCTAGCCCCACTAAAATCAAGAGCCCATGACTACTTATCCATGGTTTGTAGATTGCACCCTATCTAGGACCAGACACATAGGTTTTAAAACATAACCCGACCGCAAACCGAGTTTTCTATATTCTGATTGGCCTATAACCCGATTGGCCCTAAATCGATTAAGGTCATAACCCGACTACCCATGTCCCGAATAACCCGAATCCAATTGACCCATAACTGGATTGAACCCGTAATCCGACTAACCAGAACCCTATTGACTCGTAATCCGACTGCTCCACAAACTATAAAATAAAGTTCATATGCTATTTCAATTAATTGATTAGCATTGTTAAAAAAGGATTAATATACAATTATCTAATACTCTCTAGTAGTTTTGCAACATGTTTCCTCAACCATCAAATTATTGACACTCCAGACTTTAATTTATGATATTAGCTAGTGTATGCTAATGTTAGGACCTTTTGAATCCAAAATAATTTATGACCTACTTTTCATATTGTTTTTCTAAAGTTTGAAAATAATTTTTTTTTTTACTCTTTGTAGACCAATATTTGTTAGCTACCTCCAAAGTTTCTTAGAATATATACTGCATATCACTGATTAGATCTAGTCCCACTAAAATCAAGAGATCATGACTACTTATCCATGGTTTGCAGTTTGCACCCTATATAAGACCAGATACATAGGTCTCAAAACATAACTCGATCGCAAATCGAGTTGAATATATTCCGATTGGACTTTTCTACGGTGACATGCATGTCACGCTGACATGCACTTTTCAGTCAACCTCATATAGGATTAGGTCGACCTAATCTGTTGTTTCGGTGTAAAAACAGTTTCATGGTGCCTACTTTGGAGATCCATATCTTACAATTGGCTATATGGAAATTGGAGATTAATGGCTTGTTTTGAAGATGAATTGTCCCTATACACATTAAAGTACTTGGAAGCTCGATAGGAAGTCCAGAATACCATTTTTGAACCTGATCAACAGGCTATGCCAAAACTGGAAAACTGCCTGAAAATGGCCAAGTCTGGGAACGTGTTTGTGAAGCCTACTTTGGAGCTCAATTTGAGAAGCATGGATGCAATTCGAGTCCAGGGGCCTCTACCAAGTTAAATTAGGTATGTTTGTCTACAAAGGCAATACATTGGTTGAAAGATTGGATATCTTTAAGGCTTAAAAAAAAGGCTCGAAGTTGCTACAAAGGTTGTTTTTCTGGCAGCTTGCTTGTGCTCGAAGTCTCCCAGAAAACAGCCTTTGTAGCAACTTCGACCCTTTTGTTTGAAGCATTACAGATACCCAATCTTTCATCCAATACCTTGAATTTGTATAAAAACATACCTGATTTAATGTGGTAGAGGCCCCTGGACTAGACTCGCATTCATGCTTCTCGAATTGAGCTTCAAAGTAGGTTTCACAAACACGTTTCCAGACTTAGCCATCTTCAGGCAGTTTCCCAGTTTTGGCATAGCCTTTCGATCAGGTTCGAAAATGGTCTTCTGGACTTCCCATCAAGCTCTTAATCACTTTAATATGTCGAGGGACAATCCATTTTCAAAACAAGTCATTAATCTTCAATTTTCATTTAGCCAATTGTAAGATATGAATGTCCAAAGTAGGCACCATGAAACTATTTTTACACTAACACAACAGATTAGTTCGACCGAATTCTAAATGAGGTCGACCTAATCCTAACTGAGGTCGACCGAAAAGTGCAAGTCACTGTGACATGCACGTCACCGTAGGCACACCCTTATCTTTAATGTTGAACAGTTTGTATGGATGGTTTTCTTCTATGCTCTAGATTGGTGTTTTTTGTTTGGATAATTTGTATAGAAGAATGATGTTAGACTTTTATATTGACTAGAACTTGTTATTATAAATTTTTCACCACATAACCCATGAATATCTATTTTATTGGTGGTTATACCCGTTCAAACCCAAACCCAACCTGACTCATTGCCATCATTTCCTCCTCGGCGGATATTTGTTCGGGCTTTATTATTTCTTCATTTCTTCCCATTCACTGCAGATTGATCCAACTGTTCCAAACTTTTACATTTTGGATTTTTCCTTGTAAAATGAATTACCATGTAAAATTTATTGTCAATTGAAATCTTCTGTTTGGTATGTCATATTCAAATCTTTAGAAATGAAATGAATTGTCGTGTAGAATTCATTGTCAAATGAATTCCTTTGTTTGGTATGTCATGTTTATAAGTAATTTAGTTAATAAAAGATATAATTATGTCATTCTATAACAATTAGTAAATACTTGTGGAATTCATTTGGAAATTCTTTCTCAATTCCTCGGAATTGCTATAAGTAGTTCCAATTCCATAGAATTAAAAATTTAGAATTGAGAATGAATTTTTTTAAATACCGAACACACAAAATATTCATTTCAAAATGAATTGTTTAAAACTTATGGAATTCATTTATACCAAACGGTATGTTAATTAACTTTTGCTTAATCCATCAAACTTTATTTGCATTACTTGTATATCCCCATGATTCGCATGCTTGAACAGGATGCAATGCTTTAACTAGCTTGGAACCGTACAGCATGATCGATCCAAACTATAGTAACCAACTAAAAGAAACCAGATTTGTGTGCCCCAATAATAGGTTCGCTTGGTTTAATTTTTTGATTAGCCGGATAATCGATTACCAATTATCAAACCTAGCTAGTTGGCACAGTGCAGAAAGCGTTTACATTTAGGGAATGTTCCAAACATTAGTAATTTTATGAAAAAATAAAACTGAAGGGGAAAAAGGTGAGAATTAAAAATGAAACGATTAATAGAGCAAAATGCGATTGTATTTATTCCTTAGATAAATGACCATATATGAGATATGAAGGAAACTGCTTATTTATCTATTTTAGAGGTCGGTCAGTTGCCATGACCGTGTTTCCAGTCGCAACATAATTGAATATTGTATTTACAACATTCACTAAGGACTCCATAATCGAGTGCGGGAGAGGTTGGGTGGGTCACATGTGACGGTTTGATGATATCATCAGTTGGAACTTCTCTCGTAGCACTGCAAATACCACTAACCACAACTGCAATGACCAAGAAAACACAAATGAAATGAACAACACTTCTTAGCAAATTTGTTGAAGCCATATTGTATTTCCTGTCAGAGAAAAAGTAATGTTATCTCAACTCTTCTTTTGCTTCTTTCTTTCTTGGTTGTGACTTTTAGACGAAAGAACTAATCTGGTATATATAGAGACAGAGCCACGACCTCATTCGGTTAATCAATAAGAAAATCAAATCTGAAAATACATACATATAAGGAAAAAAATTTATTACATGAAAGAATGGAATATTCATAAATATATATTAGATAATGCATTTATTGTTTTCCCTTTTAATAAACAAGCTTTAAATTAACTCCCTTATGAAAATAAAGAGATATATGGAAGATAGAATTGCCTAAAATAAGGAAATATGTTTAAATAAATATTATATATAGCACGCTTAATTGGGTTTCCTATTAGAACCAAACTTTAAATTGCCTCCGTAGACTACAAGGAGGGAATAGATACAGTGCTTAAGTTAAATATGACAAACAACTTTTTTCTCAATTTAATTTGAATTCTCTTTCGGTTTAATTCGTAACTGAAACTGGTTTACACAGGAAAATTAGAGTAATTATACTCTTCAAAATAACATCCACTTCGATATACTTTTAAAAAAAGGAGATATTTGTTATTCGTCAATACAATTTGATAATATTTAATAGTATATAATCGTAGGATTATATCACGTGGTATGTAAGTGTATCATGGTGGTATGCAATGCAGTCAAAATTGGGATTTTGATCGTTAACTAGTAGAATTGTAGGATTTTACTTAGGGATTTCGATCTTGATTTTACTATAAAATCGGTGGACCTTAAAATCGTTTAAAATCGGAATTTTGATCCTATGTGAACAAAATAGGTGGTTTGAGCCAATTCAAAAGAAGCAGAACTGTTTCGGTGGAAAGGGCAATGCAGGGATCTTCTTAGGTTAAGCCCTTTCCCTTGTTTAACTCATCGATAAAACAGCTGTCATAATATTGTAAATACATAAGAATTAACATCATCATTGACAAATAATTAATTAATGAATATAATTGTACCAAACTAATGACATTAATTATTTTATTGGAATTTACTTATTCTTAGTTTTAAAAAATGCTTAGTAGACGACGTCGGGATCCTATACTTTGAGTTAAACTACCTAAAAGCAACACGAAAACAAGAGTCAAACCCTAAGAGCTATATCCCTTCCTCATAAATTATTTTGAGTTACGCATTAAATAACAATGAAAATGATGATTTTGGAATATTCATCTTGAAAATTATCATTTTAAATGTTATATGAATTTATGTTATTAATGATTTACCTTATTAATATTATTATATATTAATTTCTATTTGGTACTTAAAATCCTACGATTCTACAATTCGATTTTACAATTGCGATTTTACCCTAGTTTTCGATTTTAGGTAAAATCCCAATTTTTACTGCTTTGGTGGTATGAATTTAACAGAGAGCATAATGATTGTATACATGATAGTAGTATTATACATTTATACTAATGATTATTTAGCACTTTCCATCATCGTCTACCATATAGGTGTTATATTTAGTCATGTAATTTGTTTCTCCAAAAATTTCAGGATCCTATAGATGACGATGAACTCGTTCATTCTGGAAAAAAATTTAAAAATTCGTGTGGTATGAATATTTTGTCGAATATATTGAAAAATGAATATAATTTTGTAGATCACAAGTCAAAACAAACCAATTCAATTTGTAAAAGACTTTAGAAATCAAAGTTAAACAAAGAAGATAAAAGTCAATTAAAAAAGTAGGAAAAATAAAAATCTATTAATATCACTGATTAGATCTAGCCCCAGTAAAATCAAGAGCCCATGACTTGTAGTTTGCACTCGATCTAGGACCAAATACATAGGTGTTAAAACATAACCCGACCGCAAACCGAGTTTTCTATATTCTGATTAGCCTATAACCCGATTGGCCCTAACTCGATTAAGGTCGTAACCCGACTACCCATGTCCCGAATAACCCGAATTCAATTGACCCATAGCTGGATTGAACCCGTAATCCGACTAACCAGAACCCTATTGACTCGTAATCCGACTACTCCACAAACTATAAAATAAAGTTCATATGTTATTTCAATTAATTGTTTAGCATTGTTAGAAAAGGATTAATATTCAATTATCTAATACTCTCTAGTAGTTTTGCAACATGTTTCCTCAACCATCAAATTATTTACACTCCAGACTTTAATTTATGATATTAGCTAGTGTATGCTAATGTTAGGACCTTTTGAATCCAAAATAATTTATGACCTACTTTTCATATTGTTTTTCTAAAGTTTGAAAATAATATTTTTTTACTCTTTGTAGACCAATATTTGTTAGCTACCTCCAAAGTTTCTTAGAATATATACTGCATATCACTGATTAGATCTAGGCCCACTAAAATCAAGAGATCATGACTACTTATCCATGGTTTGCAGTTTGCACCCTATCAAAGACCAGATACATTGGTCTCAAAACATAACTCGATCGCAAATCGAGTTGAATGTATTCCGATTGGACTTTTCTATGGTGACATGCATGTCACGCTGACGTGCACTTTTCAGTCAACATCAAATAGGATTAGGTTGACCTAATATGTTGTTTCAGTGTAAAATAGTTTCATGGTGCCTACTTTGGAGATTCATATCTTACAATTGGCTAGATGGAAATTGGAGATTAATGGCATGTTTTGAAGCTGAATTGTCCCTCTACACATTAAAGTACTTGGGAGCTCGATAGGAAATCAAGAATACCGTTTTTGAACCTGATCAACAGGCTATGCCAAAATTGGGAAACTGCCTGAAAATGGTTAAGTCTGGAACGTGTTTGTGAAGCCTACTTTGGAGGTCAATTTGAGAAGCATGGATGCGATTCGAGTCCAGGGGTCTCTACCAAGTTAAATTAGGTATGTTTGTCTACAAAGGCAAGACATTGGTTGAAAGATTGGATATCTTTAAGGCTTAAAAAAAAGGCTCGAAGTTGCTACAAAGGTTGTTTTTCTGGCAGCTTGCTTGTGCTCGAAGTCTGCCAGAAAAACATCCTTTGTAGCAACTTCAACACTTTTGTTTGAAGCATTAAATATACCCAATCTTTCATTCAATGCCTTGAATTTGTATAAAAACATAACTAATTTATTGTGGTAGAGGCCTCTGGACTCGACTCGCTTTCGTGCTTCTCGAATTGAGCTCCAAAGTAGGTTTCACAAACACGTTTCCAGACTTAGCCATCTTCAGGTAGTTTCCCAGTTTTGGCATAGCCTTTTGAACAGGTTCGAAAATGATCTTCTGGACTTCCCATCGAGCTCCCACCCGACGAACAGTTTTGGCACATCCTTCCACCCGACGAACATCATCGGGGAGGGCTGCTTGGATAGTGGTTTGGAGAGTTTCCAGGTTGGCCTCTATCGAATCCATCCTCTCCTTGTCGGCAGCGGTGGGTTTGGGGCCCATTGGCTCTGATACCAAATGTTGGTATCGTTCAATTATCGGAGTGATTGCGTTCCGCTTACAGCCGGAACCAGCTAGTTTGAGAGTGGTGTTTCGGCTTAATAATTCTGATGCTGCTTCTTATTCATTTCAGTCCTTATATAGAGAACTGATAACCTAGACCTGAGATCGGTTTACAATCAACCAACTCCCGCATCTCCTACGATTTGGTAGATCGCCAAAGGTAATCTCCCAATGACCCTAATCCTAGACGATCACACGATCGTATCTCTACTAATCCTAAGCAAAACAAATCAAAAAACAAATCCCAAAGGGGAGACCGACTGCAGCAACACCGACCTGCATAACTAATAATAATCTAAGCCGAGATTCTCTAGCAGCAACAGTTCACGCGGCAAAGCTTGAGCTACTCCTAGCCACGTGAATGATCTCCCTCCTCTGCATGGACTCCTTCCTCTGCATGGGCCGTAAGCCCATTCTAATGTGACTCCTCTGCATGGGTCATAAACCCATTATGACGTGGAACTCCTCCCTCTGCATGGATTTCATGATGTGGCCCAAGACTCATAAACCCATCAGTATGTTAGTTAACTTTTGCTTAATGCATCAAACTTTATTTGCATTACTTGTATATCCCCCTGATTCGCATGCTTGAACAGGATGCAATGCTTTAACTAGATTGGAATCGTATAGCATGATCGATCCAAACTATAGTAACCAACTAAAAGAAACCAGATTTGTGTGCCCCAATAATAGGTTCGCTTGGTTTAATTTTTTGATTAGTCGGATAATGGATTACCAATTATCAAACCTAGCTAGTTGGCATAGTGCAGAAAGGGTTTACATTTAGGGAATGTTCCAAACATTAGTAATTTTATGAAAAATAAAACTGAAGGGGAAAAAGGTGAGAATTAACAAGGAAACGATTAATAGAGCAAAATGCTGCTGTATTTATTCCTTATATAATTGACCATATATGAGATATGAAGGAAACTGCTTATTTATCTATTTTAGAGGCCGGTCAGTTGCCATGACCGTGTTTCCAGTCGCAACATAATTGAATATTGTATTTACAACATTCACTAAGGATTCCATAATCGAGTGCAGGAGAGGTTGGCTGGGTCACATGTGACGGTTTGATGATATCATCAGTTGGAACTTCTCTCGTAGCACTGCAAATACCACTAACCACAACTGCAATGACCAAGAAAGCACAAATGAAATGAACAACACTTCTTAGCAGATTTGTTGAAGCCATATTGTATTTCCTGTCACAGAAAAAGTAATGTTATCTCAACTCTTCTTTTTCTTCTTTCTTTCTTGGTTGTGACTTTTAGACGAAAGAACTAATCTGGTATATATAGAGACAGAGCCACGACCTCATTCCGTTAATCAATAAGAAAATCAAATCTGAAAATACATACATATAAGGAAAAATTTTAATTACATGAAAGAATGCTATATACTTAAATATATATTAGATAATGCATTTATTGTTTTTCCTTTTAATAAACAAGCTTTAAATTAACTCCCTTATGAAAATAAAGAGATATATGGAAGATATAATTGCCTAAAATAAGGAAATATGTTTAAATAAATATTATATATAGCACGCTTAATTGGGTTTCCTATTAAAACCAAACTTTAAATTGCCTTCGTAGACTACAAGGAGGAAATAGATACGGTGCTTAAGTTAAATATGACAAACAACTTTTTTCTCAATTTAATTTGAATTCTCTTTCGGTTTAATTCGTAATTGAAACTGGTTTACACAGGAAAATTAGAATAATTATACTCGTCAAAATAACATCCACTTCGATATAATTTTTAAAAAAGGAGATATTTGTCATTCGTCAATACCATTTGATAATTTTTGGTAGTATATAATCGTAGGATTATATCACGTGGTATGTAAGTGTATCATGGTGGTATGCAATGAAGTCAAAATTGGGATTTTGATCGTAAAATCGTAGGATTGTAGGATTTTACTTAGGGAGATTTTACTATAAAATCGGTGGACCTTAGAATCGTTTAAAATCGGGATTTTGATCCTAGGTGAACAAAATAGGTGGTTTGAGCGAATTCAAAAGAAGCAGAACTGTTTCGGTGGAAAGGGCAATGACAGGGATCTTCTTAGGTTAACCCCTTCACCTTGTTTAACTCATCGATAAAACAGCTGTCATAATATTGTAAATACGTAAGAATTAACATCATCATTGACAAAAATTAGTTAATGAATATAATTGTACCAAACTAATGACATTCATTATTTTATTGGAATTCACTTATTCTTAGTTTTAAAAAATGCTTAGTAGACGACGTAGGAATACTATACTTTGAGTTAAACTACCTAAACGCAACACGAAAACAAGAGTCAAACCCTATGAGCTAACCCGACCGCAACCCGAGTTTTCTGTATTCTGATTGGCGTATAACCCGATTGGCCCTAACTCGATTAAGGTCGTAACCCGACTACCCATGTCTCGAATAACCCGAATTCAATTGACTCATAACTGGATTGAACCCGTAATCCGACTAACCAGAACCCTATTGACTCGTAATCTGACTACTCCACAAACTATAAAATAAAGTTCATATGTTATTTCAATTAATTGTTTAGCATTGTTAGAAAAGGATTAATATACAATTATCTAATACCCTCTAGTAGTTTTGCAACATGTTTCCTCAACCATCAAATTATTGACACTCCAGACTTTAATTTATGATATTAGCTAGTGTATGCTAATGTTAGGACCTTTTGAATCCAAAATAATTTATGACCTATTTTTCATATTGTTTTTCTAAAGTTTGAAAATATTTTTTTCTTTATTACTCTTTGTAGACCAATATTTGTTAGCTACCTCCGAAGTTTCTTAGAATATATATTGCATATCACTGATTAGATCTAGGCCCACTAAAATCAAGAGATCATGACTACTTATCCATGGTTTGTAGTTTGCACCCTATCTAGGACCAGATACGTAGGTCTCAAAACATAACTCGATCGCAAATAGAGTTGAATATATTCTTATTGGACTTTTCTACGGTGACATGCTTGTCACGCTGACATGCACTTTTCAGTCAACCCCATATAGGATTAGGTCGACCTAATATGTTGTTTCAGTGTAAAAACAGTTTCATGGTGCCTACTTTGGAGATTCATATCTTACAATTGGCTAGATGGAAATTGGAGATTAATGGCTTGTTTTGAAGCTGAATTGTCCCTCTACACATAAAAGTACTTGGGAGCTCGATAGGAAGTCCAGAATACCATTTGTGAACCTGATCAACAGGCTATGCCAAACTTGGGAAACTGCCTGAAAATGGCTAAGTCTGAGAACGTGTTTGTGAAGCCTACTTTGGAGCTCAATTTGAGAAGCATGGATGCGATTCGAGTCCAGGGGCCTCTACCAAGTTAAATTAGGTATGTTTGTCTACAAAGGAAAGACATTGGTTGAAAGATTGGATATCTTTAAGGCTTAAAAAAATGCTCGAAGTTGCTACAAAGGCTATTTTTCTGGCAGCTTGCTTGTGCTCGAAGTCTGCCAGAAAACAGCCTTTGTAGCAACTTGGACCCTTTTGTTTGAAGCCTTACAGATACCCAATCTTTCATCCAATGCCTTGAATTTGTATACAACATACCTAATTTAATGTGGTAGAGGCTCCTGGACTCGACTCACATTCATGCTTCTCGAATTGAGCTCCAAAGTAGGTTTCACAAACACGTTTCCAGACTTAGCCATTTTCAGGCAGTTTCCCAGTTTTGGCATAGCCTTTTGATCAGGTTCGAAAATGGTCTTCTGGACTTCCCATCGAGCTCTTAATTACTTTAATATGTAGAGGGACACTCCATCTTCAAAACAAGCCATTAATCTTCAATTTTCATTTAGCCAATTGTATGATATGAATGTCCAAAGTAGGCACCATGAAACTATTTTTACAATAAAACAACAGATTAGTTCGACCTAATCCTAACTGAGGTCGACCGAAAAGTGCAAGTCACCGTGACATGCACGTCACCGTAGGCGCACCCTTATCTTTAATGTTGAACAGTTTGTATGGATGGTTTTCTTCTATGCTCTAGATTGGTGTTTTTTGTTTGGATAATTTGTATAGGAAAAATTATGTTAGACTTTTATATTGACTTGAACTTGTTAGTATAATTTTTTCACCACAGAACCCATAAATATCTATTTTATTGATGGTTATACCGATTCAAACACAAACCCAAACCGACTCATCGCCATCCTTTTCTCTTCGGCGGATATTTGTTCGGGCTTTCTTATTCTTCGTTTCTTCCCTCTCCCTCTCACGTTAGCTAATTGTTGGGCCCACACCACTATTGAATATATTTATCGATGGATCCGGGACTCTTCCACAATACATCTTCTGATAATTGGGCCATTTGTGCAAGACCCATCTATCTATAGCTTGAGGAATTTTACAATGCTATATAGCATTGGTGCTATAAGTTTTTTCTTTATGGTGTAATTTGAAATTGTACCTTTAACGTTATGGTACAACTTCAGATTGTATCTATACTTTGTACAAATTCTTTTATGGTACGACTTAAAATTGTAGATTATGTGATGGTACAATATTAATTTCAAATTGTAAAGTTGTACCATAACATAATGATACAAATTCCTTTATGGTACAACCTAAACTTATACATTTAATGTTATGGTACAACTTCAAGTTGTACATTAAATCACCAATACTATATAGTATAGTAAAAGTGTTCCTATAGCTTCCTTCCAGCCAAAATATAACGATAGGTTGAGGCAAGCTTAACTCATCTCTCTCACAAATTAAAGCTGATAGCTAGGTTGAAATAAAACCAACTGATCGTCATTACAAATACAGAACATTATTCAAACTCTACCACCATCCGCACAATACTAAGGTAGAAGAAAACAGCAAACACTACTCACGATCATGAAGATACATACACACTAATCCACGCACGTACAAACGTAATTAGTAAGCCCTTTGAACACATAATACAATAAACTAATGAAGATAAGATCCTGCCGCCGCCGCCGGTGAAAGCTTTCACCGCTAGGGCCTCATTATTGTAACATATATATGCGACCACCAAACAGCTAGGCGTTTATTACGACAACGTATTAGTAGTAGCAGCCGTAGAGGATGAATTGTCGTCAAGAAAAGTGGGGCTTCTCGGAGTCCTCGAGGCTGGTAGGGCGGAACCAGGCCTTCTCTTCCACCACCACAGCACCATCACCACCATCAATCGTAGAAGCTTTCCCCGACGAGGCCGCCGCGGCTCCTCCAGAGGCGGCAGCAGCAGGGCCAAACACTCCGGTCTGCGGGTGCGGCTCCCAGTAGTAGAACTTATCCTCCTCTTTTAGCATCTGCTGCTGCTGCTGTGGCTGCCGGAAGATCACCTGATCATCATCATGATGATGGTGATCCGCCGACTCTACATTCTTCTCGTACGCCGAATGCAACCCCCTAGCAAAAAAGCAAGTAAAGTAAACACCGTCTCAGTTGGGAAGTTGGAACACACGGATAAGCAGGCCCATCCACCCAGGCCCACGCCTGCCACAACGTGTTCGATTAAATCATTTAATAGTGGGCCCAAGTCCACCATGCCGCACTTGGCTCCATCTATTCCAATCGTGTCCAATCCATCTAGCATTCTTATCTCTACGACTCTCTATCCATCCATAATTAAACTGGAATGCTAAACACGTGACTAAATTGATCATTATCCCTCCACTTTCTCTTCTTCCAGACGCACACACATAAATGATACAGTAACTAAACAGCATCATTCCGACCAGTGGGAGACTGGCGCCGGTGTGGGTAGGTGATTGATAAGCACAATATGAAAAAAAAAAAAAACTAAATAAATGTGTGCAGTAGTTACTACTGATGCGCATGAAATGGGCACCTACAATTAAACAAAGGGTCGCGGGTTGTTGACTCTTTACTCTTTAGCTAAATACCTGGGTTGGTTTTGGAATATGCCTGAATCGGTACTAAATTAGTGGCATTAAAATAATAATACGGTTTATTCATCAAATATAAATAATAACAACAATAATAATATAATAGGGTGAATGAAAACCGCGTGCACCCATAGCATTTGGGAGATGACGATAAGGAAGGAGTGGGCCATGTGGTGACTAGGCATGGAAAAGAAGATGGATCACAACGCTAGCTAGCTAGCTAAGGTAAAAGCCCCTAACCCGAGTTAAAGTTAGGTGGGTATTGGTGTTAGCTAGATTGATTAATTAGGATTAGTTAGGTACATAGGTAGGAAATAATTAATTAACATGTGTTTTATCCGCTTAAAACTATAATCGTTAAGATTGAAAAATATGAGATAAATAGCATCTTGGATGAGATTGATTTGAAGACCGACGCATGATTGCGTCTTTCTGAGTGACTTAAACAGGCAAATCGACACATTTAACATTGTGATCGATTTGATAACTGAACTGGTCGACCGGATTACTGAACCGATCAACTTCTAAAAGCATATCTAATTAATAATTATATATATCGTTTGCAACTACCAAACCGTGAAAAAAAAAGCATGGAAAATGAGGGAAAGGGAGAGTTCGGGTAAGTTAGAGGCCGTAGTACCTGATGCTGCAGGGAGAAGAAGAAGAAGAGGAGGTGGAGATCCGGTGGTTGGGAAAGAGCAGTCGCTTGCCCAAGCTCGCGATCCCTCTGCCACTACTACTGTTGCTCATCCAATTGGCAGCCATACAGAAAGAGTGTTACAAGTACGGAGAGGTAAGATAGATCGAGATAAAGAGCGAATGAGAGAGGGAATCAGGAAAAGTGGGAGTCAGGCAGAGAGATGCTTCGTCTTCTTCACTCTTGAGCTGCTTCTTATAGATGCTTTGCTTGAATTAGATGAGATGTCAGATGAGAGATGTGGACATTTTGTTTTGGGTTGGAGTATATGGGGTAGGTAAAGGTGAAGGCACTTGGGCTTTGGGATTTTGGACTTTTTTTTTTAATACTTACACAGTTAGACTGGACTTAGGGATGGCAATGGGTCGGGTTGGGTCGCGTTTTGTCAAACCTAAACCCAAACTCATGGGTTTATTCGCCAAAAAAACCCGGGGTAAAACCCGTTGGGTTTGAAAAACTCAAACCCAACCCAACCCGCTGGGTATCCGCGGGTTCATGGGTACCCGTGGGTTTTTGTGGTAAAATTTACAATAACAAGTTTCTTTCAAAATAAGAGTTTAACATCAATTTTCGCATACAAATTAATCATACAAAAAACATCAATTTAGAGCATACAAGCAAAGCGCAAATGATCAATACAAATTATTCAAAATTAAAGATAAACATATATAAACAATAAGATTAATTGAAAGTTTCTTCCTCGTCAACTAAGTTTCTTCACTCTTCACTTCCTAATATCAACTTCATTCTAAACAATTAGAAAGAACAAATTATACATGTCTCCACAAACATATAGATATTAGTTGTTTAAAGAAGATATATTATTTAGAATATTAAATATACCGGGAAAATAATTATATGTGTGTGGGCGGGTACCCATAGAGCGGGTTTTCCTAAACCCAAACCCAACCCGACCCGGTGAATAGTGTAGCGAATTACACCTGAACCCAGCTCAAACCCGTCAACACGGATTTTACATGCGTTGACCGAATTGAATCGGGTAGATACCCGTGGGTTCGAGTTTTGTTCTCGTACTAACTGGACTTGCTCCGCCCAAGAGAAGAGAGAGCCATAGTCAAAGTAGAGGTGCCACGCCCCATTCTTCACAGGGCAGAATATGCTTTTGTTCTATCTGTATCCTAAGCCCACCTTGCCAACCCATCTAATATTTCTTTTTTTCCGTGCGTACTCCCTGCTTGACTTTATTTTTTATGAAAAGTTTATTGTTTATGTAAGTATCATGGGTCTTAATAGAGGACCATTATTATAAGATTGTAATAATAAAAAAAAGGTGGAAATCAACTTCAGCTTTAGACCCAAAACCGAGGAATGGAGTGTAACAACAAAGTTGAGAAAGCTGACATAGCCCACTGGAAACCTCAGAGCCCAACATGGCTGTTGAAGCCCAGCTTCTAAGCCCCAACAAGGGTTTAGGTGAGACCCAAAAAATTGTGAACCTTTGTGTGTGAACCAAAAGCCTCGCGAGTCGCGACCCAACAAATGCAGCAGCCGATTTTTTTTTTTTTTTAATAAGGTGATATATGTTTCATTTTGTGATTAAGATACTATTTAATGAATTCAAACGTGAGATCTTCAGGTTTTAAGCAGCAATCGCATTCTTATATAACTTTTATCAGTAAACCTAGGCAGTGGCGTATACATGGACTTTAGGGGTGTTCCGGGACACCCCTAAAATTTGGAAAAACGATTATCCAACTCTCAATAGTAATTTTTATGGATAAAAAAATTATAATTGATAATCCGAGACATCCTTATTTTGTAAAAAACAATTATCCTACTTTCGAGTTTCGATAGTAGTTTTGTGTATGATTAAAAAAAAAGTGGTAATTTGTATTATTCAAACCTAGGACGCTACTATTATTAAACATATTCTCTAGGTTATAACTCATTTCTTGCTCTATTTTAAACACTGTACAATAGTAAAGATATTATTCCTTACCCCAAACTATTTTCAAAACCAAACAATTGAACTAATAAAGGGCTATCCTTAATTTGAATTGATTTTATGATTTCACGGCAGGAGTTAAAAGAGTCTCAACTTTGAGTTACATAAAGAACAAGGTTTTAAAGCGAAGATGCGATCAGTTCGTGGATTATTGTCTAGAAGGATATATAGATTTGTTGAGCAGTGTAGATATCAAGTCTATTTTATATTCTTTTTTCAAAATATGAAAACATGTGATGACCTTTTGTTAAATTTTGTACTAGTCGAATATTTTTTTATATATGATTTAATTTAATTATTTATTATTTAATTTTAAAATAGGACACCCCTATAAAAAAATTCCTAAATCCGCCTATGAACCTAGGAGTTTCTGGGCGACCTCGCCTGGAAATATGGAATTCTTCACGGTCTCACTTGCTACATCGCAGCCACACCGGCCACCACCCTCACTAATCACTATGCTGCTCTGGTGGATAGGGATGGCAATGGGGCGGGTTTGGGGCGGGTTTGTCTAAACCATATCCATCCCCATCTTCAAATATTCAAACCCATACCCGCCCCATACTCATGCGGGGGAATGTTTTGCAAACCCATCCCCATACCCGTGGGTTTCGGGTACCCATGGGTAATACCCGTACCCGTACATCCAACATTACTATATCTCAAACTTACAAGAAAAGTTTTAATTATAACTCCAAACAAACCTATAATATCATGAAGTCAACAAAACACAATTATTTTCTTAATACGGTTCAAAGTATATGATCCTAAAACATCCATTAATACATAATATAGAGTATAATATTTTTCAAATTATTATCTTCTGATTATGATACATCTACTAAGTAATAGTTAACTAACATAATCTTGTTGACAAGGGGGAAAGTGAAAGAGTGTAAGTAGAATTGAGGAAAATGAATTAGATTTTGATTAAAGTGGTCACTCAATTGCAATTTAATCCACATATTTTTTTATATGTCAAGAAATTCTCTTGGTGAAGAAATTCACATATTTTTTTATATGTGAAGAAATTCTCTTGGTGGGGCGGGTATGGGGCGGGGGATGCCAAAACCATACCCGCCCCATACCCATCAAACTTTTTGCGGGTTTTACCCATACCTGCCCCATATCCGGTCAAAGCGGGGATTCCCCGCGTTGACTGGGTTGGGGACGGTCGGGTACCCGCGGCCATGGATTTGATTGCCAACCCTACTGGTGGATGAGATTAGAGTTAGACTATTTATAGGACCGTTAGTTCTGGATGCACTATTTCAGAATTAAGATGTTATCTAATTTTGTTTATAATTAGAATAAAATAAAAATGTTTATAATATTAGAGGACAATTAAAAAAATAATATCCTTCAAACGTTGTTTGAAATAAATTTAGGGTTAATATTTTCGTATGGCCTGAACTTTGACCAAAATAAACATCCTGGCCAATATTTTCGATCTATAACATCCTGGCCCGAACTATACACCAAAATAAACAATTTGGCCAAACCCAATGTTTGACCGTTAACTTGGACGGTCAAACGCGTTGACTAACGGTCAACGCGCCACGTCACTGCCAAGTCAGAAGATCTGATAAATATTTAATTTTTTAGTTTTTTATTTTTGGTTTAACTAAGGTATTAGATGATTTTTTTAATTTACAATAATTTAATATTAGGAAATGTGTGGAAATTGTGAATTATTTTAAATATTTTATGTTGACTTGGCAGTGACATGGCACGTTGACTAACGGTCAACGCGTTTGACCGTCCAAGTTAACGGTTAAAAGTCGGATCTGGCCAAATTGTTTATTTTGGTGTATAGTTCGGGCCAGGATGTTATAGATCGAAAAGATTGGACAGGATGTTTATTTTGGTCAAAGTTCAGGCCATACGAAAATATTAACCCATTTATAATTTATTTAACGTTTCATATTCTCTAATAGATCATTCTCCACCTTTGTAATTCGTTTCTGGTATTGTTTTAGAAGACAATTAAATGCAATTTCTAGAACACAAACAGGATTCTAACAATCAATATACATGAGAATATTGAACAATTACTAGCCTAGTATTAATTAAAAAACTTTAATCACATCATCGTACCATAATCATGCAATATAAATTCAATTTATAAATTTACAATTAATTTAACCAACACAATACTGCCCAACCCAAGGAGTAATTCGAGCAACAGGGTGTTGGCTAGTATATCTTGGATTCCTCCACGAGGTGGTTGGATGAAACTTAACATTAACGGTGCCTCGAACGGGAATCCCGGGCTGGCCGGAGCGGGGGGGAGGGGGGGGGGGATTTTGAGAGATGATACTGGTCGTTGGATCGCCGGTTTTGTGGCAAAGATTGGAGAAGCTTCTGCAGCCCTTGCCGAGCTATGGGCTTTCTGGTATGGTTTGGACTTAGCTTGGAAGACGGGGTGCCGGACTGTGATGGTTGAGTCGGACTCCCAACTTGCTATTCAGCTGATTAGTGAGAGGCATGACCCGGTTCATCCTTATGCAACCTTGCTCTCTTCGATTCGTAGGAGGATTAGCAGAGATTGGTTGGTGCGCATTTCTCATGTATACCGTGAAGGGAATAGAGCCGCGGACTGGCTCTCGAAGCACAGTCTCGTCTATCCCTATGTATGCATGAACTTGAGCACCCACCGTCGGGTTTGAACCCCATTTTAAGAGATGATATACAGGGGATAGCTTTTCAAAGGCAGATTGTTCCCCCTGCCAACTTGTCTTCCCCATCTCATCCGCCTTTGTAATTTTCTGTTCTTGGCGTTTTTGCCTCCTCTTACGCAAAAAAAAAAAAAAATTAATTTAACCAACAGACCTATGATGAAGGATCAACTCCGAAGGACCAACTCCGAAGGACCAAGCCACAACCAAACCACCTGATGCTGGAGGACCTCCTAGAATATTGGTCGCCCGTGACGATCATCCATGACAAGTTAAGTTAGGATTGAGCATGTCTATATAGAAGCAAATATTTTTGGCTGATCATATAGCTTCGTTAGGATACTTGGAGCTTGTGCATTTGCCTAGTCATCACGTTCTGATCCTCTCACCCAATTCTGGTGGACAATGAAGCTTGCCAAAGCCAAACTAGAGAAGGTAATCTAATCGAAGAAGGAAGTTTTGAATGTGTCCCTAATCTTGTGATTAACAGCCTGTCTCTAACTAGCCAACCCAACTCACCTCTCTCTCTCTCTCTCTCTCTCTCTCTCTCTCTCTCTCTCTCTCTCTCTCTCTCTCTTATACGCGCTTTCCTTTCATTTCCTGGTCCCGCGCCTACCTCTTTGGACTGGAACTGGACCGGCCTTATTTGATGTTTACTCTGTTTTTTCTCCGCGTCTCTCTCGACTCCCACTTTGTACATTTGGTTGCACGGTATACAGAAGAAAGACAGATTTGATTATTGATGCTAATGCAGTTTACATGTCTAATCACTAATCAATTGGGATTAATTCAAAAATTACAAGTAAATGGCAGCTAACTATTGAATGGTGGTGGCGGTGCTGGTGGTGTGGTGTGGGAAATCGGGCCGGCACGATGGCTGTGTGTGGCCGGGGCTAGAAATCAAGAAGGCGGAGATGATGGTGGAGACAATGGCGGGAGGAGGGAGGGAAGCATCGACTTTGAGAATGGGTTCTGAAGGGTCGATCTGGAGGAGATCCAGCTGCGACTGCAGCAGCTTGGGCGGCATGAAATGGGTGCCCTGTTTTGCTCTCTCGGTGAGGCGGCGGGTGAGCAAGTCGACGGTGGCGTCCAGCAGCACGAAGTGGCAGCAACAGGAGGTGGACGACGACGGTGGATGGGGGTCGGCGGACCGGAGGATGTCTCTGTAGGACTTCTGGAGGGAAGAGCAGCCGAGGACGACGGTGTTACCGGAGATGAGGTGGTGCCGGAGTTTGTCCCTCAGGAGATTGAGCCAGGGGATCCTGTCTTCGTGCGTCAGGGGAATGCCCTGCCTCATTTTCTCTGCAAACGTTACACGATTAAAAAACAGGTATGTTGGTGAGTGGAAATGGGTTTGGGGAAATGGGTATGCAGCGGATTGGATGAAATGGTTTGATTTTGCTTACCTTTGTTGGAATGAGGGTGGAAATCGTCGGCGTCAAGAAAGCTGCAGTTCAACTCTGTCGCCAGGAGTTCCCCAATTGTGCTGCACCAACACAAATTTGAACAAAATCTGAATCAAAACCTCTTCTACAAATTTTGAAACATTGAAACATCGTGTGATTGATTAAGAAGAAAGAAAGCAATCAAGAAAAATGAAGGGCACGAGCAAAGGCGGCACCTTTTCCCAGCGCCGGAGACGCCCATGAGCACGATGGCGGTACCTGCTGCACAACCCACAAAAAACCAAGAATTATGAACATTGGAATCCAATTAAAATGGGTAGAATGAACCATGCACCAGCTTTGTGTCCGAAATCAAAGGCAGGGTAACCTAGAATAGAATAAAAGAAAAGGAAACACAGAGACAGAGACAGAGAGAACGAGAGAGTGATTGGATTGGGGATCGGTAGTGAACCTGTGACTCGGGAAGGCATGCTCGACGAAGGATGCGGATCAGAGTTTGGGAAAAATCAAATAATCCCAGATCAAGATGCAGAGAGCGATGAAGCAAGTAATGCAGGTGGAATTCGGGTTTGGTGAAGGGGAGAACCAAAACAGGGGGCGGCAACGAACGAGGAGAAATTGGGGATGGAGATCTTGTATTTGTATACGTGACGTTCGGTGGTGGGGGGTTTTGTTGTTTGCTTTTGTTTGGGTCTGTCTGGGGGAGGGAGAAAGTGATGAATGATTAATGAATGAATGAATGGGATAAAAATGGATAAGGCCAAGAAGGGTTGGTTTGGTAGTCGAGTCTCATGAAACTACGAGGATCTGAGTCGACCCTGACGTGGCGGACTTTGCTGACGGAAGTGAATCGTAATCCCTTACCATTTCGGCCGGCCGGTGCGGTGCGATCAGTCAACCCTGGGCCCCGGCCTTATGGTTACAGGCACAGTAACAGCCGTCCCTCGTTGCAGCAACCAACTGGTATTGGAGGTCACGAGTGCAGGACGTGATCCTCTCCCGCACGTGTTGTGCGTGTATGGCTGTATGGGCATGTTTGTCTTTTGCCTTTTATTTTTTGTGCCCTAGTTGTTAGATGATAGGCTTTGATTTGTAGGGTATATATATATGTAGCTTTCTCCTGCTGAAAGCAAGAAGGTACGTACAACATAATACAAAACCCTAAAACCCCTGAGGACGGGTTAGTTTCTCCGTGGATTAGCAACGCTCACATCGAGTGGCGTGAACCACGTAAATCCTCGTGTCGTGTTATGAATTTATCATGGTATCAGAGCTGTAGATTCAGCAATTTCTTCCGCATACTAGCGACGCTCATCCTGTTGGTCCGAGTCTTCTTGTCTCAGCGACGCTCATTCCGCTGAAGTTTTTTTGATCAATGGATACCAAGGAAGAAGAGAGTTTTGGCGGTAGTGCAATGGTAACCGGTGGTGAAAAGCCTCTTACTTCTGATGTTAATTCCATATATTTCCTTCCACAGTCGGATCCACAGCATGTTGGGGATCTTCTAACTCCTAGCAACTATGGGGAATGGGTCATCGATATGACGGACTCCCTTCTAGCGAAAAATAAATTAGGGTTCGTCAATGGAACCCTCATGAAACCGGCCACAGCTCGGGAAGCTGACGCTTGGACTCGGTGCGATGCCACCATAAAAGGCTGGCTCAAGGCGACTATGTCTCCAGAGGTACGCCGCAGTGTTCGCTTTGCAAAAACGGCGAAGCAGATTTGGGATGATCTCAAGTCCCGTCTCAGTCAAGGTAGTGCTCCGAGACACTACAAGATTCGAAGATCGATCAACCTTCTCCCTCAAGAAAGGTTGAGTGTGTCCGCCTATTACACAGAGCTATGCACATTGTGGGAGGAGGCCCAACAGATTTCCCCAACGCCTACCTGCACGTGTAGACAATGCACTTGCAATTTGGAAAAGCGAACGCGCGACCGTGATGAGAGCATTCGCTTGTTTGACTTTTGATGGGCTTGGACGATGCCTTTTCAACCGTAAAATCCCAAATACTCTCCATGAAGCCGACTCCTGCTATTGGCGAGGCTTACAATATGATAGCCACGGATGAGCAACAGAAGCGCATATCCACAAATCGGAAACCTCGAGCAGAAGCGGCAGCTTTCGTTGTGGTTCAGGAGAACAATGGTAAAGAACACCATGATGGGGACATCGGTGGTGACCCAGAGACACGTCCCCGACGCTCTCATTGCCGCAAGCTCGGCCATACAAAGGAACGGTGCTTTGAGTTGCTTGGTTATCCTTCCTGGTATACCGATCGAGGCGGCAACAAAGGGAATGGTGCTGGCCGTGGACGTCGCCCGGAGCATCGCGGGCAAGGAGGCGCTCCTAAGGCAGTTGCAGTTGGGACGGATGAAAGCCCTATCCCTGGCCTCACTAAAGCACAAGTCGAGCAGCTGCGTCAGTTTCTTGGCACCGACCCCAAGGCCTCGAGTGACACCAAGGCTACAGGTAATTCTCTCAACTCGTGCAACTCATGGATTCTCGACTCGGGTTGCAACGAGCACATAGTCAATGATGTATGTAGTTTTGATGATCAGTCTATGGAAATGAACTTGCATGTTGGTGTGCCCAATGGAGCTTCTGTTGCCGTGCAAAGTATAGGCTCGGTTAAGCTTGCTAATGGGATGGTTCTGCCACGAGTACTCTTAGTTCCGGATTTTAAATGCAACCTGCTATCCATTAGTCGTCTCACTGCAGATTTTCCCCTGGCCTTGATATTCTTGCACGACTTCTGTGTTATTCAGGACTTACACTCCAGGCGGATGATTGGGATGGGTAAGCAGCTTGATGGTCTATATTTCTTGCGCTTGTTCGATGAGTTCCGAGATGCTATGGTTCACGCAGCACAAGGAGAGAGTAGTTGTTCCCCGGAAACATGGCATCTCAGGATGGGTCATCCAGCAATGGCAAAATTATCTTTGTTGCATTTAACTTCTAGTACTCGTCGGTTAGAAAATAAGCATTGCTCCGCCTGTTTGAGAGCAAAACAGTCTCGCAGTTCTTTTCCGTTGAGTTCGATCAGTACATTTAAAGCTTTTGAGCTTGTTCATGTGGATATTTGGGGTGGTTATCACACTGCTTCTTTGAGTGGAGCGCACTATTTTTTAACTATTGTTGATGACTTTAGTCGTGGAGTGTGGATTTATCTTCTTCGTTTCAAATCAGAAGCTAGTCGCTACCTCAAGATGTTTTGCCAACAGGTGGCTCGACAGTTTAATTGTGTGGTTAAGCGGATAATGGGCTGGAATTTCAAACAAATGAGTTACGTGATTACTATGAGCACGAGGGCATTATTCTTCAAACCAGTTGTGTTAACACGCCACAACAGAACGGTGTTGTTGAAAGAAAACATCGGAGCTTGTTAGAGATGGCTAGAGCACTCCGCTTCCATGCCAATCTCCCGATCAAGTACTGGGGAGAATGTGTTCTGACGGCTGCCTATCTTCTCAACAGGTTACCTACAGTGGCTACTGGTAATGTCATGCCCTATGAACGGTTGTTTAACCGGCCTCCATCATACAATCACCTCCGTGTTTTCGGGTGCCTGGTTTATGCAAAAGACACTTCTCATCACCTCGATAAGTTTGGCGAACGGGGACAAGCTTGTGTGTTTTTGGGTTACCCGGCTACACAGAAAGGATATCGTGTACTAGACCTAGAAACACACCAGCTGTTCACGTCCCGTGACGTTGTCTTTCATGAAGATCGCTTTCCTTTTCACCTCGCCAATGATCCTAGTTCAGGTCCATGTTCTTCTCCCAGCCGAGAGTTTTTTTGATGAAGAGGAGTTGCTTGCTAGCGATCATGATAATGTGCATGATAATGATACCCCCTCCCTGCCGGACATGCACACGTCCGCCAATGTTGGAGATTTGTCCCCTAGCGTTAGCTCCGACAAAATTTCTCCTCAACCCCATGGAGCAAATAATGACCAATCCTCACCTGCTTCTCCAAATGCCGAGGAGGCCCTCCCTAGTGTTGCTCCAGCTCCCCTTCGTCATAGCGACCGCAATCGCCATCCTCCATGTCACCTCATTCGAGATTATGATGTTGATCTTCCTTCTTTCCAATCTTGTTTTGCTAAAGCTGTCAAGTACCCCTTAGCTGCCGTTGTTAATTATAGTCGCCTGTCTCCTGATCACCGGGCTTTTCTTGCAGCTATTTCCCGCACCACTGAGCCTCGGTTCTTCCATGAGGCAGTTCGCTACGTGTGGTGGCGAGAGGCGATGCAAAAGGAGGTGACCGCCCTTGAAGCAAATGGCACTTGGGAATTTACCATCTTACCTGCTAGCCGCAAGCTTATCGATTCCAAGTGGGTCTATAAGATTAAATACCATCCCGATGGCAGCATCGAGCGCTATAAAGCGCGCCTAGTCGCCAAAGGTTTTACGCAGATTGAAGGCGTTGACTTCCATGATACTTTTGCTCCCGTTGCCAAGTTGTTGACTGTTCGTTGTGTCATTGCTCTTGCTGCTCAACGTGGTTTGTTTTTGCACCAGCTCGATGTCAACAACGCATTTTTACACGGAGATTTGGAAGAGGAGGTCTATATGAAGGTTCCACAAGGTTTTAGCCGACCCGGAGACAATCGCGTATGCCGTCTTTGCAAGTCTATCTATGGTTTGAAGCAGGCTTCTCGAAATTGGTATACCAAGTTCACATCTGCAATCGTCGAGTTTGGGTTCGCTTTATCTAAGGCTGACCACTCGCTTTTCACTTATCACCGTGGAGACGTGTTCCTTGTCCTCCTAATCTACGTCGATGATGTGTTCCTGGGAGGCAACTCATTGGTTGACATTCAGCGGGTCAAGGAATTCTTACATGCTCATTTTAGTATCAAGGATCTGGGAATCTTGAAGTAATTCTTGAGCATTGAGGTTGCTCGGTCACGCAAGGGAATTGTTCTTACTCAGCGCAAATATGTGCTGGATATCCTTGCCGATGCCAGTGTCCAGGGTGCCCAACCATGTTCTTTTCCCATTGAGCAAAATCACCGGCTCACTTTTGGATGAGGGTGATGTGGCTCCCGACCTTGCTACCTATCGTCGTCTGGTAGGTCGCCTGTTATATCTTACAGTGACTCGTCCGGATATTGTTTATGCAGTCAACATTTTAAGTCAGGCAGTGCATTCTCCGCGTCGTGCTCATGTTGATGCTGCCAATCGTGTTTTTCGTTATCTGAAGAGTGCACCTGGTAAAGGACTGTTTTTCTCCACTGCTGGCGAACCTACTTTCACTGCTTACTGTGATGCTGACTGGGGAGGCTGTCAGCAAACCCGACGCTCGACCACATGTTATTTTATTACCCTTGGTGCCAGTCCCATTTCTTGGCGCACTAAGAAGCAAACTGTTGTTGCACGGTCCTCTGCAGAAGCCGAGTATCGTGCCATGGCCAGTACGGTTAGTGAGGTGGTCTGGTTGCGTTGGTTACTTCATGAGCTGGGCGTATCCTTATCTGCTCCTACGCCATTGTATTGTGACAACCAGGCGGCTCTACACATAGCGGCCAATCCGGTCTTCCATGAGCGCACCAAGCACGTGGAAATGGATTGTCATTTCATTCGTGAACGTGTTGCCTCTTCCGAGATAGTGCCACAAAAGATCTCTACAGCAGAGCAGACAGCGGATTTGTTCACTAAAGGCTTGGGCGCAGAGCGTTTTGCTTTAATTCGTTCCAAGCTTGGCATGTATGATATTCATGCCTCTGCTTGAGGAGGCGTATTGGAGGTCACGAGTGCAGGATGTGATCCTCTCCCGCACGTGTTGTGCGTGTATGGCTGCATGGGCATGTTTGTCTTTTGCCTTTTATTTTTTGTACCCTAGTTGTTAGATGATGGGCTTTGATTTGTAGGATATATATATGTAGCTTTCTCCTGCTGAAAGCAAGAAGGTACGTACAACATAATACAAAACCCTAAGGACGGGTTAGTTTCTCCGTGGATTAGCGACGCTCACATCGAATGGCGTGAACCACGTAAATCCTCGTGTCTTGTTACGAATTTATCAACTGGGGAAACAAAAAAGGCTGTCATTACCGACGCCACGTTTTTCGTCAAAATAAATCAATTTGTGTCGGAAATGACCTTTTCCGACGACATATAGTCACCAGACGTTGTCAGAAATTGTCCCGTCGCTAATAAAAAATTACTGACCAGGCGTCAGAACAAAAACATTATTGACGACATAAAATAGTTAGTAATAAAAAAATGACGTCACAAATGAAATCACTCATGACAGATGAATTTGAAGAATTTTGTTTTCGAAGACAAATTTATTCATTTTTGACGAATTATATTCGTAAATAATCAAGAAGTTCTGACTAGCCATCATAAATACTATTTATATTAACGTCCACAAATCGTCGAAAATAAATATTTCTAACAAGAATTTGAGGCCAAAATTTTGTTTTTATATGTTGTACACACATTTGTGAGGTGGTTATGGCGTCAATAATATATTATTCTCGACGGATAGTCAGAAATATTATTTTTACTAATGCCAACAAAATTTCGTTAAAACTACATTTTTACCGAGGACAACTATTTAGCGTAAAAAAAATATTATATTTACTAATGACATCGGGATAGATGAGGAAGCAATAATTCTCGAGTGCAATAATACCCACCTTTTTACTGCCCTTTCATATTCACGAGTCCCAAAATCAGTGCAATTAAATCGAATAATTAATAAACCAAGGAAATGGCACCCTTCACAGAATTCATTCTTCCACTAAATGAAATCTAGCTAGCCATTACAAAAACAACTCAACATCGATCGAAATTATAATCTATCATACATCCCCATATATAATATGAACAAATCAGTCAAACTAAAAGCTGAAAGCGGCTAAAAAGAAAATCCAATAGGGGCCTTGAAGAACTCTAAACTCGACCGCTGAAGATGTACAAGGTCCTACTTCGCATTTGCTATCTCTGTATCCTCTCGTCGCTGGTAAATCCTCTGGCATGTGAACCCCTCCTTTTCTCCTCTATGGCGGCGTGCTCTCCAAAACATCAAAATAAACAAACAAAAAAAAAATACAAAAATCAGAAACATAAATCAAACCAAAATCCTAAAAGGCGACATGCAACCTGGAAGGAAACTTACCTCTTCCTTTCATCACCACCGTCGTCATCAACTCCGACATAAGAAGGCAGATCGAGGAAGATCGAGATGGAAAGAGGAGATCGAGAACGAGAGGGACATTTCGTTTCGATTTGGCCGATTATGAATCAAAAAGACAGGGATGATAAAGAGTGGCGGGAGAAGGAGGAATCCATAGAAAGAAGGGAATTCATTTTTTGCCCTCTGTACGTTCTTCATCCAGAAGTAAGACTAGAGAGGGAAGACTAAAGGTGGCGGCTGGTTAGAATGGGAGATTAGGATTTTTTGTGTGTATCAATCTATATTTATATGCATAGTCCGAGAAGGGATGGGAAGGCGGGATTTTTCCGTTGGTGAAGGGGTTGCAGCGTTGAGTTACAAAAGGGGAGATGAAGGGGTTGCAGCGTTGGGTTACAAAAGGGGGTTCTCGGTTTTATCCGCCAGTGATGGATTGTTTTTAAGGAAGGCGAGATTTTGCCCGCCACTGAGATCTTGAGAAACGAAGCGGCGGAGAAGGGTATTAATTCTTCTTCTTTTTTATATATTTTCTTTTAGTTAAATCAACAATTGGGGAAGGCGGATTTTCCCGTTGGTGAGAATCAATGATGAAGGGTATTGAAACCCTTTTTCTTTTCCTTAAAAAAAAGAAGAAATCCTTTTACCTTTTTTTTTAAGTTTCTAGTTACATAATTCGTTGGTTGTGTTTTTGGATGTTGTTTAGGGTAAAGTTTTCACAAGTTTAGTTCACGTTACCAATTAGTTAATTATAATACATTTCACTTGGAGTATAAGATTTGGATGGTTTAATTGACAAAGTCATCCTTAATTGTATAGGGGTCTTTCGATATCGTCGTGTCGGTTATCAGTTTTAATCGAGTACTGAATTGATACTTATGGTTAATGGTTAAACGATAATTGTTAAATTAGGTTATTTGCTAAAGTTCAGGGTAAGGGTCTAGGGTAAATTTTTTTACAGGGTTTAGGGTATTGGCTAAAGTTCAGGGTAAGGGTTTAGGGTTTTACAGGTTTAGGATATTGGCTAAAGTTCAGGGTAAGGGTTTAGCGTTTAGGGTTCAGGGTTTATGGTTTAGTGTAGGGTTTAGGGTTTACAGTCTTGTTAAAAATTTTAACTAAGTAATTGAAACAAATTGGAAGAATCAAACGAGTCCTGCACTACTCAGGATATTGTATCAATGGATTCAGATTTCACACTCGTACTCGCGAGTTAACCAAAAGCAGTCAAAACAATGGTGTGATGGTGAGAGGGGAGAACGATGGTGAAATTCATTACTATGGCATTCTCACCGATATCATCGAGCTTCGTTATACAGAAGGGCTTCGTGGTGTATTGTTTCAGTGTGAGTGGTATGACACCGCTTGCGAAGGCGTTGGTTACAAGAAAGATGGACATGGCACTATTACCATCAACACAACGCGAAGGCTTAGAACATATGAGCCATTTGTTCTGACTAGTCAATCAATTCAAGTTTATTATGTGCAATCTTTAAGAGATCCAAATTGGGAAATTGTGGTTGAAACGCGACCAAGAAATTTGTTCGCGATGCCATCTAATACGGAAGGAGAAGGAGAAGGAGCATTAGACGAAGCCTATCAAGAAGACAATATTTTAATTGATGATCCTAGGGTACTCCAAACTTAGGGAGATATTCTCTTAAACTGGACTAGAGCAGGGTTCGAAGATTAAGATTGACTAATTTGGTCTTTGCAGATCGAAATATATATTATATAATTTCTATTATAATTTTCATAGAAACAGTGCTTACTATGTGTTTTTTATTGATTCAATAATCATTTCTGAAAATGTCATTCTTGTCCATTTATGAAAAAATGTACAATAATTTATTTTGTAAGAAAGGTTTCAATTTTGTAACCAAATGGTTCAAAAGAATTGTGTGGCATACAAAATGTATTTGTGCTTACCATTTACTGCTGACGAATTTTTTTTTTTATGAATGGTAGGGCTTTTCATTTCATAAAAAATGGGGCAAACAACTTTGCTGGCAACAAGCTCTAACCAGCTGAGCAATGAACCTTTACAAGGAGATCACATTAAACTAAAATAGACTAGCCAAACTATAACCATAGAATTAGAAAAAACGATCTAGGATCCCATGGTCCAGTAACAGCCTCAGATCTCCTTTTATCAGTCTCAGCTCTTCCATGTCAAACACCTTACCTCCAAACTTAATCCTGCATCTCTCCCTCCAGATGCTGACGACATTTTATGGCGTAAAAAATGTTATTTTTTTCCTGACCAAACTGTGGTCACGAAATTTTTCCTCACCAAATAGTACTGACAAAATGTTTATGGTGTAAAAAATGTGTTTCACTGACCAAAAGGTATTGACGTAATTTTTATGATATCAGAAAAGTTGTTTCCTGACCCAATAGTATTGACGAAATTTTACTGTTGTCAAAAAAGAATTTTTTCCTGGCCAATTAGTATTGACGAACTTTTATGATATCAGAAAATGTGTTTTACTGACCAAAAGTATTGACGTAATTTTTATGATATCAGAAAAGCTGTTTTCCTGACCAAATAGTATTGACGAAATTTTACTGTTGTCAAAAAAGAATTTTTCCTTACCAAATAGTACTGATGAAGTGTTTATGGCGTAACAATTGGAGTTTTTCTGACCAATTAGTATTGACGAACTTTTGGTGTTGTCAAAAATGAATTTTTCTGACCAATTACTTATGACGAAAAATTCATTTCGTCAAAATTAAAAATTAAATTTCGACGATCGATATTTTGACGTCAATAATAATTATATTTTCTGACGACATTTTTTTGTTGGTTAGTAATAATGATTATTTCTAACGCATAATACGAAGTCATAAAAAATAATCCGCCTGAAAAATGGAAATCGAGGCAAAAACATTAACTGACAAAAAAAATACGATTTTTGACAAAAATCCACATCTGTCAGTAATAATTTCATTATTACAGACGGAAATTGTTTTTCATCGGAATTATTGATTTTTTTTACGCAATTTTTGAGTCATCAGTAAATTTTTGTCACAATTGCCTGCCTTTTTTTGTAGTGAAAGAGGGAGTTTGTGACATCGCATAGGGACCTCGTGGTAGTGGTGGTGGGAGGCAGAGGCGGCGTCTCCACTGTCGGAGGGATGGCGATGCAGCGGTGGTGGAAGGGCGGTGAAAGGGCTGCGGCGAGAAGGTTGCGGCAGTGGTGGGAGGCGGAGGGCACGACGAGTTGGAGGGTTGCGGCGCAGGGCTGTGGCGATGCGGTGGTGGGAGGCGGAGGGCGCAACGGGTCAACGGGAGGACTCTAGCAGTGTTGGCGGAAGAGAGACAGAGCAGTGTTGGCGGAAGAGAGAGAGAGAGAGAGAGAGAGAGAGAGAGAGAGAGAGAGAGAGAGAGAGAGAGAGAGAGAGAGAGAGAGGGGGGGGGGGGAGAGTGAGAGAGAGAGAAGAGATGGGAGGAAGAAGAAGAGAGAATTGTTGGTGATGGCGGTAGAGAGAGAGAGTGGAAATAGGGTTAATGTAGGATTTTGGGTAATTAATAGGGGTAATTATCTAATGTGGTAAAAAATTCTGTCCAAAAATACCGTTAATCCAAACTGTACTGTTAATTTGAAAATAGTAAGAAAGAGAATGAAATAGAAGGTTAAGATGTGGGTAGCGAAATTCACAACCCCTTTAAGGGGAAGTGGCGGTATCCCATCCCACATAATATCTCTACTACTAATCATAAAAATTTTCAATTACTACTAATCATAAATTAAATATTATAAACCATCAAATCACTAATACAAATCATTAAATAAAGGGCTAATACCACTCGGAAACCCAAACTATTAAGAATGTGTCATTTGTGTCATAAAGTATCCAATATGACATTGTGTCCTAAACTATTTTTCCGTTAGAGTTGACCAGTTGACCGTTAGTATTTAACAAATGGCACATTCTTAATAGTTCGGGTTAGGACATAAATGACACAAACTATAATAGGTTGGGACATAAATGACACAATACTATAATAGGTTGGGAGACAAATGTCATATTGGATACTTTAGGACACAAAAGACACATTCTTGATAGTTCGGGTTTCCTAATGATATTAGCCATTTATTTAATGATTTACTACAGATGTACAGGATATCAAATATCGTTCGAAAGTCACTATTAAAATCGCGCTAAATTATTACTAATAACCAGAAAATAGTTATAACTAATTGAAAATCATAAAATGACTACCATAAATCATCAAAAACACTGTTATTTTGAAATCACTACAACAGTTGAAAAACACTATATTTTCATGAATCACTCACACTCTTGAACAAACACACCACATACAGAGAGAAAAGTAATTGAGGAGTGAGAGAGAGGGAGAGACGTGATGGAGGTAGAGACGATGAGTAATTTTTTTCCTTTTCCCTAAAAATCAACCTTATTTTCATTAAAAAAAATACACACGATAAAATATTTTATTGCTAATTTTTTAATAATCCATAATATAATTTTAGGGGTCGTTTGGATGGGTGTTTCTCATGAGGGAATTTGGCCCAATTGTCTCAAAATGAGACAATTGGACCACATTGTCTCATTTGGCACCCCAAAAGCAAAATGGAGCAATTTGGGCCGGGGGAATTAGAATTGGATCATTAGGGTGCAATTGGAAAAACCTGGGTGGAGGGGAGGGAATTATAATTGACTTGTTTTCCCCCACCTCTTCCAAAAGCGACCTTCTCATTTTTCCCTTCTCTCTCTTCAGTCTTCAGAGAGACGAAACCTTTCTTCTCTCTTTCCCATCTTTCTTCAACTGTCACCGATAGAAATCCCTTCCTCTCTTTCCCGTCTCTCTTTGATAGACGTAGACGGCATGCAACGGCGAGAACAAGATCGCCGATCTTGTCTCTTACATTTTTTTTGTAGATTTTCTGATCTAGGCTTCGATGGCGAGACCCAAATCTGGCAGAGCGAAGACGAGTCAAAGAGAGGAATAGAGAAGCTCTTCAGAGAAAGTGATTAATTGAGTTCGAGTTTTCAGAGGTTGATCTTTGTCTTTGCCCACGCTTTCTGTTTTGAATTAGCAATTACCTTTCCTCTAAAAACTAGAGTTCTTAGAAGCTAGATTTTTCTTCCCCTGCTACCTATGTCTTCATCTGACTATGAGAAAGTCAACTTTGTGGTAGGGATGAAGATGAACAATCGAAGAAGAAGTCAAAGAAAGAAAATGAAGGAGAGCTCAATCTTGTTTTTCTTTATTGTTAGCCATCACCAATGGATGGAGTTGAAACCCAGATTTGGCTTTAACAAATCATGTTCTTTTTTTATTGTGGTTTGTTAGTGTTCTAATCGAAATTTGGATTTGTTGGATATGTGGAAGAGGGGAAATGAATTATTTAATATATATATTTTTTTAAATTGACATGTCATTAAGTGAATGGTTCAGTCAATAATCTTGTTTGTCATGTCATCAAAAAACTGATGGAATTAACGGAGTTTTACGACCGGTGATTTAAGCTAGAACGATTCATAAATTTGGTGGTATAAGTAAGAAATCAAAGTAATTAAGGTTTAACCAATTTGAGATTATTTTAATGTAATTTAGCATAAAAGAGTTTATTGGGTTATTTAAGGATGTGGGCTAAAGGAACTCAAGAGCCCAATTCAATGTGTTATTGGTTGTGGTACTGGACCAACCTGAGCCCAACACTGAATAAAGGAAACAGTGGGCGTATACGGTATATATCCCCGCCAGGCCGCCACTCTCTCTCTCTGTCTCTCCCTCTAATCTGCTCAGTCGGTCATTTGCCCCTCGCCCTGTAAGCGGAAAGTAGCGGACCAATGATGCCGCCGACGGCCGAGCCTTCTCCCGACCATGCTTCCACTTCCTCCGGCGATAAAGACTCCGACCCCGTTCTGGATAACAGTTCTCCGGCTCCTATTCCTGCTCCCGAGGTCTCTAGCCATCGGTAACGATTTCCTACCCGACAATTTTTTTTTTTAATTTTCTCTCCGGCATCTTATTCTTGGTAAGAACTGAAATCAGTGATGTGTAGTTGAAGAATCAGTAAGGGATGTCTGAAATTGAGGTTTAATAAACATTAGGCTTCACCACCACCACAACCACCATCTCCTTCTTCTCCATTGAACAAACTCGTGTTCTAAGTAGGGCATCCTTCTAGCAACTGGTATAAATTGTTGTCCGTTGAGATATGTCTTTCATGGAGTACTGTTGTTTAATCTCCTTGCTGGTTTTTGACCATCCTTTATTTGGTGGATGACTATTACTCTAGCGAAAAAATCTGGGTTCTTACTCTCTGTTTTCACTTGTCAGCGAGGAAGAACCTGGACCTGAGACTCCTAACAAAGAAGGTGGAGACGTTCTGGAACTTATTGCATCCACTGGGAAATTCTGGTATTCTCTCGCACTTGGTAATTAGCTTTTGCCCAGTGTTATCTTAGAGATATCGAGTTGCAAGATCTTGTCCTTGTTGTCCTAGTATGAGTTGAACAATTGGCTACCCTAACATGGATTTTGATGCTTAGTTTAATAGTTGGTTACCTTTCCTTGATCCGTTGTCGTAGTTGGGGGGAAAACCAGTGCTAAGTGGTAATGTATTTCGTGTTCTCGCAGGCACAACTGGGATGACTTGAAGATTATGCTATCATCTAAGCTGAAGCAGGTATGGGGAGGTATGCAAACGTGTTTCCATGACGTTGATGACAAGATTTGTTTCTGACTTTTCATAATCTTAGTTAAGCACTGGTCCAATGGTTGGTTAAATGATTCCAGTGCTGACAGCTTTAATTTGCTTTGGTTTGCTTATGGTGCTCACTTCCCTTCATGAAGGTTCTGTCCGAGTATCCCGAGGTGAAAATGACTAGTGAGGAGCAGAAAGCTTCACTAGGAGAAACCTACCCAGAGCTGATGAAAAGGCTGGATGATGGTATGCTTGTGCACCCCCTTTGTTATTCGAGTTGGCTGCCCCTTTTCTATCGGCTATTGACTTATACTTTAGGAAACTGGTATCTTGAACGTGATGGCTGACCATCTTGCTCTTATGTGTAATTCATAATATGGAATCTGGTGGCATATGATCTCGAGTTGGGGCTTAGACTGGATGTAGTAATAGTAACCATGATGCCCTTGTATATGACGATGAATACATTAGCGGAACCATGATCACCACTCCATCCGTCAAGAAAAATAAAAAAGCTAAAAGTTTCACCTCTTTAGGATTTAGGGTTGTTATGTGGGGTGGAATGAAGCTATGACTTGAGCTGAACTTTGCTGAAAAATTGGACAGGTTGTTAATATCACATGCTTCATGCATATAGTAATTTATGCTGCTACTCCAGTGTATTGCCCATTGGCAAACATTGCTTAACAATTCATTTTGCTTCATCGTGCAGCTCTTCTTAGTTTTGATGAAGGCCCGCCATTTACCCTGCAAAGGCTATGTGAGGTGATTCCATGTCTAGATTGCCTTAGTCATACATATGCAGTATTGACGAAGATACGTTTGCTATCTAGTTACATCCATTGTTGAATTGGCAGCTGAGCTCATTGTATGTAGCCAGTCTTACTGGAGTAGTTGTAAATTCTGTGAGGAGCAGGGGAATTCCTTTTCTGGGATAAATATATAGAAACTGAGCCTGAGGTTTTCTTTTTTGTGCTTTGAAAACTTGCCAAATGCCGATACTTGGCTAGACATTCATACACATTTATCTCTCTTTGTCAACTATATGGACGTAGGGTGCGCGCGTTGTCTATGCTTGTTGTTTCAGCGGTCAGACTGAGGTATTTTTACTAATATCATGTTTTTTTAGATCCTGTTGACAGCAAAGAGCATATACCCAAATCTCTCAAAGCTTGCTCTAGCTCTTGAAAAGGTTAGTTGGCTGTTATTTCTCTTGATGGTTATACGCATACAGCTCGTTCTTTGCTTCTTGTTATGTATACAGTCTACTATACTAAGCTCTCTTTCGTTGCAGAATCTATTAGTGACGTCCATGTTGACTGCTTGTACTGATCCACATCCACTAGCGACTCAAAATCAGGATGAAACTGACAAAGCAACTCCAATCCAGCAGCAACCATCCCACTCCGAACAAAATGGAGTCCAGCACCCTACAGCAGCAGATGGGGATGAAATTATGGCCGACGTTGAGACTGATATTGGCGATGAGATGACTATTGACATGGAACCCTTGGAAGAAATGAAATAGTTGGATCAATCTCCGGAGGCAAAAATTTATGCATGAATCTCGAAAATCCTAACCGAACTTTGTATGTCCTATGACCTTATCGGCTCATTTAGATTCTTATGGTTCCTTCTTTAGAGCATACATCGATTCATTACTATCCCACATGCGCGAGACTGGAAACAGATGGTCGTATGTATCAGTTGATTAGAATCATCATGTTGTTATTCATGATTATGCTGGTCTAGTTTACTTTCAAGTTGGAATGAATGGGTTTTGAGTAGTTCGATTTTGATGTCTTATCATTTTTACGATTTTGAAGTCTATTGCTTCGTTGATTGGTTGTTGAGTTTTTGTGATGGATTGTGGCGTGTGAATTTCGTGATGAATCGATCTGTGATCTGTCACACTGTTCATCGATTCGAGGATAAATATGTTGAAGTAGTTTGATTGATTCAAATCTTTGATTTACAGATCAATTAGGTGTGAACCCATTGGGGCTTGAATCCATCTCTTTTTGTTGAGCCAAAGAATCGATTTGAAGAAATCCCTATTCTGGAAACTCATCAGCCAAAGGAGCTGCTGTGTAACATATGACACATAAGATTATTGATCCATATCATACAGTGGATTGAGCTACACGCAAATTCATTCTATATTTATGCCAGAAAGCAGTCTAGAAATCCTGATTTCTCCATTATGCATAAGGTATAGCACTACTACGACGACGAGGCTCGAACCCTGGGGGACAACTTGACTTCGAGCGGGTGCTTCATAACAACGGTAAACTCAGGCTTCTCCGCCAGATCAACTTCCCCTGCAGCTTCCCACTTGAAGTTCCTCACAAGATTAGCCACAAAGTACTCAAGATGCAGCATCGCCAGAGTATACCCAGGACACATCCTCCTCCCAGCACCAAACGGCATCATCTTGATCTCCTTGCTTCCGGTCAAATCGAACTCACCACCACCACCACCTTCGAGGAACCTCTCCGGCTTGAACGCCATGGGATCCTCCCAGACCTTAGGATCCCACCCCATCTCCGCCACCATGAAGTTAACAGCAGCATTCTTGGGGATCGTAAACTTGCCGTCCAGCACCGTATCCTCCGTCACCGAATGCGGCAGCACGAAATGACCCGGCGGGTGTCTCCTCAATCCTTCCAAGCACACCGCCCTCAGGTACCTCATCTTCCCCAAATCCTCCTCAAAAACCTCTTCACTTCCTTCCACCACTGCGCTTTCAACCTCCCGAAACAGCTTCTCCTGAACGTCAGGGCACTTCACCAAGTTCGCCATGATCCACTCCAGTGCTGTTGTAGTCGTGTCAGTCCCTCCGTCGAGGAATTCGGAGCACAAGCCCAGAATTTCCCCCTCGGTAAGCTTTCTCTTCCTCTGCTCTCCATTACCATCAGTATCTGGTAGCTCCATTTCAAGCAACGAATCCACGTAGCAGGTACGTGCTTGTTCTTCTTCCCCCTCCCCTTTTCCAATTTTTTCCTTCCTGGCTCTGATTAGAGGGAGAAGGACCTGATGCTGTTCATGACGAAGCTGATGAAATTCCTTCCATTGGCGACGGAGGAGGAATTTAGTGATGCTCGGCCAGAGGTTAAGTATCTGAAAGCGACGGAACCCCAGCAGCATCCTCCTCTGAACTCGTCCCACCTCATGGATTTGATCCTCCTCCAGCCTGTCGCCAAAGCACATGAGCACCAGCAGGGCGAACATGGCATGGTGGATGTGATCTTTCAACCTCAGGCTGCTCTGTTCTTGGTTGTGATGGTTCCGGATTCGGCGGAGGAGGATTTGGAGGACCCATGAGCGAGCGCGGGAGAAGGACCTGACGCGGGAAGGGTGGAGGATTTGGGAAGTGAGGTTGCGGCGGAGGAGGCGCCATGTGATGCCGTAGGAGGCGGAGCTGATGTTGTGCTGGTTGGAGGAGACGATTTTGGAGACAGGGGGAGCCGGCGGCCGGTCGGCGAAAACGGCGCCGTCCTGGATGAGGGCTTGGTGGGCTAAGGAGTGGGAGGAGATGAAGATGACCGGACGGGAGAAGATGCCGATTTTGATGATGGAGCCGTACCTGGCGCGGAGCTTAACGAGTGCTGGTTCCAGGTCGGAGAATCCTTTGCTTTTCAGCATCCAGAGGAAGGTGCCGATGATTGGGATGGAGAATGGTCCTGGTGGGAGCTTGCTGTGTGAGGGCTTGAAGAGGTGGGTTTTACAGAGTACGAGGGTTAGGGAGGTGATGACGGTAGCGACTATGATCGAGCTGATTTCCTCCATGGCTGCTGCTGCTCTGCTCGCTAACAGAAGAAGCAGAGCAATACCCACGAAGTTGGAGTCCTGATAGATGAGAAGATATAGATACAGAGAGTGATGGGCTAAGGGATTTCAACTTCAGGGGAAAGAAGTGGAGGACGTGCTTTGGCGTAGGGAGATGGTTATGTGGATCAGGGCAAGTCTTTGTCTGACAAACAAACAGAGGTGGGAGAAAACGGACGTATTTGTGGTTGCTCCAATAAGAGAAGAGAAAGAGAGATGGGAAGAGGATGTGGAGTTTTCGTCTTAGATGAGTGCCTTTCTCTTGTAGATTAGTGATGAAAATGAAGTGGAAAGGTTTGTTGTCATCTTCCTTTTGGTTTTATTCATTCGTCCCGGGAAATTCCAAAGCAGAGTGGACAAATAAGAAATCTCACAAGTGTCATACGGAAGATCTTGCTCACACTGCAATCACCACGGTGCTGAAATTGCCCGGGTGGCGTGGTCGAACGTGACGAGATATAGAGGTGTGCCTCCTCTGCTCTCTAGTTCCTTCCCGAGTTGGCGCCGGAAGCGGACCGGTCTAGAATTAGAGTTTAGAAGTTAATTTTTGTAATATTAATCCCCAAGTTCCCCAAATTTCGGATTTACAGTTCATTACGATTTTTTAGGGATTACCGGATTACTATTAGCAAAGTTCTATGATAAGCCAAAGTCAACTAATATTAATCCGCAAGTTCCCTAAATTTTGGATTTTCTGTTGATTACGATTTTTTAGGGGATTACCGGATTACTATTAGCAGAGTTCTATGATAAGCCAAAGTCAACTAATTTGGGCCGGCCGAGTATGACCATGGGTTTGGCCTGTACGTGGGCACCGGGTCGGGCTGCCCACGGGCTAGCACGACACGGTACGGTTAGAGCACGACACGAGCACAGACACGAATTAAATGGGCCAGCTCGGCACGGGCACGAATAATTTATGGGTCGTGCCGGGCCTAAATTTTATGGATACGGGCATGAGCACGGGCACGACACGGTATATAAGTGGGGCATGTTGGGCCTAATATTTTTTAGATTTTATTTAGTATAAGAACAGACATGGCACAAAAATAACATTTATTCGATAGAAAATATATATAGAAAGAATTATAGGTTCAAATATTACAAAATACAAGTAGAAAAATAATTATTTGTTGTTGTTAGAAGGGTCATAAAGATATATACGTAATTACTACCATAAGTAAAAATGGACGAAGAATTAAACAAAGCCAAATCACACCCACTATACTTCCAATTTTCTTTTTCCCCTTATTTGTTGCTTTTCTCAAACATTCTCGGTTAATACTATCTTTCTTCATCCAATTTTCACATTTTTTTCATTCTCTCTTTTTATTTTCTTCCTTTTCATTAGACACGAATACGAGCACGACACGAGCACGAATAGGCACGACACGATTCCAATCGTGTTCGGGCCTGGACCGGGCCTAGCAAAGTTAACAAATGGCCTTTCACGGCACGACACGAAAAGTGACGGACCGTGCCAAGCACGACACGAAATAAATGGGTCTGAAGCGTACCCGTGTCGTGCCGGCCCAAGCACGGCCCAACGTCCATGTACAGTTTGGCCTAGCTAGCTATTTCCTTCCTTCGCTAGCTAAGCAAACGGGAAACTCTATTGTGGCGATGAAATAGCCTAACTTATGCCAAAAGAGAAAAGTTCCATCTAATGCATTGGATGTTTTAGAATCAGGCCGAATGTTGAATCGAAAAAGTTAGTGGTTGATGGTTCAACGGTAACCGTTATAGAACTATTGATTAATTATTGACAACACCGTTCATGCACTGTAATAAATCAAATCAATTGAAATGAACCGCTATAATAAATGGTTTAATTATTCTATGGGCCCACCCAATGATCCAGTTCGGTTCTTCTATAATAGATTTTACTTTTATAGGGTTTGCACAATTGATTTTCCAACATCATTCCAATCACAATTAATGAGAATCGCATTGGTGCCTTAATTACTTTGTGGGTTGTTTGGAGAAAAAATTTCAACTATGGATTCATTGAATTCGTAGATTTTGTAAGAAGTCATGCTTTTTTTGTTGCTTTTTGCATTGTAAATTTTATATTTTTATTTATTTATCCCACTAAATACACATATTAATGTATTCTCTGGAACTAGACTAATTTTATTATTAAGGATAAACATGTAGCGGATTAAAAAAAAGAATATGCCAATTGGTATTGGAAAAAAATTGTTAAGCTTCAACTAAACTTTTGATCGAATGTGATACTTTTCGGAACTAAATTCACTTTTATTAAATATTTTTCCTTTGGTATTACCTACTATATTCTTCATCTCATCAATTTGAATTACGCAAAGGTTCCATGAGATAAGTAAATTTTACATAATAATTTAATAAAATGTGAAACTTATACGTAAGTTGATTTTATTGTTAGACCACACATCATGGAAAATTTGCGTAATACCAACTTATAACGGGATAGTTATTTCTTCTGTATTAATTAAGCAAACGTATTATGTAAGTATTTCGTAATAATTAAGATATTACATAAAGCTTATGCAAGTATCTTAACCAAACAATATTGTGAATATATATTTATTTCAATTAAACCATTAAATGAGTGACTAAAGTTCGATTATTATTATAAGTTTATTACCCAGGGGTGGAGCCAGGATTCAGTGCTTGGGGGTTGAAGTTTCTTACTCCGTCATTCCTAAAAAAATGTGAGAATCAATAAAAATGAAACTCCTCTTATTTTTGAATTGAAAAATTAATCCTTGCTTTTAAATTAAAGTACTTGGAAAAAACAAAATATACTATTGAGTACTTTACCTATAACAAAAATTGCAACTCGTGGGTATTGAACCCCTTACCTTGGGCTTATATAAAATAACTTATCCTGTGGGCTAGATTTAAATTGACAACCTATTTAACACATCAACTTATTTCTTAATTACACTTAGTTTATACGAAATTTCAAAGTACTTGAAAATTTTAAAAGTAACTTCCGAGATTCTCGGGGGCCGAAACCCCCCTTAAGCTAGCTGTAGCTTGGCCCGGTTATTACCGCCGCGAAGCGCGGGTTAAAAAACTAGTTAATATATAAAAGCCTAACTTGTGAGTTATTAATCATTATTGGCTCTCACACTTCCCCAAATGCAAGTGGGGAAGTTCCAAGTTGCTTCTTTTACCTCACTCTTCATTCTACAACCTTTGTGTTAAACCATTGTTCGCTAGGTCTACTTCTATTGAACCCAAACACAAGGGTATCCTAACTTGAACCCAAGGCCGCTACAACGAGTTTTGTATCGGGATCGAGTTTCATTCTCTTTAGTGGTTTTTTCTTTCTCTTTTTTGTTCTTTTTGTGGACCATCATCACAATGGAACCCAAACATTAATTAATATATAAAAGCACAGGTTGTGAGTTACCACGAGTTTTGTATCGAGACCGAGTTTCATCCTTTTTAGTCTTTTTTCTTTCTACTTTCGCTATCACGAGTTTTGTATCGGGACAACGTTTCATCATATTTCGTGTTTTTTCTTTCTCATTTTCCTGGGATTTTTCCAGAAATAGCACCTTTAAAAAAATATTTAAAAAACAGCACACATTCCGTAGAAATTACAAAAATAGCACCCTTTTTAAAAAACCGCACCCCTGGTGCGTTTTGCATGTAAACTGCACCCCCTGGTGCGTTTTGTAATTAAACCGCACCCCCAAGGTGCGGTTTAGCATTCTGGACCAAAACCGCATCTTGGCCATGCGGTTTGCGGTCTGATCTGACCAAACCGCATGGCCTAGATGCGGTCTAGTCCTGACTTATCAAAACCTCACTTTGGGGATGCGGTTTTGCTTCTCCAAAACAAACCGCACCCTCAAAGTGCGGTTTTGGCAACACAAACCGCACCCCCCAATGCGGTTTGTGTGTCAATTATTTTCCAACACCAGACATGCAGCCATGCAGCTTGACAGACGTAGGGCTGCATACGGGAAATTTCTTCTCTTCACACCTCTTCTTCTCCCTTTTCAATTTTCTATTGTAGTTCCCTATTTCTCTAGTGTTTTTGCGGTTAACGTTAACTCGTAAGTTTATTTTGTATTACTTTTTATTGTGAATTGTGATTTTTATGATATTAGTTGAACTAATGTTTTTTGCAGATGGCATTCCAAAAGTTCACGCTTGGGTTACGGTGGAATGGTTACACGGAAGAGAGCGAAAGGGGGTCACTACGTCGGTGGCAATTTTCAGAAAATAAAGGTCGCTACCAGACTGATGCTTGAAGACCTCTATAAAATTGTACTAACGTTACTTGCACGAGGAATATCTCATAACCACTCAGGATGAGGTAGATGCCATGCTCGAATTCTTGAGGTCCAACAATCTTTCCAAAGCCGAGATGTTCGTTTACACCGAGCCGATCGTAGGCGTTGGAGGTCATTCTGGAGACGGTCAAACATCTAGTATCAATGGTGGAGGTGAATTATATGGAGATCATCCCTACCAAAGTTACCATGATCTTCATTCCTATTTTCAGTACTAAGAGCAAGGTGAAGGTCATCATCAATCTTACATGTCATATGAAGAAGAAGTTCAACCGGACCATGCCAACCAGCCCCAGTACAACTTCCAATCAGGCAGTGGTAGTTTTCACAACTACCATTATGGAGCTGATGAAGGTGCCTTTCATGAGCTGGATAAGATGAAAGATGCCGTACCAGCACCAGTCAGTGACCCCTCCGATGAAGAAGGAGAGAACAACGTCAGTGCAGACAGCTCCGACCCTCTTGAAGGTGCTGATGATTCAGGACCAGAGTCAGACTCATATAATGATGATGAGGTGGCTCATGACCGTGTACCAGTCCCCTACTACAATCACATTCCAGACGACAATTGGATGGTCGACAGCGATATGGAACCCCCGGAGGTTCCAATATGGGGTCCACTCACTAGGTTTATGAAGAGCCAACAATTTGGCTCAAAGAAGGATACATACGTATTCAAACATTTGAAATTAATAAAAATCATTTAAGTACACATAAACATAAATCGTATTGGTTGTTTGGTAAGTAATTTAATCGTATTGGTTGTTTTAAATAATTTAATCGAATACAATGCAACACTCATTAGACTTTTAGAAGAGATATATATCTTCTTAGAAACGCAGCCTTTTTGACAGAAAAAGGGAGGATCCGAGGATCTCTTAATACCCGATTTTCCCAGGAAATGGGAGGATCATGTTAATCGCTTAAAATCCCATTTCCTTAGACATGCATATCTTTATAAAGAGTCGAAGTAAGAGTCGAAGTAAGGATCGCTGAGGTGGCAAACGGTCCGTCGCTGGATCGTAGCTGGATCCTGCGGTCTCCAAGCCCGCTCCCGAGGAAACATAGACCGCACCTTGGAGGTGCGGTTTGATAAAAATGTTGCTATTTTTGTAAATATTGTGAGCTGGATGCTATATTTGTAATTTTTTTAATAGGTGCTATTATTGGAAAAATCTCCTTTTCCTTTTTGTCGAGCATCATCACAATTGATCTAAAACATTAATTAATATAAAAAAGCATAGGTTGTGAGTTACCACGAGTTTTGTATCGAGACCGAGTTTCATTCTCTTTAGTGTTTTTTTCTTTCTACTTTTCCTTTTTATTGAGCATCATCACAATTAAACCCAAACACATGGACATCCTAATTTGAACCCAAATCAGCGCATTTCCCACCATTTCGCAACACAGCTCGAGACACTATTGGTGGAATCCTGAGTTGTCATCATCCACCGTTTGCCATGGCTTCAACCAAGGAGCCATACTAGATATGCTCTGTCCAATCCTCAGCATCGCTCACCAATTCACAACCTTCCCAAAACACTCCTAGCGGAATCCTAAGTTGTCCCCTCCACTGTTCTCAATGTCGCTACCAAAAATCCATACCAAATGCATGAGTATCCAACCTAATTCATCCCGAACAAAGCGACTTGAACCTGGTGTTTACAAGTTTCCGGCAGGAGCGAGTTTTATATGTTTTTATAATTTGCGGGTTGTGTCAGGTGTGAATTTGCTCAAAACTTGGTTCAACCAGCTCAAAGCGAGTTGAACCTGGTATTGATGACTTTTGAGTCGGTAGCGAGTTTTACCTTTAGTGTTTTTCATTCGCCGTTTCCTTTTGTTTGAGAAAGACAATTGAACCCAAATCCATTGCATCTAACCTAATTTGACACGATCAATGCGAGTTGAATCTCCTGCATGTATAGAATTCAGCGCGTAAAGTGATTTTCTCAGTCTGTAGACCCTGCTATCACCTGACCTTGAAAACCCTTGCGAAACCTGCATGTATACCTCCTCCTCTATCGCCGTGCAAAAAGGCGTTATTCACATCCAGCTGAGGTAAATCCCAACTTCGTTTAACTGCTACTACCAAGAGGGCACGCACTGTTACCACTTTGGCTAATGGTCCAAAAGTGTCATGGAAATCGACACCTTCGAGCTGTATGAACCCTTTTTACAACTAGTCGCGCCTTATACCGTTCAACAAAACCATCGGGTCTGTATTTTACCTTGTAAACCCACTTGGCGCCTATGGCTTTCATACCCTGCGGAAGAGTCTCCAAAGTCCACGTACCATTGGTTACTAATGCATCAATTTCTCTCTGTATGGCTTCTCTCCAGCAGTCGTGCTTCACGACTTCCTCGAAGGTCTTGGGCTCTACTATCTTTGAAATGGCAGCAAGATACGCTCGCTCATTAGGAGAGAAATGGTCATACCCGACATGGTTGGCAATGGGATACTTCAACACTCCTTCTTCACGGGACTGCCCTACAAGTTCAGTTTCATACAAGTCGACAAGAACATGTGGGGGTCGTCGAATGCGCGTCCCACGCCTCAAACCGGGTTCCTCTGGCTCCCATAGAGCTTCATTATTCTCCTCGTCAAGCATTTCATGCACCTCATCCTCATGCACTCCATGCAACTGGGTCACCATTTCTTCATGGTCTTCATGGGAGTGACCCGCATTATCCTCCTCATCATCATGATCTGCCCGAATCACTTGGGTTAGTTCCACGTCCTCAATGGGAGGATTGGAAATGTCATTTCTCACGGTTTCTCTGGCTGGTACTTCCTTCTCACGGATTGGAAACATGTCCTCAACGAAGTGAACGTCTCGTGAGGAATAGATGCAACGAGTATGAAGATCATATACTCGAAAGCCTTTCTGAGCAGCCAGATACCCAACAAACACACACGGTCTCCCCCTCTCGATGAATTTGTCAAGACCTTGGCGTGTGTCTTTTGCATAAACTAAGCATTCGAAGTTGCGAAGATGCCCATAAGAGGGAATTCGACCGAGAAGTACCTCATAAGGATTCTTGTGGCCAAGGATGCGCGACGATAGTCTATGTATCTGATAGCTAGCCGTGACAACGCATTTTCCCAAAAAACGAACAGGGAGACCCGAGTGGAATCGAAGAGCGCGAGCAGTCACGAGTAGATGACGATGCTTTCGTTCTGCACCGCCATTCTGCTAGGGTGTGTTGATGCAGCTGGTTTGCAGGAGAATGTCGCGAGCCTCATAGTAGTCGCGCAATGTGTGACTTTGGAGTTCCAAACCGTTATCTGCCTGAATTCCTCAAACAGGAGAATGAAACTGAGTCTCAACCATTTGAAAAAATAGACGGAGATAGCGATCAACATATGACTTATACTTAAGAAAATAAACCCAGGTGGCTAGACTGTAGTCATCAACCACTGTCAAAAAAATAGCGAGAACCATCCTAGAAGGAGTGTGATAACCACCCTAAATATCCATATGAACTAACTCGAAACAAGCACGAGTTTTGATAGAATGAGAGACAAAAGGAGTGTAAGTCTTGAATAATACAGACACCAGCCAAGAAGAGTAAAGCAATGTCATGATCCTTGGTCAACCGACTAACAGATAGTAAGTTGCACTTGAACGTCGGAACATGTAACATACACTCAAGTTTAAGAAAACCATTCACAGTTAAGGATCCAATGCCTTCCACTGAAATACTATCTCCATTCGGAATTTGAATTGGAAAGAGAGGACCTGAAGTATTTATTTCATGCAGGCAAGATGAATCCAGAAATTGTGTTCGGTGCAACCCGAGTCAATGATCCAGTCACAAAGGTCAGAATTGTTACTGGCCGCATGTATTGTGGGCTCGTTAGAGGTGTTTGATGGTGATGAGAAAAACTCCTTTAGATGGGCAAATTGAGCCGCCTAAAAGCATGTAATAGGGTTGTCCTCAACTTCAACGCTAGCTGAGCGCAGATTTGACTTCCCTTCTCCTCTCGGTTTGTGAGCATTGCTAGCACTCCGATCACCTTGGCGATCACCGCAGTTCCCTTGACGATTCTTAGCTTGATCAGGGTAGCCGATGATCTTAAAATAAGTCTCCCTAGTACGACCAGTCTCGTGACAATGAGAACAACGTAGTAGTTCATCTTCAACTTCTCTTTGTGCGTTTGAAAAGAGTCCGCTTCCACAACAGGGCGCCGGGTTCCCCTAATCTGTCGTTGTTGCTTTTTAGCTGCCACTAGCTGATATGCTTCGGCCAACGAGGGAACGGGCTTTATGCGTAGAATTTGGGTGCGCACAACCGAGAATGCATCATCGAGGCCAAGAAGAAAATTAAACAAGCTCTCGGTCTCTTCCCTCTCCCTCGTTTGTTTGGCGACGTCACAAGTAGAGTTTCCACAAGATTAACGGGGAGTGATACTCATCGCTTGCAGCTCATCCCAGAATGTGCGTAATTTGGTGTAAAATGCCGAGACGCTTTGTTTTCTTGGCGCAGACCACTAATATGCCCACGCAACTCATAAGCCCGAGCAGCTGACCCGTTTCCAAAGCGTTGCTGCAAATCTGCCCAAATATCACGGGCATTCTTTGCACCTCTCACACTATTGCTTACTTCCTTGCTCATCGCCATTTTCAACCACCCCTTTATGGTGGCATCACATCGACCCAATGCTTCATCCCGAATACCCGATCCTACTTTTGAACGTGGAAGAGATCCATCCACAAAAGCCATCTTGTTTTTTGCGATGAGGGTTTTGTCATATCGTTGACCCATTAGTTGTAGTTGAGATCTGTCAACAAGTCACTCCCGAATAATTGACTAGGGTTTTCAGACGAATGCAGGTAGAGTGGAGACGTAAGAGGTATCACATCATCAGACGAGGAGACGCTGGCCTCGTCGTGCTTCTCGTCGTCACCAACCATCTTGAAACTTCAAACTGACGGTCACAGCTCTGATACAATGTAAAATATATCAATGGAAACCAAAATCAGACACAAGACAACAATTTACGTGGTTTCCCCGTTCAGTGTGAACTAGATTATTCCACGGAGAACGTGAGTTCTCAGATATCTTATTAGCCGCAATTCGTCTGCTGCAGTGCTTACAAAAGCCAAACAAAAGAGGCCCTTATATACTCGACGTGAGTATTAGGGCAAAAGGGGAAAATGCCAAAAAAGGTCCTCCAACAATATAAACACAGTAAACAAAACATACTGTTCTACAGGCGATTATCTCCTCAAGGAGTAGAGCTGGTGGTGTCAGTATATGGTGGACAGAACATGTGCAAGTTACTCTAGTGGCCAATGATTTACATCATATTGATGTAGTGGATGGGAAAAGATGGAGTTTTACTAGAATCTATGGCTGGCCGGAGAGTGGAGAGAAGTGGAGAACGTGGAAACTAATCCGTTCACTCAGTCAACAATGACAGGGTCCTTGTCTTTGTGGGGACGATTTTAACCAAGTGTTATCGATTGATGAGAAAAGAAGAGGAGGCATGCACCGGAACCTGATGTAGTGGATGGGAAAAGATGGAGTTTTACTAGAATCTATAGCTGGCCGGAGAGTGGTGAGAAGTGGAGAACGTGGAAACTAATCCGTTCACTCAGTCAACAATGACAGGGTCCTTGTCTTTGTGGGGACGATTTTAACCAAGTGTTATCGATTGATGAGAAAAGTGGAGGAGGCATGCACCGGAACCTGATGTGGCTGTAACGACCCGATCGTTTTCAACACCGAAATACTCATGGCTCCGGAGCCGACCAAAATAATGTTCAAACCTTTAATAAAAACAAATACAACCGAACTTTTCCAAATGAATTTCAAAAGAAATTCCCTAAACAGTTGGGCGACCTCAGTCCATGGTCAACAAGACCACTAATACTCAAAACCTCGAATCTCCAGTTTCTATACCCATAATCATGAACAACAATAATGGAAATAACTATAGCTCTAACTCCTCGCTGAGCTCCCCTCGATCTCGTCCACTCAGGAGCGGCTTCCCACCTTGCTTGCATCTTCTCGAAGTCACCTCTGCTAACCCTTCCTCGACCTAGTGAGTGAGAAGGGGTCAGTCTCGTCGTGACTTCCTAAGGTCTTTGCCCAAAGCAAACCCTTACTAAACACATTATTAGCGGGTTTCCTGCCTTAGGTGAAAATAGTTCTCGCTTTCATCCTTAACACTTTTTCCTCTAGTACTTATAGAAGCTGTCTACTTCTATCCTTAACTCAAACACACAAATACTAGGGACCACTGCGTTATGTATTGCCTTCCAATGTCCCTACCCTAGTATTCCAAACGTGTTACGTCTCGCCGTCCGGTTGCATACCCAACTCGGCAGGCACGGCATTACGTCTCACCGTCCGGTCCATGCCTGGTCAACTAGAGCGTTACGTCTCGCCGTCTAGTAGTGACCCCAACATACTCGATCAACTGATGCGTTACATCTCGCCGTCCAGTAGTGATCCGACCATCTACTGCTTCCAGTAGTGGCCCAACCGCCCGGGGGTTCATCTTACCATTAATCAGCTATCACAATATCAAATCCATACATTTATACATAGCACAACGAGTGCCCCCACCCTTATAGGCGGTGAGATGCCTCGCACACATATCACGCAAACTCATAAATTAACCAGCATAACTGAAATAAAAGCATAAACTAAAAGACCTCGACGAATAGTTTACCTCCTTTACACTCACCTTGAGAAGACGACCCTTATTTACTTCCAGTGATTTATGTCATCGTGCAAGATTCCACGCTCAAATTTCTGGTGTTTTATCTCCTTTGAATAATACTCATAGCTTAGCTCCGATAGCTCTCTAATCAAGATGAAACTCCATCATTAGAATGTACAACCAATATAGTTAGCTCTTATCACCATTACAATGTCAACTCTGTCTTTTACCCAATAACCGTGCTCCATTTTGAGTCCCCAAACACATTCCATTAGCTAATGTATATGATAACGATCCACTGGGCACTGGCCATAGCCATTCACTTTCACCAAGTCCGCCCATATCTATTTAGTTTCCACCAACCCATTAGTTCCTCCACCTAAATCGATTACCAAACTAGCTTTACCCTTGAATACCCTCATGAGTACTTGGCAATTCCAACTCGCAGGTGTAGCTTTGCAAGTTAGTCCATTATACTAATTCATTCTCATGCCTTCCACTTGTCCCAATTAATTAATATATAAAAGCCAGAGTTGCTTGCTACTGTTCATTAGTGGCCCCCAGACGCTTTGCTGCGAATGGTCTTCCGCCACTCGTTTCTGCTTCGCCGGCCCACGTGTCCGCATTGCCCTCTACACAAATTCGTGAGACTCTTTATTACCCCACTCGCCTTTCAAGAACAGCTGGGTATTCGTCTTCTCCGGCGGGCTAGAACAGGTCCTCTGCACCTCCTCCCCGCTTCTTTCCAAACACACACACCTCCTCTTTGCACACTAAACAGACCCACGCCCACACGCAAGTCCTGAACCACTTATCTTTTCTCCTTACCTTTTAGGAGCTCCACTACTCCTTCCCTCGACAGTGCCGCCCGGTCAATTCGTCGTTAGGGAAGAGAACCTCTTTGTTCGATGCCTCTTCCTGCTCTTTATCCGTTGGTACTTCCTCCAAAATTACCCCAGCCCATTATTCATCCTGCTCTATGCCACCAAACAGCTTTTCTCCTTGCCTTTTTGCCGCTCCGCTGCTCCTTCTCTCGGCGTCGCCGCCCGGTCACTTCATCGTCATGGAAGAGAACCTACAAGGCAATTTTGCTGCTCTTTGTTCGATGCCTCTGCCTCCTCTTTATCCGTTGGTCCTTCCTCCAAAATTACCCCCAAACAGTATTCCTCCTACTCTCTAACCTAAAATCATTCCCCACCAAACAATCTGCTGGTACCTCTAGCCACTCTCGGAGGAATCCTAGGTCTCCGTTGCTTTGAAACCCAAAAAACGATCCTGTATCCTGCAAACCTAAAGGCTCAATCCGGTTTTCAGCCTACCAAACAACCGTCATGCCGCGACAATCGAAGAACCGAACTCGCAAACGGCAGGCGTCGCCGGAAACATCGCAATCGCGTTAGCCGTCGCCGGAAAAATCTCCGCCACGTTGGGATCTCCACAAGCTTCTTCTCGACGTCACTGACAGAGACCGAGCCATTCACCTGAAACTTCGCCTGCTGCATGTTTGGTTGTCGTACGCCCCATCAGACCCAACGAAGTTCTTCAACTACTGCACCCTCTGGACCGACGCAATCGTCAGTCGACTCACCGGCACTGATTACTTACCTTTCCCAGAATTACCTGACTTGCCGACTGTAATCTGACTTTGTACTTCCACAGGGAACCCTCATACATGGCCAGGCACCTACCGCTCTCACCGACCATTTCAACGAGCTACTAGAAGTTGGCAAGGTCTACGTTGTCGGTGGCCTCGATTTGCAGCCTCCTCGCAATGTTTACAGGCCCTGCTCCCACCGCCTGCACATCGTCCTCTCCCGCAACACTACTTTTGAAGACCAGACAGCTTCTTCACCTGAATTCTTGACCGATTCCTTCGAATTTGTGCCCTTCGGCTCTCTTCACCCGAGGACGCTCGACTCATCACAACTAACAGGTTTGCTACTTTGCACTTACTATGGGATTCTCGGAACATAACCCGCTCAGTACTCCCGTTGCCTTCTACAGACATCGTTGGCAGGGTTGTCAGCATCACAGGTGTTAACCACTCAAAAACCAACTACGACAGAACAACTAGACAGAATGGCGTCCTCGAAAATGAAAGGCTTGCCCTCAAACCTTAGATTGTTGGTTGTGGCGCCTTTGTTGCTTTACACAGTTGCTTCTATGTTGTGTACTGATTTGTCGGTTCATTGCTGCTATTCGTTTGCCCGGCCCTCTTTGCACGTTTGCCCTTTGCACCTCCTGCCCAGTGTGTTTACCTTTACGGGGTCCTCCCTCCGCTTCCTCCGTTCTTTAGCTTTTGCCAAATACATGGTCTTCAAATTAATTGTTTACCATTGCGTTTGCGTTCTACAAAAGCAAACCCTGCCTCGCTAACCACTGCCTCTTTCAGTTTAACTCAGGTCAACGTTGCACTCTGGGGGCCACTGGCAGGCTCTATCGACGCTGTCGAACTTGCAAGCCTAGGTCACAAGGGACCTGTGATACTGGCTATCACTGGTCTGACGGTCAGCCAGTTCAAAGGTTACAAATGTTGTTACTTATATTAATTTAGTTCCAAACTTCGCACCGACTTCTACACAGCGAGTCAGTGCCATTCAGCGCCCCTTCTTGCCCACCACGTACCTTCCTCACTTCTAAACTCTTGCTTGCAGATAAGTACTCGCTCTCCAGCACCTCTGCGACTCGACATGCTTTGGCGCCGCCGGTTGAGGCTACCTACCAACTGGAATCTGCGTGAGTTGTTGCTTTTACCCTCTGCCATGATTCACAATTGTCAGCCTGAATGTTTGCACTTGCCTGCAGCTTCCACGCCCTCAAAGACAGTGTCACTTATATACCTCCTAGATTTGCCACCTCCTTGGCAGCAGCTGAATTCGAAGCTTCTGCGACTCGGACGATTGCGGAACTTCTGGGCCTCAATGAACTCGGCCAGGCTGATGTTTGTTGCTTCTCTTTGCTTTGCCAAAACTTCCTCACCTTTTGTTTTTTACTCATGTTTAGTTCTTTCACCAGGAAACTCAATACCATTGCGAAGCCACTGTGGTTGGCGTCGACTCTTCGAAACAGTGGTATTATATTGGCTGCGCATTCTGCTCTTCCGTTGCTGACCCATACGAGGCTGATTATTGGTGCAAGTTCCACCGCAGGATTGCGGCATCTGAAGTCACATTACGGTTTCCTGCTTCTCTTAAGCGCTTTACCACACTACCACTTTGTTTTCGCTTTACTTTGCTTTGCACAGTTCGTCCTTACATTTCCGATTGCACTTTGCCGTTTCAACCAGCTACAAGACTCGCATAATTGTGGACGATGGTACTTCAACTGCCATATTCGTGTTGCTTGGCAAGTCTGCCGAAAACCTCTCTGGTGCTACTGCACGTGAACTTTCAGAACGCTTTCCATTTGGCCGCTCAGAGTTGCCCCCAGCCATCTTGGCAATACAAGATCAGAAACTTGCCTTCGACATACAGCTCCCTAATGCAGACTACATTGGCAGAGGCACGCCTGAATTTCGGGTTATCAGAGCCAATCTCCTAGGAGTTGCTGTGCCTGCTCTTTTCCACAACCCCCTTGCCTCTCCAGTCCGAGCCCTAACTCTGTCTCCTGCCCACACCAGTTCCTCTTCAAGGTCCCGTCCTCTATTATTGTTATACACCTTGCCCAGTTCTATGTTTGCTTCGTGTTGACTACCGTTTTTACTTGCTTCCTCACAAGCTTCTCGGAACTTCCATGAATGCTTCACCGAAGACTTTCAGGTAGTTGTCACACACATACATCGTATACCTTTTCCATTTTAAATAGCCACATTCACCAGTGCTTTCATTGCATTGCTACTGCAGGCAAGTTGCTGCTGGTCGGCCTTCTGCTCCGACTACTCCCACTTCTGCAACACGCATAAGGTCCACTTGCTGCTAGCTTTCCCCTTATGCACACTGTACAGTTTGTGTTTCCCTCTGAATCATCCGTGCTTCCCGTTACTAGGACTGGTTCTTCCACGCCGTCCTCTGCTCGAAAAACTACCAGCTCTCCTGTGCACCCAGGGTCTGTTTTCCATCACTGAGACTACATAATTAGTTCTTAAACTTCATTTAGTGCCGCTTGCCGTTTGCCAATTGCTTTAACTACTTTCCAGGCTTCCTCCAACCACTCCCAGAACTGCCCCACAAACAACCTTTGGGGAAGAACATTCAAGGTAGTTTTGCGAACTACAGCGCATTTCACGATTGCGAATCAATCCCAAGGTATTCATGTTTTTGTTTTCCATGCTAGGAAAGCTCCGGTACCAGCAAGCTCTACTGGAAAAAGATCCTCCACAGCTGAACGCTTGCGGTAACGTGTTTTGCGCCTACAAACAGTGTGCTTGCATCGCAGCATCTTATACTTTCTTCCCTATGCAGCATGCTTGCCAAAGGAAAAGCTCCTATGCATGAGGAAATCTCGCTAGATGATTGGAACTCGGAGCCTGAAACTGCTGCCCCGCTCTCGGACACACCACAAAACTCTACCCACCCGCCACCAGCTACCCATCCAGAGCCAAGACGCCGCAGACTTAGGCGACAGGGCCAGGTTGTGGAACCCTCTTCTGTTCCTGGGTACGTCGTCTACAAGTTATCATTACAGCTCCACTCCAACTAAATCACAGGCTGCACGCTTACGTGTTCCTTACTTTTTCCGCTGTCCTTACCTCACATTCCCTTATAGGAGCCCAGATACAGCACCGGGAAGTCCCACCAGTGATGATTGCATGGTCTCTTTTGTGAGAACGTGCTCCCGTGCAACACCTCATGCTCAGGAATTACCTCCATCACCAACAACAGATGAAATCCCGGACGAGGTTGCTGGTAGTCCGTCTTCAGGACTTTCTCAGACTCTTGCTTCGTAAGCCAACCTATTGTACACCTCAGATGTTTATCTAACACTCCTTTTACAAACTCTTCCTTAGTGCTTTGTTTTCCCCTTTTGCCATCTCACTTTCAGCCTCAAGTCCACCAGCCGAAGAGGTAAAGGTCGTTTGGCCAAAGGCAAGTCCATTCTCAGAGGTTCTGGAATCCCTACTGATCAACAGGAACGGCAACACCCTGCTCCAGATGATCAGCTATCTCCTCTGCTCCAGACAGATGACCAGACCACCGCTGTTAGCTCGAAACGAATTCGCAAGCCTTCTGTCAAGGCAACTGAATCTGCCACAAACTCTACTTTGAAGAAGCCTTCGGGGTCTTCCAAATTGTCATCCAAAAAACCAGCCAAGCGGTGCCTGTTTGAAGACTAGCTGCTCTTACCTTGCCTTGCTCTCCACCATCTCCTCTCGACTTTTGATGGTTTATAACACCGACCTTTTTAGTTGCAAGCAAACCAAACAGTGCTTTTGTCCTAATTTCCTTCCCTGTGAATTGGCCTGCGTGCATTTTGTTTTGCAAGGTTTTGATTACGAGTCTGTAACTTAACTACTTTGAATCCTTCCTCCAACTGGCCAGATTCGTACTATCTTGCTACCTATCTTGATCGTTACAGATACTTGCTGCAGGTTCACGTGAATTTTCTCATTTCCATCTACTGCGCACTACCATTTCCAAAACTCCTTCGTTTATTAACTACTACACCACCCTTCGCTGTTCAATCACCCAACATAAGATAACACAAACTCAGACACCAATGTATCTTTGCCACATAACTGATACGCCATGTCAGGTTTTATAGAAAGCATAAACACAAAATAGAGATGCCATTTAGTTGATGTCCAGTTAGTCTGCAAAAACAAAAAAACTTCTAAAGTAACCTTTACCTAGCGGTCCATGCCTTTCACCAACTACCCTTCCACGTTCGTGCATTAAATGCAAGGCAGAGCATGGGCAGACCTTGGAACTACCATATACACTACCCTAATCAACCAAATTTCACTGTGGTTTGTTAACCTTGGTAAACAATACCACTTCACCCTCCACATCGTCCCCCCACTCACCCCCAACCTTCCTCTGTTCATTTCCAACATCACAGCCTACTATCATTGCTCTGCATTTACTTTTACACCTCCCCATTCCAACCACCGTCATTACTACACCTTCTTCCCTTTCACCAACAAACTGTATGCGTGGAGATCCCAGTGCCCTGCCAGATGCTTCCAACATTCTCTGCATTTTGAACAGTCCTCACAAATACATGGTAATGCTTGGATCTCACTAATGTCTTTTTCATTTTCCTCACAAATTACCATGCCATTTCCTGCATTTATGGTTCTTTGGTGGAATCATTCCCTTTACAGTGCCTACATATAAAGCGTGCCCACCAACTGAAGTTCGCTACAGTTAATCTCTGTTCAGCTCATGAAACTTCCCTTTTCCTTTGCTTACAACGTGACTTGCCATTTTACAGACAAACCAAACTGCTGCCGCTCCACACCCTACACCCACAACACCAAAAAAACGGCGCCGCAACAATGCCGAACCCACTTTCCTTCCAAAAACGCCGCCACAGCTACCTACAACCGCCACTAGACGATCGAGAGTTGATGTGCGTTCCAGAGCTTTCAGCTTCTTGCAGGACGCAGATTCTCCTCTACACGCTGAACCCAACGATCTCCACTACAGCGACCACGGACACACCTATGCCCAGCTTCTGCCACAGACACAACCCACTACAACTTCAACCAATGAAACTACATCACTTCCACAGTCAAGGCGACACAATGTCGACAACATTCTCCTCTTTGGCCTCCCAACAGAAACATGCCAATACTGTGGAGCGGCTTTTTGGTATCAAGAACGACTTAACCGTCACCAGAAGACTTCAAACCCCATCTTTCCATTGTGCTGCCAGAAGGGTCGAGTCCGCATACCTCTTCTGAAACCGACTCCACCTTACCTCGAACAACTCTTGGGGATCAATGGGGGTCCGTTTTCTTCGCATTTCCGGGATCATATTCGCTCATATAATGTAGCATTCGCCTTCACTTCATTTGGCGCCAAATTGGATCCACGCGTTGCTCGGTCAAGAGGTCCTTATTCCTTCGTCATCTGCGGAGAGAAATATCATTTGATGGGTTCTTTGATGCCGCCAGCTGGTCACCGTCCTAAGTTTTCGCAGCTCTACATTTTCGACCCACAGTCTGAACTTAACGACTGCTTGGCCAACTTTGCTTCAGCCGAACGAAACCTTAAACCCGAAATTGTCGCTGGTCTTATGGACATGCTTGACACCACCAATGATTTGGTTCGCACTTTCCGGAGGGTTCGCCAGGAATTGCACGATCCGTCAACAAGCAACCTCAGGCTCAGAATAGTTGGCTCACGTGATAATTCCTCCCGCCAGTATGATTTGCCAACAGGAACAGACCTTGCAGGATTGATTCCAGGAGATTTTGTGGCCGACAAAGAAGACCAAGACATCATAATTGACCATTGTGTGGAAGGTTTGAGAAGAATCACAAGCCTCAACCCCAAGTTTGAAGCCCTGCACTTTCCTCTGTTGTTTCCCTATGGAGAGGATGGATTTCACACTAACATTCCATACCATCTTGAGAATGCACCAGAAACCTTGCAGTGAAAGAAAGTTACCCAGAGAGAATACTATGCATACAGGTTGCAGCATCGAACAGGCGAGGGTCAAACACTCATGCGTGGTGGCAAGGCGTTGCAGCATTACATGGTTGATGCTTTCTCCACGATCGAACAAAATCGCCTGGCGTACCTCCGAACTCATCAGAAAGATCTTCGGTCCGAACTTTACCAACGCCTCCAAGAAGCGTACGACAATGGTGAAATCACAGCTGACGAGTTGGGGCACGTTATACTACCTTCTTCCTACACTGGCAGCCCACGTTACATGCGGCAACTGTATTTGGATGCTATGGCTGTTTGTCAGCATTATGGTAACCCTGACCTGTTTATTACATTCACGTGCAACTCTCAGTGGCCTGAAATCACAGAAGCTTTCAAAGATGTTTGTGGTGACCGCAGCGAACTGAAACCTGATGTTGTTGCACGTGTTTTTAAAATGAAACTCAATGCTCTCAAAGACGAAATCTGCCGCAAAAACTACTTTGGTCCAACAGTAGCATGTAAGCATCCTTCTCTTTACCCTGTTTACGACATTGTGTACCCATTCCCTGCTTTGATCCATTTAAATGGTATGTAACAATTTTTCAGTTTGTTCATGCAAATGGTTTCACACGAATTCTTTTTTACAGCAATTCATATGGTCGAGTTCCAAAAGAGAGGCTTGCCGCATGCCCATATTTTGGTGTGGCTTGACAGTGCCAGTAAGTTACAGTCAATTGCGGATATAGATTCTACCATATCTGCTGAACTACCGGATCCAACTCTTGATCCGCTTGGCTATGAAACCATTACACGTTTTATGCTGCACGGTCCATGCGGAGATGATAATCAGTCATCACCATGTATGCGGGATGGATCATGCACAAAGTTCTTTCCAAAAGAATTCAATTCAGAAACCACGGTGGACCAGTTTGGATATCCAGTATACAAAAGACGTAACACAGGAATAACAGCAACCAAAGGTAGCACCGTGCTAGATAATAGGTTTGTTGTGCCACATAACAGGAATCTATGCGTACTTTTTCAGGCACACATCAATGTCGAGGTCTGCCACCAAGGAAAATTGGTCAAGTATCTCTTCAAATACATAACAAAGGGCCCTGACAGATCTATGGTTGTTGCCGACAACGTAGCAGCTGCCACTTCTTCTGGAGCGCCACAAACAGCAAATCTGCCAATCAATGAGATTCAACAGTATCTAGACTGCAGATCATTGTCTTCTTATGAGGCTGCCTGGAGGATCTTTGAATTCTCACTCCATGAACGGACGCCTTCGGTTCAGAGGCTTTGTGTTCATCTTGAGGGACAGCACAGGGTTCCATACAGAAAGAGGCAGCGTGTTGATAACATCCTTGCAAGGACAACAGTTGAATCAACAACATTGACACAATGGTTCAGACTAAACCGTAGGGATCCAGCAGCTCGGTCACTTCTCTATGTTGAAATACCAACAAAATATACTTGGATACCCAAAGAAGCAGATTGGTCACCACGCAAGCAAGGATTCTCATTAGGACGCATGGCATACATACATCCTGGTTCAGGTGATACATTCTACCTTCGATACTTGCTTACAAAGGTTCGCGGAGCTCAGAGCTTTGTAGACCTGTGAACTGTCAACGGGGTCGTTTGCAGAAATTTCCAAGCAGCTTGCCAAAAACTAGGCCTCCCGGTGGATGATGATGAATGGATTTTAGTAATTCGAGAAGTCGGGCAATGGGGAATGTCAAAGTTACTGCGCTATTTGTTTGTCTGCATGCTTATGTTCTGTGAACTTGCAGATCCAAGGACCCTTTTTGAACAAACTTGGGACTTACTATCCGAAGACATTACATATCGGTGTCAGAAGGAAGCTCGGTTTAACAATGCTTTGGTTCCTCCCGAACTTCCAAGAGAACTGTTGCTCCATGAATTACAGCGGCTGCTCGAAACCTACTCATCTTCCCTATCCCACTTCGGCCTTCCACTTCCAACATTCGATGCTCGCCACTTGAAGCTTCCTTCACAGGTTGCCAGGGAAACTCCATTGTCATCGGCCCAAACAGAAAGACCTCCTGTGTTTTCAGACTTGAACTTTCAGCAAGCAGCTGCCTTTAAAAAAATTCTTTCCTCTGTCATAGGTGGCATTGGAACATTCTAATTCTTATATGGCCATGGTGGAACTGGGAAAACCTACCTCTACAAAACATTAGTTGCTACTGTAAGTGAACTCAACCGCAAATGTGTGGTTGTTGCCTCTTCAGGAATTGCTGCTACGCTCTTACCAAATGCGGTCACGGCTCATTCACGCTTCAAAATCCCACTGGATATCGATCAAACATCTACCTGCACTGTGCGTAAAGGTACGCAGCTCGCACAAACACTTGCTGAAGCGGATCTTATAATATGGGATGAGGCGCCAATGATCCATAGACTATCATTCGAGGCTGTTGATCGCACTTTGTGCGATATCATGAATGTTGCTTTCGCAGGTGAAGGATACAGGCCATTTGGAGGCAAAACCGTTTTGTTGGGGGGGAGATTTTCGGCAAACTCTTCCAGTTGTTCCGAATGCAGGGAGAGAGGAAAGTGTAGATTCCTCACTCACCCGTTCATACCTTTGGAATTACTGTACTGTTCTCCATCTGTCGACAAATATGAGGGTTACTTCAGACCTTCCTAACCAGCAATTGACATTTGAAGGCATGTCTTTTGCTGACTGGACGCTTAGCATTGGAAATGGCCAGATTCCTACTAGGAGCTTCAACAAAAACCAGCCTTCTGATTAGATTTCAATACCAGAACCACTTTTGCTTCAGCCGGGTTCGCATCCAACGTCAACAATCTGTGCTGAGATTTACACTGATTTTCAGGCAAACTGCCACCGTGCTTCATACCTAACCAGCAGGGCGATTGTAACACCAACAAACAAAAATGTTACCGACATCAACAAGCATATGTTGCAGCAAGTTCCGGGCAAGGTACACACTTACTTTAGTGCTGACACGATCCACTCAGATTCAAATGATTGTGCCAAACTTGAAGCTGAATATCCTACTGAGTTTCTGAACACATTATCTTTTAGTGGATTCCCTGATCATGATATTAGCCTAAAAATATTCGCACCGATTATGTTGTTACGAAACCTCAATCCAGATATAGGCTTGTGTAATGGTACAAGAATCATGGTCACATACCTGTCCACTTATGTAATCAAGGGACTGATCATGGGTGGCACATATGATGGGTCAGTAGTTGCCATACCGAGAATTGTTGTCAACATAAATGATCATAATTGGCCTTTCGTGCTAAAGAGGAGGCAGTTTCCTATTCGTCTTTGTTATGCCATGACGATCAACAAGAGTCAAGGACAAACATTGGATTGTGTGGGTGTTTTTCATTCCGAAGCCGGTGTTCAGCCACGGGCAATTATATGTTGCTGTTTCTAGAGTTAGATCAGCTGATGGCCTGAAGTTTCTCATTCAAAACGAAGACCATATTCCTGCAAGCTACACAAGGAACATTGTTTATGCAGAAACATTTGATACCCTTGGCGGTGCATCATGCTCTGCTGTACCACCTGCTGGAAGGTGTGTTGACAGAACATGAGCTTGCACCATACAAAGCAATAGCCAACGTGGTTTACTTTTGCCTTAAGCTGGTAATCTTACATGACAACTTCTTTCATGATAACACTATATAAATTGCTGCATGTTTCCTACCCTAATATTCTGTCTTCCTTTTACACAGTAACAAGAAACAGCAAGTATGCAACACCAATCGTTCTCTACATGCTTGCAATTCTTTCACAGTTGACTACGATTGTGCTCTGCATCCATTTTGTAATTCGAGATTCCGCAAACATAACAATTGAAACAGGTTCCTCTGTGAGTTTGCTTCTCAAACATGTTAGAACTCTCTGCAATATAATAGAAACCTATATTCCTTTGACAATTGGTCCGAGATTGTGGCATATCCCTATCGCTGCAGATTTTAATTGCAAAACAATTATGGGCCGTGAAAAATGAAGCCCATCCAAATCATGTTTTCCCCCCACAAAATTGTATTGGGCCCAACCTCCGACAAAACACGTCCAAGCCTACCTAGCAAAAAAACAAAAAGCCCGATAAACTTGGACTGATCCTATCTAGGGCACACCTATTAGCTCGCTTCTTGACACTCGGGGAAAGCTGCGCCACTTCAGCGAGCGAGTTGCAGTCATGAGCCAAGCAACAGAGATCCGCTGCCTGCAGCTTGGTTACACCAAAAATCCCATTGAGGTCTGGCACCTGCATACATGGCAGGAATTATTCACAGGAAATCATGAAGTACATCACCTGTTGCTCGATAAAAAGGTCAGTCCTCTATTGTTCACTTTCAATGTCATGTATAGGTCATCCGTTGAAAAATAAATGATTGCTCGACACTTCAGTACTGCAGGGGACACTGGTTGTTGCGCAAGCAGATCCGACAACTCCGCAATCAGAACTGCCGGTTTTGCAAGACGGCCAGATTTATAGGATAGCATCATTCTATGTTGGACCAGCAAGGACGATAAACCGTTGTTGCTCGAACAATGTCGAACTCGGGTTTACCAGAAACACAACCCTACAAGCCCTTCCTGAGCCGCCGCCAGACGAATATCACCCGACCAACATGTCCGAGGCAGTTCCTTTTGGCGAGTTGTGGGCTCGATGCTTCGACAACAGACAAAAGTCAGGTACCGATTACACCTTACAAACGTATTCACCCATTAACTCTCTGACATATTGTAGTAAGAATCTTTCATTTATGTTATATGAGGAAGACATGCTTGGCCGCATAGTTTCTGTCTCCAAACCGTATGCAAAAGGCTCAACGGAAATGGTTCCGACCCGACAGCTGGTTATCCTAGAGGATGGCTGGTACATGGTCAACAAACCAAAGGTTTTACAATACTTATCTTCCCTCTTTGAATTGAATTCATACCCTGGAACCTGCAATGCAGCAACCGACGGGTCCTAACCTAAATCACAAACCAACCATTCATTCGTACACTCGAAGCAACCATTGCTGCACAAGAAAGGCAGGGCCCGGTTATAGCAACTTTTACCTCGATGATTGGCAAATGGTCCAAAGGTAAGTCCTGCTTCTCTTTGCACCAATGGCAGTCTGAATATTAATTCACTGATTGTTACTCTACTCCAGGGAAACCGCTTTACAAAAGCACATGCAGCACAAGACTAATTGTCGACCAGAAATTGAGGATGCATCGACCAATGTTTTTCCGGTTTGTTATGATGCCTCACACTTTTGTCTATTAAGATATATTGGCGTCCACTTTACTATCGCTTTTCTTTGCTGCAGTCACTCCAATTCAAACATGCCGATATTCTACATCGATTCAAAGCGCACAGTGGAACCTTTGAGACCAATTCAGTCACATAGTCGGTGCGACTCAATCGCCGAATTACTGTTTCAACTGGCTACTGAGTGGGATCTTAGTCTTGAGCCATCGCCTACTGTATGCCATACACTCTTTTAACATTCTCAAACCAAAGTCCACAACAAACTAGACTGATTGTTTCTTTGTGATCATTTATTAAGGCAACATCTAGGTGTTTCGCCACAATTCAGGCTATCAACCACGGGTTTGGATACTTCCGGTGGCTGTGCCCTGAATGCTTGCCGCAACAAGAGGAACTCCTCTCAAATGATGTATGCTCCAATTGCTATGCAAACATCTTCCACGACGACAGGGTTAAAAGGTAGAGATATTCAATTACAGATTTATATGCGCCCATGAATACGCAGAACAAATGCTAATGCTTACTATTTAATGGACAGTTTTTACATCTCGGTTGATGTTGCTGACGAAACAGACCATACAACATTCCTCATAAGCCACGAAGCAGCTTCAGCCCTACTTCAAACAAGTCCTCGATGGGACCTTGAAGCACGCGAGGTTGAAAGACTCCTGCAATCTGTGCTCCAACGTACCTATACATTCGAAGTCAAGAACTTGCCCAGGCGCAAACACAACCGTGAATGCTTTGAAGTTGTTGCAGTTTGGCATCGTGATGCTGCAAATATGCAGGAATAGTGTCTGTTGCATCTCAAACCTCAAACTCCATTCCACTTACCTTTTATCATCGGAAAACTATTTAGTGTCTCTCTTATTAACTCATGTACCTACTTGATGAACGATTGTTTTAAATTTGCCTTCCTTGCCATGCTCTCTATAAGGATCAAATGAATACAGTAAGCAAAATAAATGGACTGACCAACCATTTTGTACACACTAATACTACTTTTTAACACGCGAAGCGTAGCGAGCGGGTCTTTTCTAGTTGTATATAATTTAAGTGTGGCCCTACGCCACCTTCCAAGCCAACCTCCCAGAGCATTCCTTATTCCATTCTCCTACTACACAGCTCTAACAACGACGAAAACTCATGATCGCCACTGGGCTCTTATCGGAGAACAAAGAAGGTAAGCGGTTTACCTTGTTCAGCCAAAACCGGTCTTCCCTTTGCAAGGCCCTCGGCTGACACACTTTCCACCGCTTGAATTGATGAGCTCCATCTTCTAGGTGGCGGCAGGGGAAAAAGGGTAGGATGATGGTGATGGAAGCTTGAATGAGGTCGTCTTTCTCAAGAACTTGTCGGGTGATGAGTCCCGCGATCAGGCCGGCGTTTCTCTCGACGACCCCTTTCTACTAACCACTGCTTCATTGGTTGTGGTGGCCTTGGATGGTCCGACCGGCCATATGATCATGGAAGAAAATAGTACAGTCTTGGTCTAAAGGGGAGAAGGCAGCTGTAGCGGAGCTGGCTCTCGCTGAAAGGGAGAAGCCGAGAGGACAAAAAGAGACTGGTTTCGGTTTCCTATTATAATTAGGTTGCTAAGAGCATCCACATTGGTATTGCATTTTCAATTGCAAAATGACATGGCATAGGTGTTTGCAATTGCAAAACCAATTGCATTGATGTGGCTACCAATTGCATATTTGAAAGCTTGCAACAAATGCAATTACATATGCAAGTCAAAAAAGCCTTAAAAAATGAGGATTTTTTATTTTATATTATTTACTTTTCTCTTTTACTTAGTTTTCTATAATTTAAAGATAATATTTAATTACATTTGCAATTGCAAGTTAATTGCATTGATGTAGGTGAATGAAATAAATGTGATGTGGATTACAAAAAATTTGAGTTGACAATGAAAATCACAAATGCAATTTCTTTTGCAATTGTATTGACGGAGATGCTCTAAGAACGATATACAATAAAGGGCCAGTCCAAATATAATGATTTGCTCCATTTATCGGTCAAATTGTATTTAGGTTAACTTAGAACAATTATAGAATAATTGTTGAAATTATCTAAGGGCAATTTGGGAATTGCAGGGTAAATTTTGGTACGGGTGTAACTCGTTCAATCCGAGTAATTCGGTTATAGTTGGTTGAACCTAATCTCGAAATTCGGGGTGTTACAGTGGCTGACTTTGGTGTATACCTTACTGATGTTGGCCTACAGGATCTAGGTTTTCATGGCTACCCTTTTACCTGGGAAAATCAGAGACATAGAGGTGGCTTTAATGAGGAGCGCCTGGATCGCTTCGTTGCAAATGAAGAATGGAAGAGTTTGTTCACGGGTAGTAATGTGCAACATAAAGACCGGGCAATCTTGGACCATCGCCCCATATGATGTGATATTACATGGGGGAGGTCTTTTTGGTTTGAGCCTCTCTGGACCAAGCATGAGTAATATCCTTAAGTGATTGATGAAGCTTGGAATCTAGTTTGACTCATATTCTCACCAACCTTAGTCTCTACCATGAGGGGTTATTAAGTTGGAGTAAACGAACCTTCCCCTGGTTTTCAAAACATAAAAAGAAAATTGAGAAGGCAATGCGAATTCTAGAGCGAAGAAAGAAGACTCCGGAGGCCCTTGATAAGCTCCACTGACTTGAACAATAGATGGCGGACGTGTTGGATGATGAAGAACGGTATTGGAAATATAGATCTCGAGTGAATTGGTTAAAAGAAGGTGGAAAAAATACCAACTTCTTTCATCAGAAAGGGACATCCAGATAAAGGTGCAATACCATTAAGCAAATCAGGAATGAGGTGAGAAGATGGTGTGTTGGACAGGAAGAAGTATCATCGTGTTTTATGGACTATTACTCTTCCCTATTCACGATAGAAGGGGCTCCTTCTGAATGGCCGGTCCTGTAATCAATAGAGAGGCGGGTGTCAGATGAAGATAATGAGGTTTTAACTAAACCATTTACCAGGGACGAAGTGTGGAATACTTTACAACCGATGGGTAAGAGAAAGGCCACGGGGGCGGATGACTTGTCAGTTTGTTCTTTCGACGGTACTAGCATATCATTGGCGATGATATTGCAAGGGCGGTACTTCGCATCCTTGAGACAGGGGAGATGGTGATTGATTTGAATCATACTTTGATGGCTATGATCCCGAAAATGAAGCAACCGAGCTCCCCAAAGGATTATCATCCCATCTGGAACGTCATTTATAAGCTAGTCTTGAAGGTTTTGGCTAATAGGCTGAAATTGCTACTGGATAATCTTATATCTCATGAACAGAGTGCTTTCGTTCCAGGGATACATTACGAATAACATCATGGCAGCTTTTGAGTGTTTTCATAATATGAAGAAGAAGAATAAATAACACAAGCATGCTTTCTTCGCTACAAAGATTGACATGACAAAGACTTATGATCGAGTGGAGATTTCTAGAAGGAGTAAAGAGCCAAATAGGATTTACTGAGGGATAAATCCGGCTGGTCACGATTGGGGTGACCACAGTCTCATATTCATTGTTGATTAATGACCACTAATCGGAGAATATCATACCGAGCAGAGGAATTCGATAGCGCCCTTATCTCCATTTCTCTTCATGCTTTGTGTGGAGGAAATGTCATCCTATACAACCAAGATCGCTAATGCGAATCGGTTGCATGGGATACAGGTAGCAAGGGGTGCCTCGATGATTACCGACCTTTTTTCTCTGATGATAGTATCTTTTTTGCGAGGTTTACGCAGTAGATGAGCCTTGCACTTTAATCTGTCTTGCAGGCATATGAGAAGGATTTAGGACAATTGGTGAATTTCCATAAATCGGAAGTGTCTTTTGCGGCCATTGTCAAGCCCCATAGCAAGCTCATTATTAGTGCGACATTGGGGATGAAGATGGTGGATAAGCATGAAAGGTATCTAAGATTGGTGACAGAGATGGGGAGATATAAGAAGGAGGTATTAAGTGGTATGAAAGAAAGAGTGAGGCAGAAACTGAAGGGATGGAAGGAGTGAACCATGTCGGTGGCAACAAGATAAGTACTCATTAAGTTAGTGACTCTTGCATAGCTCACTTATGCGATGTCGAACTTCAAGATTCCGGAATGAATCACTGATCATATTCATAGTTTGATTACAAATTTTGGTGGGAAAAAAGATGCAGAGTGACGGGCACATTGGCAGCGACATGAGGAACTGGTTCTGCTTAAGGAATAAGGAGGCTTGGGCTTCCGTGATCTCAAGGGTTTCAACCATGCTCTCCTTGAAAAACAACTCTAGTCCTTACACCAGCAGCCAACTTGCTAATTGTACGGCTCATTGAGGTCAAATATTACAAGAACAACACTATTTTAGAAGCCATACTTGGGAGCTGGCCATGTTTTGTTTGGCGGAGTCTACTTAGTGCAATGAATTCTTGTTTAAAGACCTGTGGTGGCATATAGGTAATGGTTCGTAGGTGAGGATTTGAGGAGATGTTTGGTTGCGAAATTCGAGCCTGAGTCTTGTGAATGTGGCACCGAGGGGTCTTCCGGTGGACTCGGTTGTTAAGGAATTGATGGACCCCATCACAGAGCAATGGGATACTAGGTTGATTGGGCAAAAGAGCAATTACCAAGGTGGTAATGGCCCTTGGCGTGGGATGAAGAAAGGAAGAAGGGAGTTGGGGAAAAAATTAGGAGAGGGAAGGTAAGTGCTGCGGCAGTAACTTGGACAAAGGGGAAGGGATTTCGGGGGAGAGAGAGAGAGAGAGAGAGAGAGAGAGAAAGAGAGAGAGAGAGAGAGAGAGAGAGAGAGAGAGAGAGAGAGAGAGAGAGAGAGAGAGAGGAGAAGAAGGGAATAGGGATTCTCAGCTTTAGGTTTAATATTGCTTCCTCGTCTAATCCCACGTATAAGTAGTTTATATAAAAATGGATAATTCCCTACTACTACCCGACTTATTAAATATCCCCCAAATCACCCCAATAATTCTCGAATAACAAACCGACAAGGATAATCCGAATAAGCAAACTATAGAAAATGTGGGTTTCTATCATCCCCGCCACCTTGGCAAAAACCTTGACCTGAAGGTTGACTCGAGCTCACTGCTTCTCTTCCAAGGCCTCTATCGTCTCCTCCTCTGCTTCATCTTCCCAGCGTCTCACAAGCATCATCACATCCGGCCTCGCGCACTGGTGACCGACGGTGAACCGCTCATTGCACTTGAAGCACTTGCCTCCTGACGCTTCTGCTCGATCTCAGTGGGTGACAACCTAAAGTAGCCTTTTGGTGGAGCGCGAGGACCAGGTCTTGGTCATGTCGCCTCCGGTGAAGGTGGATTTCCTCTTGCAGCTCCGGTGCCCGTCCCAGCGGCCGCGCTTCCAACCCCGCTGCTTGCGAACTGCTGCTTCCTCCTCCGCTCGGCCTCTGGTAGCGGCCGATGACACTTCTCTAGCTGGGAAGTTCATCCGCTTTGTGACCTGCATAGCGGAAAGCAGTTCTTACCTAGTCGGGTTCAAACACCCGGAACGCTGTTGCGATCTCTGGCTTTAGACCAGCCTAGCATAATCCCACAAGTGTTTCTTCCGCCAACCCTGTGCGAATTTCTCGGGCCTCTGTTCATGTAATCTGCTCCCTCCTCTCCTCGGGGCTGCCTTGTATACCAGCTCCTCGAATCCTGGATCACTCATCCCAGTTCGTCTAGGCTCATGCGAGGTGGTGGGAAGCCTCCTGCCTCGCTACATGATCAACGCCCGCCCATAAGAACCCCACGGTTCGGTCCGCCTTGCTGCTGGTCGTCCCTAGGAGGTTCAATTACGGTTCCACCCAGGTGGGTCCAACCGATTCAGCCGGTTTGATTCGATGCGAACTCGACATTGTCAGCCGCCCACATCTGGTCCAACCCGGCTGCCCTCCGGTTGGGTTCGGCCCACTTATCTGGCCGGTCGACCAGACTCAGCTTATCCTCTTTTTGGGTTGGTTCTGGGCCCAACCACCCTAGCCCATTGGGTACCCAGGCATGACTCCCCTCTTCTTCATGGTTCAGTGGGCCCACATTATCATAGCCCGACATTTTTGCCTTGCCACTTCATTCTACCATCTCTTGGGCTGTCGGTGCGGAAGTAGCCTGCATCACCGTTGGGCCCAAAGTGAACTTGGCCCGCACGCCCTGTCTCCTGCCCTAGCCCTATTGTTGAGGCCGCCGACCTGCCTGCTCGTGCGGACGTTACTGTCGCCGCGGCCACTGCCGACGCCGCCACCTTAGCGGCTCCTGCCACCGCCGCCTGGCTCGCCGCCGCCGCCCCCTGGCTTGCCACCGCCGCCGTGGTTGGCTCTTCCCAACATCACGCTAGACCCCCATGGTGGTCTCGGCTCTCGGCGGTTTGCCTTGCCTCACCTCTGCGTCCCGTGCCAGTTTGCTTAGAGCTTGCCGAATTTCATCCATCTCTTGTTGACGTCTCTCCGCTTCCAGCTCTCGTTCTGCCATCAGTCTCTTCACCGCAACCTGGAGTTCGCCCACCACAATTTGGAGTTCTTCCAGCCCGGTCTCGTCTACCACCCTGACCGTCTCCAGTATTCGAGTAATTGGATTCGGCTGGTTCCTTTCCAGCGATGGAGCGGCCACCGTCAGCCTGGCCTCGTCGCAACTGCCCTACCCAGTCGTCACGGTGGTCGCTTTTTCCTTTTCCCGGGCCGCCTCCTCCACAACCTTCTCTGCAGCCTTCTGAGACTTTGTTACAGCCATAATGTGATCTCTGTTCCTTGATGATTTGCTTGGATCTGAATGGGGCTCTGATACCAGATGATTGAAACCTAAAATTAGGGTTCTATCGATTTCTCAGGAATTCGTTGAAAAGAGCAATTACCAAGGTGGTAATGGCCCTAGGCGTGGGATGAAGAAAGGAAGAAGAGAGTCGGGAAAAGAATTAGGAGAGGGAAGGGAAGTGCTCCGGCAGCAGCTTGGAGAAAGGGGAAGGGGAGTTCGGCAGAGAGAGAGAGAGAGAGAGGAGAAGAAGGGATTAGGGATTCTCAACTTTAGGTTTAATATTGCTTCCTCGTCTAATCCCACGTACAAGTAGTTTATATAAAAAGGGATAATTCCCTACTACTACCCGACTTATTAAATATCCCCCAAATCACCTCAATAATTCTCGAAAAGTCATAAAAAAACAAACCGACAAGGATAATCCGAATAAGCAAACAAAAGAAAATGCGGGTTTCTATCATCCCCGCCTCCTTGGAAACAACCTTGACCACAAGGTTGACTCGAGCACACTGATTCTCTACCAAGGACTCCATCTCCTCCTCCTCTACTTCGTCTTCCCGGCGTCCCACAAGCATCATCACATCCGGCCACGCGCACTAGTGATCGACGGTGAACCGCTCATTGCAGTTGAAGCACTTGCCCTCCTAACGCTTCTGCTCGATCTCATCGGGTGACAACTTGAAGTAGTCTTTTAGTGGAGCGCGAGGACCAGGTCTTGGTCGCGTCGTCGCCGGTGGCGGTGGATTTCCTCCTGCAGCTCCGTGCTCGTTCCGGCGGCCGCGCTTCCTCCCCCGCTGCTTGCGAAACTGCTGCTTCCTCCTCCGCTCGGCCTCTAGAAGCGGCCGATGACACTTTTCAAGCTGGCAAGTTCTTCCTCTTTGTGACCTGCTTAGCGGAAAGCAGTTCTTAGCGAGTCGGGTTCAAACACCCCTATAGCTGTCGCGATCTCTGGCTTTAGACCAGCCTGGCATAATCCCACCAGTGTTCCTTCCGGCAACCCTTTGCACTGATTTCCCAGCTTGAGAAATTCCGATCGATACTCCGCCAACGTTCCAGTCTGTCTTAACTTAGCTAACTGCTCAGGGGCCCATCCTTCCGACTTGCCGAACTGATAACGGAGTTCCTCCTAGAACATCGGTCACGTGATCAGAGTCCCCGTAGCAGCATATGACCTTTCCAGCCATTCCCACCAGTGTAGAGCGTCACCTTCCAGGTAGAAGGACGCTAGATGTGCCTTCCTATCCTCCCAAGTTGGGGGGTTCTTAAACCACCTGCAGTTGTGTACAACCACAACCCTGCATCCTCTTGCCCATTGCATTTCGGAAACTCAATGGTTGGAGGCTTAGCTCTGAAAACTAAGTCATCATCCATATCATTAAAGTAGTCATACCCAACATACCTTCTATTGTGCGAATTTCTCGGGCCTCCATTCGTGTAATCCGCTCCCTCCTCGCCTCAAGGCTGCCCTGTTATACCAGCTCCTCGAATCTTGGGTTACTCGTCCCGGTCCGTCTGGGCCCATGCGAGGTGGTGGGAAGCCTTCTACCTCGCTACACGATCCACGCCCACCCCATAGGAACCCCATGGTTCGGTCCTCCTTGCTGCTGGTCATCCCTAAGCTGTTCAATTCCGGTTCGACCAAGGTGGATCCAAATAGTTCAGCCGGTTTGATTCGACCGAAACCCAACATTGTCAGCCGTCCACATCTGGTCCAACCCGGCTGCCCTCTAGTTGAGTTTGGCCCACTTATCTGGCAGGCCGGCCAGACTCACCTCATCCTCTTCTTGGGTTGGTTCTGGGCCCAACCACCCAGCCCATTGGGTACCCAGGCCAGACTCCCCTCTTCTTCATGGTTCCGTGGGCCCACATTATCATAGCCCAACATTTTGGCAATGCCACGTCGTACCGCCGTCTCTTGGGCCATCGATACGGAAGCAACCCAGTATCACCGTTGGTCCCAAAGTGAACTTGGCCCGCACGCCATGTCGCCTGCCCGAGCCTGATCGTCGAGGACGCCGACCTGCCTGCTTCTGCGGCCGTCACTGCCGACGCCGCCACCTTCGCGGCTCCTGCCACCGCCGCCAGGCTCGCCGCCGCCGCGGTTGGCTCTTCCCCAACCTCACGCTCGAGCCCCATGGTGGTCTCGGATATTGGCGGTTTTCCTTGCCTCACCTCTGCGTCCCGTGCCAGTTTGCTTAGAGCTCGCAGAATTTCATCCATCTCTTCTTGACGTCTCTCCTCCACCTGCTCTCAATCTGCCATCAGTCTCTTCACCGCAACTTGGAGTTCGCCCACTGCAATTTGGAGTTGTTCCAGCCTGGTCTCGTCCACCACCCTGACCGTCTCCATTACTCGAGTCGTTGGATTCGGCTGGTTCCTTTCCAGCGACGGAGCGGCTGCCGCCGGCCTGGCCTCGTCGCCGCTGCCCTACCCAGTCACCACGGTGGTCGCGGTTGCCTTTTCCCGGTCCGCCTCATCCGCCGCCTTCTCCGCAGCCTTATGAGACTTTGTTACCGCCACAATGTGATCTATGTTCCTTGATGATTTGCTTGGATCATAACGGGGCTCTGATACCAGATGATTGAAACCTAAAATTAGGGTTCTATCGGTTTCTAGGGAATTTGGGGGAAAAGAGCAATTACCAAGGTGGTAATGGCCCTTGGCGTGGGATGAAGAAAGGAAGAAGGGAGTTGGGGAAAGAATTAGGAGAGGGAAGGGAAGTGCTGCGGCAGCAGCTTGGAGAAAGGGGATGGGGAGTTCAGCAGAGAGAGAGAGAGAGAGAGAGAGAGAGAGAGAGAGAGAGAGAGAGAGAGAGAGAGAGGGGAGAAGAAGGGATTAGGGATTCTCAACTTTAGGTTTAATATTGCTTCCTCGTCTAATCCCACGTACAAGTAGTTTATATAAAAATGGATAATTCCCTATTACCACCCGACAAATTAAATATCCTCCAAATCACCCCAATAATTCTCGAAAAGTCATAAAATAACAAACCAACAAGGATAATCTGAATAAGCAAACTATAGAAAATGCGGGTTTCTATCAGGTAGGGGCTTCACAATTATGTTGAAAGGGTAACGAAGATGCTATGGGAGATGGAGAAGGTGAGTGTGGAGCAATGGGCGTTGTTGATGTGGGCTTTGAGGAAGGAAAGAAACGCTCAGCTGTTCAATTGAAACAAGTGGGTATAGGTCGAAATAGCCATGCGAGCGGCTGCTTTGCTCATGGAATACCAACAGAACCAGATGCTCAACAATAAGGACCCTACGACGGCGAGACCAGCTACATGGAAGAGACCATCGCGGTGTAGTGTGAAGGTAAACACGAACGCGACCATTATCCCTACCAGAGGCATTGGTTTGGCAGCGATGTTTAGGAATCATGAGGAGTGCTTCCTTGTTGCGACAACGAAGAAGATGTGAGGGTCTTATTATGTGGAAATGGCGGAAGCTATGGCTGCCAAATTCGGAGTCCAGTTGGCTAGACAACTAGCATGACACAACTGCATCTCGAGGATGAATGCTTGAAGCTTGTGGAGAAGATTCAACAGTCGAAGATGATGCATATATTGAGACCTACTGTCAGGGGCGGAGCTAGGCAGAGTTTCAAGCCCCCCCCCCCCCCCCAGAATTTTGAAATCACGTACAAAATTCTATCGAGGTTTGGAAAATTACGTATAAAATTAAAATTAGTATAAATAAAACTGTGTGCAATAATGAATCATCAGATTTCCGTGTAGTGCAGCGGATCAAAAGTTGCTTCTAGCACTTTGTCTCTGTGGTTCTGGTTCGAGGCTTGTTAGCGGTGATTTCTTTATATCATATATTACAAATAAATTATCAATAAATACAAATTTTAATTTTATGATAGATTTTATTCTACCTAATATACTTTCTAAACTCCGGCCCCCCGACGGTCAAATCCTGAGAAACATGTTTAGTGTATGATTAATTTATTGGTCATAGTTTGTTCATTTGTTTTGAATACTTCATATAGAAATTTTAATTTAGATTCTTGTTTGAGCAATTTCTGTATATTGAATATTACAAATAAATTATCAATAATTACATATTTTAATTATATTTTATAATAGATTTTTTCCTACCTAATATACTTTCTAAACTCCCCCCCCCCCCCCCCCCCCCCGACAGTCAAATCCTGGCTCCGCCCCTGCCTACTATATAGAAATATTGCGAGATTCATTAGAGAGTCGGGTTCTAACATTGATAGTATTGGGCATGTTGGGATAGTAGAGAGGTTTCCTTAGTGAGACATGCTGGGATAGTAGAGAGGTTTCCAACTGGATGATGTAACCTCATTTTCGAGTTAATATATTGAGCAGGTTACCCGTAAAAAATATTATTGATTCATACCATATACTATGGATTGAGTTTTACATGCAAATTCATTCTATATATTCATGCAAGGAGGCAGTATCGAACTCCTGAATTGTGCATAACGCATTCAAGGTATACCATTACAACGAAGATGAGGCTCGAACCCTGGGGAACCACTTGACCTATAGAGGGTGCTTAATAACAATTGTAAACTCGGGTTTCTCCCCAAGATCAACCTTCCCTGCAGTTTCCCACTTGAAGTTCCACACAAGATTGGCCATAAAGTACTCGAGATGGAACATTGCCAGGGTATACCCAGGACACATCCTTTTTCCACCTCCGAATGGAATCATCTTGATCTCCTTGCATCAGGTCAAATCGAACTCGCCACCACCACTTTCAAGGAATCTCTCCGGCTCGAACGCCATGGGATCCTCCCAGACCTCAGGATCCCACCCGATCTTCGCCACCATGAAGTTAATAGTAGCGTTCTTGGGCATAGTAAACTTGCCGTCCAACACCGTGTCCTCCGTTACAGAATGTGGTAGCACGAAATGGCCTGAAAGATGTCTCCTCAATCCTTACAAGCACACAACCCTCAAGTACCGCATCTTCCTCAGATCCTCCTCCAAAACCACCTCACTTCCTTCCACCACCACCACCACGCTTTCGATCTCGCGAAAGAACTTCTCATAAACGCCAGGGTACTTCACCAAGTTTGCCATGATCCACTCAAATGCTGTAGCAGTCGTGTTAGTCCCTCCGTTGAGGAAATCGGAGCACAAGTACATAATCTCTTCCTCGTTGAGCTTTCTCTTGTTACCATTGTCTTCGGCATCTGGTAGCTCCACTTCAAGCAATGAATCCACGTAGCAGGTATTCCGTGCTTGTTCTTCTTTCCCCTGTTTCCATTTTTTTCCTTCCTAGATTTGATGAGAGAAGAACCTGATGTTGCTCATGACGAAGCTTATGAAATTCCTTCCATTGGTGGCAGAAGAGGAATTTGGTTATACTAGGTCAGAGTGTTGATATGACTAGAATCAGACTATCAGGCGCTACGACTGGAAGTCACAGGCTCAATGTTATTTGTTCTGGGTTTTTGGCCTGGTTGTAATCGCTTTTCCTTTACCAGATTTGATTAGGGTTAGACCTAGGAGAAGTACTATAAATACTTCTCATACTACTCTATAATCTATTATCTCCTCGATATAATGAAAAGTTACTCTCTCTTTCCCATGGACGTAGCTATCACACATCGTGTTAGTGAACCATGTAAATGGTGTGTCTGTTTTTCGATTCTCGCTTTCGTATTCTTTCTCAATTCCGGTGATCTATAGATGCTTAGTGATAAAAGTGGTACCAGAGCCGTGGGTGGAAATCAGGCTAGGGTTTCGATTTTGAAGAATGATCTCGGTAAACATGAAGATCAAGAAGTTCACGAGGAAGAACAGCTTCGCTATATGGCATATCAAGATGCAGGCTTTATTGAAACAATAAAGGCTATGGGGCTGCTGTCTGCGAAACAGAAGAAGGCAGCGTTCGATGACGATGAGTGGAATACCCTGGAGGAGAAGGCCCACTTGAACATCATGCTATTGTTTTCTGATGATGTCATCATTGAAGTCTCTGCTGAGAAGACTGTCGCAGGCTTGTGGTTAAAGCTGAAGAGTCTGTATATGATGAAGTCTTTAACCAACAAGCTGCATCTCAAGCAACGATTGTTCAGTTTGAGGATGCAAGAGTACCGCCTTTGAGGGAACATATGGAATAGCTTAATTCTATTTTTGTTGGATTTATGCAATATAGATGTCAAAGTTGATGATTAAGATGCTATCCTAATCCTACTTGTGTCTTTGTTGAGTTCATATGAGAATTTCGTGGATTCTTTTATTGTTGGTAAATATAGTTTTTCATTGGAGGATGTCATATCTGCTCTTCATACGAGAGAGATCAGACATAAGGTGTCCGAATCTGGTACAGATGGTGAAGCATCAGGGTTGGCTATCACAGGTGGAAAGGGAAAGAAGAAATCTGGTAAAGGGAATTCGAACAAGAATTCCAAGGGTCCCGGTCCATAGCCAGGTGATGCTTGTCACAATTGTAAGGAAGTGGGGCATTGGAAGTACAACTATCCCAGGAAAAGAGGGCAATAGAAGAACCATGGTTAAGTTGTCGTGGCAGAAGTGGACAACAGTTCTGAAGACGATCTCGCCTTAGCTGTAGATAAGAATGCACATCTTGGTGATGTGTGGTTTCTGGATACTGCAGCCTGATACATATGTCTTCGAACAAGGATTGCTTCACAACCTACGAGCAGATGGTGGCAACGTGGTCATGGAAAATGGAGCTGCCTGCAAGGTTATTGAAATCGGGTCCATAAAGGTTCGGAGACATGATGGTTCGCTATGTACCGTGAATGATGTCAGGCATGTTCCAGGAATGAAAAAGAACTTGATCTTCTTGAGTCTACTCCACAGCAAGAGTTTCAGTTTCAAAGGAAAAGGTGGAGTTGTGTTTGTCTGCAAGGGTTTGAGGAAGGTACTGAAAGGCATGGAACGTGGTACTTTGTATGCATTACAGGGGAATGTGTTGTCAGGTTCTACTGCAGTTGCATCGTCTTTGGTTCATCAGGAAGATATGACCACTGTTTGGAACATGAGACTGGGTCATATGAGTGAACGGGGGGATGCAAGTTCTGTCAAAGAGGGATCTTCTTTGCGGGCATTGTGTGTTTGGGAAGCTACATCGCAAATAAGGGTATCCATCGGACGAAGGGGATACTAGATTACCTCCACTCCGACTATTGGGGTCCTTCACAAGTTGAATCCATTGGAGACAACAAGTATTTTGTATCTATTATTGATGATTATTCGAAATTTACTTGAATTTTCATGAATGGTCAAGAATGGTCTGGAGTTCTGTAGTTTTGAGTTCAACGAATTCTGCAAGGATGAAGAGATACACCCCAGCAAAATGGCGTTGCATAAAGGATGAACCAAACATTGCTGGAGAGTGCACAGTGCATACTCTCTAATGCTGGACTAGAGAGAAAATTTTGGGCAGAAGCAGTAAACATGACGTGCTTCCTGATCAATCGTGGACCTCACACAGGTATCGAGTGTAAGACTCTTTATGAAGTGTGGCATGGTAAGGCTACTGATTACTCTTCACTGAAATTTTTTGGGTGTTCTGTTTATTATCATGTGGATGAGGGTAAACTGAACCCAATGGCAAAGAAGGGTATATTTGTAGGTTACAGAGTTGGATTTAAGGGATTTCGAGTCTCGTAACCTTCTGAGCATTGAGTTATACTCAGTAGAAATGTGATATTTGATGAAAAGTCTATGTTTAACCTCATGTTGAAGGTACCAGGAATGTTGATAAGCAGGTGGAGCTACAAAATCTCAAGGAGAGTGAGTTTGAGCACCAAGGTGGAGAAGATCAACATTCTGAGGATGTTTCCGCAGAGCCAGAAACTTCAGAGTCCAGTGCACGAGATCAACAGTCTATGGCTTACGATAGACCGAAGAGAGCGAATGCAAGAATACCTGTAGAGTTATGGCTTTGAGGATATGGTGGCGTATTCATTTCAGGTTGCTGAAGAAGCGGATGTAGGTGAACCACTATCCTATAGAGAATTCGTTTCATGTGGCGAAGCTAGTCTATGGCTTGCCACAATGGGAGATGCGATGGAAGATGAGATGAGATAGCTTGCCCAATGGGGGATGAGATGGAATCCCATGACATGAATCAGACTTGAGAGCTAGTCAAATGACCACATGGTAGGAAGATTGTTACAAACACGTGGATCTACAAGAAGAAGGAAGGAATCACTTATGTAGAGGGCATTAAATTTAAAGCTCGGGTGGTTACACGAGGCTTCTCACAGAGGGAAGGAGTTGACTACAATGAGATTTTCTCACCAGTGGTCAGACATACTTTGATTAGGGTGCTATTAGCAATAATGGCACATTATGACTTGGAGCTCGAACAACTAGACATGAAGATAGCTTTTCTACATGGAGAGTTGGAGGAAGAAATTTACCTGACTCAACCAAAAGTATTCCAGGTTATATGAAAACAAGACTGTGTTTGTAAGCTGAAGAATTCCTTGTATGGACTTAAGCAATCTCTGAGACAGTGGTACAAGAGATTTGACAGTTACATGCTTGAGCTGGGCTACAACAAAAGTCCATATGATTGTTGTGTGTATCACAGCAAGGTGGAGGATGGTTCTATGATCTATCTTGTTCTGTATGTGGATGATATGCTCATAGCTGCGAGGTCAAAGTCTGATATCCAGAAGTTAAAGGGGCTTCTCAGTGCTGAGTTTGAGATGAAGGATTTGGGAGCTGCTCAGAAGATCTTGGGTATGGAGATTTACACGGATATGTCGAAGAAGAAGCTTTTCTTGTCAGAGAAGAGCTACATCTAGAAGATATTGTCAATATTTGGTATGTCCTCAGCAAAGCTCTTGAATACTCCTAGTGCTTCAAATGTTCATCTATCCTCAACTTGTGCACCGTAGTCAGAGGCTAAGAAGGAGTACATGTTGAGAGTCCCATGTGCTAGTGCAGTAGGTAGATTGATGTACGCTATTGTATGCACTAGACTTGATCTTGCACATGCTGTTAGTGTTGTCAGCAGGTTCATGATACAACCTGGGAAGAAGCATTGATGATAACACGAAATTTGCACATGTTTTATCCCTCATTTCTTGATTTTTTAGTTGGTATTGATCATACTTTGGCCTATTTTACGCTAGGTTGTGTTCCTTTGTCACATTTCAGGTCATAGCACGTAAAGTGAAGCATATGCGCAAGTTTCAAGTCAATCGGAGATCAATTGGCGACTCGGGGGAAGAAACTCGGGTATGACCAAAGGAAGAACGGATTTCTACCTCATTTAACGGAAAAAATAATCTTGCAATCTAGGCATAGAAAGAAATATGACGAGAATACGAGCGTTCGGGATCAAACGACGATTGATTCGGAGTTCGGATGAGGGAGAAATGACCGAAAGATAGGAGCCTCTCCAAAGTTACGGGCTGGTCTTCAAAGTTACGGCATGGCCGTAACTTGGCTATTTTGGCCGTAACTCGGGACCACGCGAGACATAATCCAGTCCAGAAGTTATGGCCTGAACCCCAAAGGTTACGGTCGTAACTTGGCTTCTGTGAGCTGTATAAATGCATTTTTACGGATTCTGAAGGGGGAGAGCGGGGTTTTGGTTCCCAAACACCCAAGGGACGAACCCTAGAGAGAGAAAAGACCTTGAGATCATTCTTGGAGCTATTTTTGGAGGATTTATTCACCATTAGAGCTCAGGAATCAAGCTTGGAGATGGAGATTGAAGATCTAGATCACATTTCTGCATTCTCTCTCTTCTCTATGGAGTAACTTCCCTTCACTTAGGTTTTGAGGAACCCTATTTTTGTATGCTATGAAGAGTTGTATGAACACGATTCATTATTGTTTGACGTTTTATATTCAGTCGAAGCATTGATTCAGAATTACTTGAGTCCTGATCAAACTTTTGTAATTCCTGCTTTAACCTAGAAAGATAGTCTCTGCATAGGTTAATAGAGCAACCTCAATTGGAAGTAGTGGATCAATTGCTTTAGTCGAGAAATCGATTCACTGCTCTGTACTGGAATCAAAGACAGTAGAGGAAGTTTTGTGTGGTTTACCTTAAATCTGTCAACTTAAATCGAGAGTTCGGACTAGTAAAGAACTTTCTGCGGTATATCTGTCAACTGAATTGGATTCGGTGAATTACAAGTTGGCCTAACTGCAGACTAGGGGGAATCATACCTAAGTGAGTTCCCAACTTGTAATTAGTAGTTTTACCTAGTTTAGATTGTAGAGTAGTTTAGTTAATCAAATCTTAAGTTGATTTTCTAGATAATGAACTGAAGCTGAGTAATAGTACATTTAGAGACCCGAGGATTCGATATTTATTACTTGCACCACTATACTGCAGTCCCTTTCATTAGTCACACTTGGACATTGTTAGGAGTTGTTCCATAGTGAGTCAAGTTTTTGGCGCCGTTGTCGGGGACCTTCTAGATTATTAGGAAAGGCCTAGGTTTGATACTTTAGCGTTTTCTTTACTTTTTTATTTTTATTTTCCACCCTTGCTTTTCACTTGGGTGTTTTTGTTTTCGTTGGTGCATATCTGAAACATGGATCCTCATGGCTTCTCTAACCATTGGGGGTATTTACCGCCATTCGAGTGGTATTACCCCGAGACTTCCTTGAGCAATCAAGATGAAGAAGACTATGGATTCGGGTTCCAGTACCAACCCCCTTACTACGAAGAACAGCCGGACCCTTGGACATTTCAAGAACAATATCCTTATCAAGAAGAATTTCTCCCACAACCAGAAGGGCCATCGGAGTTGGAATTAGCCATGGCGGCCTTCACAGGCCAATCTGTAGAGCCATGCAACAACCCACAACAAGATCCAAACTGTCAATTGAGACTTCTCATTGAGCAGTTTGTTTAGGACACCGAGACATCCTTTCCCAAGATGGACCTCCTAATCCAAGGACACCGTAACTATCTCAAGGACACCATAACTCCTGGACGACGACAGTGCAACAAAAGTGTCGTTTCTCAGTAAGTTACGGACTAGGAAGGCGAGTTACAACCGTAACTTGGGCCGTACCTCGCGGACTCTCTGTCTATTTATAGGTTGCTCGGGAAATTTGCAAAGGAGGCGATTTTTGAGAGTTCTAAAGGTAGAAACCAAACCCTAGAGAGAGAGTGACGAAGAGAAACCCTTGGGAAAGGATTGGAGCGATCTGAGGACATCGCAGCTCGAGTCCCAAACCTCAGAGTACCAATTATCCGCCAGGAGCAGCCTTCCATTGTCACTTTGATGATGTCTACTTCAAGCATGTCGTTTTCACATCTCTCCATGGAGTAATCTTCCATTTCATCTGGGCATGAAGAACCCTAGCTGTGTATGTTAGGAATGATTGTATGAACCCCATGTTATGAATGATTGATTGGTTGAATTCAATTGAGGAATTATTCAGAATTGCATTAGTCCTTATCAAACTTGTGTAATTCCAGCTTTAACCTAGAACGATAGTCTCTGCATAGGTTAAAAGAGCAACCTTGAATTGAAAGTGGTGAATCGATTGCTTTAGTCGAGAAGTTGATTCACTGCTCCGTACTGGAACATAAGGTCAGTAGTGTATACTGGTGGAGGTTAGTCGCCCGCCGAGTATTCGAATTAAGAGGGTCCGGACCACTTTAGTCGAGAGTCCAGACCAGTTAAGAACTTTCCGCTATTTATCTATCAATCTAAGTAATTTGGGACCGTATTACCTGAACTAACTGCACACTAGGGGGATCCATATCCGGATGACCTTTTGAACTTGGAAGAACCAGACTATTACTTGTTTCCTAGTTTCCTTTGCTTACAATCACTCTCACTAAACTTATTCCCGCTAGATAATAGATAATCACGGAGTAGGCAGTAGATCTAGACCTCGGGTTGATAAATTAAACTTGCCACTATTCTGCATTTCCGGAATGCGATTATACTTGGTCGTATTTTTGTGTTGTGTCATAGCGTGTCAATTGACAGGTTGTGAAGAGGATTAAGGTGAATAAGGGTACACCTTATGTGGGGATTAGTTTTTGAAGTTATACAAAGTGCTTGGTGTCTGGGTATTCAGACTTGGACTATGCTGGAGATGTTGACACGAGGAGATGGATGCCTGGTTATGTATTCACTCTTGGGAGTTCTGTAGTGAGCTGGAAGGCAACTCTACAGTCGCTGGTGACATTGTCTACTACCGGGGCAGAGTATATGGCGTTGACAGAAGTTGCTAAGGAGGGAATATGATTGATGGGACTCGTTGGTAATCTGGGTCTACATCATGTTCAGGCAGGGGTGTATTGCGACAGTTTGAGTGCAATAAGCTTGGCGAAGGATCAAGTCCACCATGAGAGGACTAAGAATATCGACGTGAGATATCATTTCTTGAAGACAGAGAAGAAGATTAAGGTGAATAAGGTTGGCACAACGGAAATCCTGCTGACATGTTCACGAAGCCGGTTCCACATGACAAGTTCCAACACTGCTTGAACTTGCTGAATCTCTTGAGTGGGTGACTCTGCCCTACAGGGCATTGACGGCAGGAGAGAGAGAGGGGCAGCGTACATCCGAGATTTCAGAGGAAGAGGATTCAAGTAAAGGTGAAGATTTGTTGATGTGACTTGAATCGGACTATCAGCCGCTACGACTGGAAGTCACGAGAGTCTCGCTACCCGGTCAGCGAGTGGGGTCCAGGGGCAACGCGACACATGTAAAACTTATACTCGACCCAAAATTCGTTAACACCGAGTTCAACTCGTTCTAACCGAGTCGAATACCCAAAAATTCACCGTCAAACAAAAATTCGTCAATATTGGGTTCATCTCCCTTTAACCAGGTCGAATACCCATTAATTTTGGTCCAATTTGAGCTCAATTGTCATAAATTAATTAATTAGAACCTGTATGATACAAAAGCTCCTCTAAGATTTTGTTAATTACAAAATAGAACACCACTTATGATGTGGCTCTATGAAATAGTGATTTTGTTACTTGTTATTTTAAAGAGTTAACTTGGATTCATTACTATCCCACATGCACGAGACTGGAAAGAGATGGTCGATGTATCAGTTGATTAGAATCATCATGTTGTTATTCATGATTATGCAGGTATTGTTTACTTTCAAGATGGAATGAATGGATTTTGGGTAGTAGTCTAGTAGATCGATTTTGAGTTATTAGGGTTCCTAGGATTTTGAAATCTATCCTTCATTGGTTGTTGAATTTTTGTGATGGATCGTGGCAAGTGAATTACGTGATGGATTCCAAATCTTTGATTTATTGATCAATCAACTGTAAACTCATCGACACATTTAAAACTATTGATCCATATCACGTACTGTGGATTGAGCTACACACCCAAATTCATTCTATAAATTCGTGCAAGAATCCAGTATAGTACTCCTGAATTGTGCGGTATGCAAAGTATAGCCTTACGACGACGAGGGTCGAACCCTAGGGGACAACTTGACCTCGAGTGGGTGCTTCATAACAACAGTAAACTCGGGCTTCTCCGCCAGATCAACCTCTCCTGCAGCCTCCCACTTGAAGTTCTTCACAAGATTGGCCACAAAGTACTCGAGATGCAGCATCGCCAGAGTATACCCAGGACACATCCTCCTCCCAGCACCGAACGGCATCATCTTGATCTCCTTGCTTCCGGTCAAATCAAACTCACCACCACCTTCGAGGAACCTCTCCGGCTTGAACGCCATGGGATCCTCCCAGACCTTAGGATCCCACCCCATCTCCGCCACCATGAAGTTAACAGCAGCATTCTTGGGGATCGTAAACTTGCCATCCAGCACCGTATCCTCCGTCACCGAATGCGGCAGCACGAAATGGCCCGGCGGGTGTCTCCTCAATCCTTCCAAGCACACCGCCCTTAGGTACCGCATCTTCCCCAGATCCTCCTCTAAAACCTCCTCACTTCCTTCCACCTCCACCGCCACGCTTTCGATCTCGCAAAACAGCTTCTCCTGAACATCAGGGTACTTCACCAAGCTCGCCATGATCCACTCCAATGCTGTAGTAGTCGTGTCAGTCCCTCCGTCGAGTAACTCGGAGCACAGCCCCAGAATCTCTTCCTCGTTGAGCTTTCTCTTGTTACCATTGTCTTCCGCATCTGGTAGCTCCACTTCAAGCAACGAATCCACGTAGCAGGAATTCCGTGCTTGTTCTTCTCCCCCCTGTTTTCCAAATTTTTCCTTCCTAGCTATGATGAGAGGGAGAAGAACCTGATGCTGCTCATGACGAAGCTGATGAAATTCCTTCCATTGGCGGCGGAGGAGGAATTTGGTGATACTTGGCCAGAGATTGAGTATCTGAAATCGCTGGAACCCTAGCAGCATCCTCCTCTGAACGCGCCCCACCTCGTGGATTTGATCCTCCTCCAGCCTGTCGCCGAAGCACATGAGCACCAGCAGGGCGAACATGGCGTGGTGGATGTGATCCTTCAGCCTGAGGGTCTGGCGGCTCTGTTCTTGGCGGAGGCGGCAGAGGAGGATGTGGAGGACCCATGAACGAGCGCGGGAGAAGTACCTGACGCGGGAAGGGTGCAGGATTTGGGAAGTGAGGTTGCGGCGGAGGAGACGCCAGGTGAGGCCGTAGGAGGCAGAGCTGATGTTGTGCTGGTTGGTGGAGACGATTTTGGTGACAGGGGGAGCGGGTGGCCGGTCGGCGAAAACGGCGCCGTCTTGGACGAGGGCTTGGTGGGCTAGGGAGTGGGAGGAGATGAAGATGGCTGGGCGGGAGAAGATGCGGATTTTGACGATGGAGCCGTACTTGGAGCGGAGCTTGCGGAGAGGAGGTTCGAGGTCGGAGAATCCTTTGCTTCTCAGCACCCAGAGGAAGGTGCCGATGATTGGGATGGAGAAAGGTCCTGGTGGGAGCTTGTTGTGTGAGGGAAAGATGTGGTTTTTACAGACTAGGAGAGCCAGAGAGGTGATGACGGATGCGACGATGATCCACCTGATTTCATCCATGGCTGCTGCTCTCTGCTCGCTAACTGAAGAAGCAGAACAATATCTACTACGTTTGAGTCCTTAACAGCTAGCTGAGAATATATAAATAGAGGAAGAAAGTAATTGAATTGTAATAGTTCTAATTAATGGTCTGCCTCCATACGGCCACCACAAACGCGACGAGAGGCCGACAATCATACGGAAGAAGCTAGGGAGGGGCTCACACTGCATATATATGCATCATCAACGTGCTGAATTTGCCCGCAATGATGGTGGCGTGATCGAACGTGACGAAAGAGAGAGTAGAACTGTCTACTCTACTCTCCAGTTGCTTCCCCGAGTTGGCGCCGGAAGCGGACCGGCCAAGAACTAGAGTCTAGAAGTAGAAGGAGAGAGTATACTAATTCTCTGAATACTACATAAACGTGTTTAGCTGAGTTTTGCCATCATCTATGTTTAGGGGTGGGAAACGGTCCGGTTTGGTTAAAACCGGACCGGATTGACCCGGTTTTTTGAAACCGGATTGGACATATACACGACCGGAGACGGGATTGGATTGGTGCACGGTTTTAACCAAACCGGATTGTATGCAATACGGTTTTAACCGGAAAAACCGGAACACTCAAATAAACTAAAGAAAACAACGTTTAAACTGACCTGAGAAAAAAAAATCAACCTCACAACTCGCTCCCAAAACCCAATTCCTATCTATCGCTTTCCCAAATCCCAATCCCTATCTATCTCTTTACCCAATCTCGATTCCTTCTCAATCTCATATCTCCTTTTCCTCCTCTCACTTCTTCACGACGACAGCTATTGATGAACAATTCTTGATGGCTGGTGGGCAACGAACGACGTGGGAGATCTGAACGGGCGGCGGTACGGAGGTGGAGGCTGAGAGACCTCTGCATGCCTCTTACGAGTGGCGCGGTTCACTGCCGGCAAACGGGAGTCACCTAACTGGGATGTAGAGAGGCGATTGCGATGGGATGGAGTTTCTTCTTCTTCTTTTTCTATTTCGTGTTTGTGTTGCAGAGGAGAATGGGAGAGGGGAGAGAATGAGGAGAGGCGGCGTTGATTTGAGGCGGCTGGGGACTGGGGTTGATTTGCGGAGAATGGGAGGGGATAGAATTAGGGTTGGGCTTGGTGGGCCTGGCCTGGCCTTGGGGTTGGCTGGGCTTAATTTTGGGCTTAATTTTGGGCTGGTGTGGGCTTGGTTTGGGGCTGGTGTGGTTTGGTTTGGGCTATCCGGTTTTTCCGGTTTTAACCGGATTGGACCGGGGTGGTGTGCACTACAACCGGAAATTGGATTGGGTTGATGGTAATCCGGTTTCCGGTTGCAACCGGGCCGGTTTTAACTGTCCGGTTTCCGGTTTGACCGGAAAATTGGAACTGGATTCCCACCCCTATCTATGTTTATTAAACTCGTAAAAGCAACAGCTCGTTATCGCTTCGCGTATCAAAAGATAAATATTTTAGAAAAGTAATAATTGTAATGTTGATCCAAAAGTGAAAGTAATTTTATTTCATCCTTAATAATTCTTTTCATAGGTTTCTTATTTATAATAACATATGGTTGATAAACTTGCATAAGTTAGAAGGGTCGTCGAATCGATTATTTATGTTTAAACTTCTTTCATGACAATATTGTTTAAATTTGTATGATTGGTAGTTGATTATGCTGTAACTTTTGTAGAATGAAGTAGAGTTTCTCTGCATCTTTTCAAGAAGTATTTAAAAAATGGACTAGAGACAATGAAAATATGTTTCAATAGGATCCACATTTGTCTCTGTATTCCTTTAAATACATATACCACATTTGTCTCTTATAGAGTTGTAATAGTGCGTATCCCGCCCTCCGTGGTGGCTGCACCTTAGGGCAGTGCTTATTCCTTGTTGTAACAGCTACCTTATTCATAAATAAATAAAACAAATAAGTTTAGAGCTTGCTGCTATGGTTTTGAAAGAAGAAGGGAAAGCAATCCTTTCTCATAAAATTTTGTTATTTTCACGGATGTAATTCCCATTTCCGATTAAATTGAAAATCCCTATCTCCTTTCATTCGGTTATAAATTACGTGCTAAATTATATTGTGCTAAATTATATTATATCAGCAGCATACAAATATGAGATAAATTAGTAATGAAAATTGACTATTATCCTTTTTTCATTAACCACATGTATAATATATGGCATACAAATATAATGGTATTCAAGTTATAAATTATTTTAGAAATTTAATTTAAGGGTTAAACCATTTAGACTTATAAATGAGCCGAGCTCATGAGCTGATTGATGAGCCAAAACTCGATCTAACTCAGCTTGTTAGGAAACCAGTCGAGCTCAAATTAAGCAAAACTCGACTTGACTTGGCTCATTTGCATCGCCACTCACAACCTTTCAAGAGATATGGACCGGTTTCTTCTGTCTGACAACATATCAAAAGGCAATACAGCTTCCAAAAGATCCTGCAACAAGGGGAATTATAGACACTTTTGCTTGATCATTAGTGGGGTATTAGATGACTCAAATTTATGGGTTGGTTTTGTTTCTCAGTTGTCACCAAATGAATAAATTCAGAACAAATAAATAAGGAAAAGAAGCCCCGTCCCTTTATATTGGACAATGATTATGCTGGCCGCCACCTGCAACTATTATTTCAATTACTAACAAAAATCTCTCTATATATATACCATCTTCAGAGAATTGTTTATAATTGAATGTTGGTCCTGATCGAAACCTTCCACTACGGATTTGTCACTGTGGCAACCCAGTTCTTTCCTCCAACTGATCTAATGTTTTTGTTCTTCCACAGGCTCTGCTGCAGATTAGACAAGATGACAATAGCTGGAATAGTAACTGACGGTAGGCAAAAGTACTACTCATGGCAATTCTTCCACATCGTGCACATGCTCATCAGCTCATCCTTCGTCTTCGTCTTCGTCTTCGTCTAATAAAGCTTGGAATCTGTTTGCCAGACGAGAGACCTTATTACCATCATGTTGTTGCTGCTGATGCTTTTTGTTATTATTGCTCTTCCTCTTCGTTACCTTGGCGACGTCCACGGCTGGCCTTGGTTTTGCGTGCTCCAACATCCTTTCTTGATCCTTTCTGTGCTTTTGGATATCCCTATGTTACATATGCATCCATGCACCGCAGACGAGGAAAACAAACCAGCAGACAAACAATTAGGATCCATCAAACCCACGTAGCTTGATTAGTAAATCAATCAAAACTAAATTAAATGCTTAATTACCAGGGCATGGGGAGAAACCAAAAACTTCGCGCCTTCCTTTCCACAATCATCTTGTCATTAGGATCATGATGACAAAACCTCTCAACCCTTTGGTTCCCAAGATCGAACATGCCACAGCCATTGCCATAGTTATTGGAGCCATAGTCCTCAAAAACGAAGTAGATGCGGTTTCCTTTAACCCCATTGTTGAGTGGATCCGCAGGAAGGCAGAATGACTGGTGAGACCCCAAAAACACAGCGTGACCATCCAAGTCAGTCACTTCTGCCCAGAAATAACTAGTACTAGTACTACTACCACCCTTATCGCCTCCTTTCATCGACACAAGCTTGTACACCTCGAATTTGAGCACGGAGTTGGGGTCAGTCGGGTTGTACCAGTCATATCTATGGCTCAGGATAACGAGGAGCTGACCACGGAGGTTGGCCAAGTGGTAAGAGGTCTTGTAGTAGTCTTCGCGAGCTCTGGCCCGCCAGCTCGACATGTACGACATGGCCGGAGAGAGCGGGAACACTCTCACAGAAAGTTTACAGGTAAGCAGTCCCTCGACGACAGACACGTGCTCTCCGTCCTCCAGCACGTACAGCTTCCCTCCGAAGTAGTCCATGTCAACCCGCCACTGGTAAATAATGTTGACAATTCGATAATCCCGGCTCGTGAATTTCCAACCTCCTGCTCTCCTCCCATCATGGTCGTCGTCATCATCCTTGGTTGCAGCAGCAGCAGCAGCCGCCTCCTGCACGTTGCACCAGGCCAGTTGGGGCAAGGAGCGGAAGAGAATGATGACGTGGCAGCAGCAGCAAGTATCCTGGTCCGAGTCAGGGGAAGAGGAGATGAGTGCTTTGAGGATGTCCTTGGGATTGGCGGGGAAAGGGAGAGGAGGGAGAGGGATGGAGGAATTGGTGATCGGGTTGAAGAGGTACAAGTTGACGCCGTGGCGGCGTGGGTGGATGATGAGGATCCACCCGTCTTTGGAGGCCACGTAGAGTTTGGATTGCACGGTGGAGCCGAGGTAAGGGTGGTCGTCGAAGTCGATGTACATCTTTTTGTGGCGCTCCGATTCGCGTAGGATGTGGGATACATCGGATAGGGATGGGAAGTGAGGGAGCATCACCCGCGGCAGCCGCTTTCTCCTTGTGCTCTTGGTGCTTGGTACTACTGTTGGCGATGGAGTTATTGGCTGCATGGTGGTGGTGGTGATGAGGGGAAGGAAGTCGTGTGGCGGCCCGCAGTAACGAGAGGGCGCGGGGGATTCCGGCAGGATGGCGGAGGCTTGCGAGATGAGGAGGCCAGGAAGCTGCATGGATTGGAGCAAGCGGTGGCGGTGTGGAAGAGCCACAGATCTCCATGATTTGGAGACTCCGGAGAAGGCGAGCAACTGGGACAAGGCGTGCAAGTGCTGGTTTACTATCTTGTCTAGTATGTCCACCGGCAATCCGGAATAATCCATTGGATCGGAGAGTTCTTCTAACAGAGGCAACAACATAGTATAAGAGTTTAGATACATATATTAGCCGCTAGCTAGGGTTTTGCTGAGTTCCGGGGAAACAAAATGAAAAAAAAAAAAAATCAATCAATCAGACGATATCTTAACACAGAAGAAAGACCACTTGCCGAGAAATTAAAGGGCGTAGGAAACCAAAACCTAAAAGCTAAGTTTCTAGTGAGAAAGATTCATGGAGCTTATTAGGGCACCGAGAGAAACGTAACTGATGAGCATGCATGCATGGAGGAGAGACGACGACGAGAGAAGTAGAAACGCTTACCGGCCGGGGAGAACGAGCTCGCGAGAGCTATTCGAAAAGAAGACAGAAGGGACGTGATGAATATGGTGCACTGGAATTGGAGGGGATTGGAGCGGGACGAAACCCTACTGATTTTTTTTCCGGGATGTAGTTATGAGTTTACTACTGCGTTTTATATGAATGGCTAATTATCATAAATGATGACAAAATTATTCACTTTGTACAAAATGTTCACAAATTTTTAATTTTGTACGTTTTAGTAATAAATGTTTGGACTAATAACGAAAAGGTAATTCCATCCATTTCCATCCAAAAAATCGTTACTTCCAACCAGTCAGCATGCCACGTCATTTAAAATACTAATAAAAAAATTAATAAGCAAACCCAATTGAACTGATAACCCAACCAAAAACCCTAATACATTACCTAGACTCGACCTTAGCTTCCGCGGGATGAGTTGGGTCGTAAGGGTACTGAGCTAACCCATCCTATTCTAATCTTTGTCATATATATCGTCCAATGTTAAATGTAACATCCCAACCATTTTTATGGTCAAGATATTGTGCGCTCTGAGTTCAATCCTGGACCTGTTTTCCTTTTGGGTGCACCATATGCATGCCGACTTCTTAAGAGGTCACCCATATTTGTCAATTAGGATTGAATTGTTCCTTATAGACTTTGAATCTCTCTTGTACTTTGTCGATGTGGGATTTGCCTAACGTGTTACTTTACACCTCTATTGGGGCTCAACATCCTCGTTGATTTTCGCCTCACCGTCATTCAAAAGGGATGCATAGAGGCTTTGATACGTCGTGTAACATCTCAATCCTTTTTCTGACCAAGATATTGTCCGCTTTGGACACAAAGCCGCATTAATTTGCTTTTAAGTACATCATGGTGACATCCCAAGAGACAACTCATCTCTGCATTACTCCACCCTTAACACGTTTAACTTCAGTGCTCTTACAAGAGCTCATTAATTCCACCGCATATAGCAGTTTGTCAGTTAAGGTTGGATTGTTCCTTTTAGCTCATGAATCTCTCCGTGGATTTGACTAATGTGTTACATTACATGCCCTTTTGGGACTCAACATCATTGTTGGGGTTTGTTCTACTATTGTTCAAGAGGGACGCAAATACAACTTGCATCATTCAACTCTTTTCTTACCAATGTAGTGTCAGCTTTGGATCCAACCCTGTACAATTTTGCTATTGGCTGCATCATAGTGACTTCTTGAGAAATCACCCATCTCTGCATTGCTCCACTATATGAACATGTTTATAAAAACTAAATTTTACTCCGAAGCGGTTTTTGTCACGTACAATTAGATTTTTGTTAGACCAACTCTAATGCTAGTCGCCAAATTTGGGGACCTTCATATCTAAATTTGGGGATTATTCTCATTTTAATCATTTTTACTTTAATGCTATCATCACTAAATTTGGGGACCTCCCTTTTTTTTAATTTTTCTTTACTTAAAAATGTACTTAGAATCATCTTAATCTAATTTATTTGTTCATGTTAATTTTTGTATATTTCGTCATCATTTTTTAAATACAAATTTTCCGATAGAATCTTTGAAATTTCAAGACCATTTTTTTTCTATCCAAAAACGAATATATTTTTAGTTTATATCATTCTTAAGAAATCGATACAAGAAGAGTAGAAAAAATGAAATTAAACAAAACATTAATTAAAACAGCTATTAATGCCCTAATTAAAACCCTAACTCCTAAATAGGGATGGCAATCAGCCCGCGGGCTTTGGACATCCACTGGGGCCCGACCGAATGTAACGGCCCAAAACCCGCGAGGCCGGGTAAGATCCCGGTTACGGGCGGGCCCGAGACCCGCGGATAACGGTGACGGGCTGGGGACGGATGTTGTGATCCCCGCACCGTACCCGGCCCGATATCAATACGACACCGTAACTACAGCATATATAAACTTGGATTTTTAGGGTTAGGCCATGGAGTCTTCATTTTCACCAACGCAGCCGCCTGTGAGTCCCGATTTCCTCTCAACCTAAACCCTAGAATCGAAAATTTCTGGCCAAATCCCTACGATTCCGACGAATTCTCCTCCTTTCTCTACTAATTTCCCACCAAAATCTACGATCTAATCACCAATAATCCTTCATCTTACCCTTAATCAAGCCCCAGCCATCGAAAATGTCTCAATCGAAGGAACAGAAGTCTCGAATCGTGCATGCAGACGATTTCTTTCCTAGATCGAGAATTCGAGATAAGTATTGAGTATTCGATTCATTCTTTCTTTCTTTCCTTAATCGATTAATGCTTATAAGTGTATAAATATGAGGCTTACTTGTTCGTGTTGTTCACCTGCAGTTCTTCGACCCCTAAACCCAGAAACCCTAGCCTTCCAGAATTCGAATTCCCAGTACCTGTTTGTCATTCTCGGTAAGTTTACACTTTACAGTAGTTTGTTTGATTAATGCTTATAAGGGTATAATATGTGGCTTACCTGTTCATTTTGTTCATCTGCAGTAAGCACCCTAAACCCAGAAACCCCAGCCTTCCAGAATTCGGAATCCCACTACCTGTTTGTCATTCTCGGTAAGCTTAGTTACAGTAGTTCGTTCGATTACTTTTTCCAAATACCCTAGCTTTCCAGATTAATTGAGTTTGATTATTATTTCCTGCTCTTTTGTTTTTGCAGCTTGCTGTTCAGGAGTCCCATAAAGCAGGTCGTGCTTAAACTACAGTCTGCTGAAGTAAGTCGTCTCCCTTGATTGTTGTTGGTAGTGAATGATTTGGTTTGTGCTATTCTTAAGTAGAAAACAGATCTGGTAGTGAATGAATTGGTTTATGTCATTCTTATGTCGAAAACAGCTAATCTGGTAGTGACTTAATAATACTGAACACATCTTATCTTTGAAGTTCGAATAATTTCAGTCAATTGATTCAGTTTAATAATACTTAAGTACTAAACTCATATAGTTTCAGTACATTGATTCTGTTTATGCTATGCTTAAGTACTCAAGTCTAAACACATGTAATCTGTGAAGTACTTAACTTCGAATCAACTTAATTGATTCAGTTTATGATATGCTTAAGTACTGTTCACTTAAGTACTAAACACATTGATTCTGTTTATGTTATGCTTAAGTACTGTTCACTAAACACATTGGTTCAATGTAATAAACACATTGGTTCAATGTACTAAACACATTGATTCTGTTTATGTTATGCTTAAGTACTGTTCACTTAAGTTCGAGATAGCTAAGTTGGAATCTTTTAAACAACTAATCTCTAGTCTATAAACATTTTTATATAATAAGAATACAACTAGACATAATTCTAAGACGTTTTACTTGTGTCTTCCTCTTAATCAGATGGAACCCGAACAGTTTGAGAATGGTAATGCTGCTGCCCCAGCCCCTGGTAATCCTAATAACCCTCCTGAACCTCTAGATGTTGTTCCTCAACTTCCCTTAGGTGCTAGTAGATCATTAAAGTCTGATGTGTGGCCTCACTTTACTCGGGTAATGGTGTCTGGAATTTTGAAAGCTAAATGCAACTACTGTAAGAAGGTGTTGGCTGGAAAATCTACTAATGGTACCTCCCATCTTAGAACTCATAGGAACAAATGTGTTCATAAAAAAATACATGATGGGAGTCAAAAAATTCTTGGTGCTAACTACAATGTTAGTGGAACGGCTGACATGACTACCAATCAATTCAGCAGTGAGGTTTCCAGAAAGGAGCTCTGCACCATGATCTTGGTGCATGAGTATCCACTTTCTATAGTTGAACACTTATATTTCAAAAGGTTTTGCTGCACATTGAACCCTCTCTTCAAAGTCCCAACCCGAAATACCATAAAGAAAGACATAGTGACCATTTATGGTTTAGAGAAGTCTAAAATTCAGAAGGTCATGGACCAAAATAGAGGGAGGATAGCTATCACCACTGACTTGTGGACTGCCACAAACCAAAAAAGAGCTTACATGGCTGTCACTGCCCATTACATAGACAACTTTTGGAAGCTTAGGAACCATCTTATATTTTTTGGTTACTTCCCTGCCCCACACACTAGTGAGAGGTTGGCTGCAAAGCTTGCTAAATGCCTCCAAGATTGGAACATTGATAGTACGTTGTCAACAATCACTCTTGACAATTGTACTACCAATGATTCCATGATCAATCTAGTGAAACAAAGGCTGGTCCTATCTAATATGATTAGGGATGGGACACTTCTTCATATGAGGTGTTCTGCTCACATCCTTAATCTAATTGTGAGGGATGGCCTTGATGTTCTCAAAGATGGAATTGAAAACATCAGGGAGAGTGTGGTATTTTGGACATGTACTCCGAGGCGAGTTGAAATTTTCCATGGAACTGCCCAACAGCTTAAACTGGCTGTTTCCAAGAAATTGGTGCTGGATTGTCCTACACGTTGGAATTCTACCTTTGCTATGCTTACTGCTGCTATTCCATATAAGGACGTGTTTGCTATTCTGAAAATAAGGGAACCTCAATACAACTCTCTGCCTACCCACGAGCAGTGGGAATTTGCTCATATTTTGTGTGAGAAACTTGAGGTTTTCAAGGACATTACTGCAATATTTTCTGGTTCAAACTACCCTACAGCCAATCATTTTTTCCCTAAAGTATGCGACTTGAGGTTGCGTTTGATGGAGTGGTTAGTTGATCCTAATCCTATGATCGTTTCTATGGCTGAGAAAATGTGGGCTAAGTTTGCAAAATACTGGGATGATATTCATCTGCTGCTTGCTGTTGCTGTTGTGATGGATCCGAGGTACAAATTGGACTTGGTTGGTTATTATGCAACCAAATTTGGTATTGCTAATACTGACCTTTTGATTGAAAGGGTAAAAGATGTTCTTGCTGAGTTGGTTGTTGAGTATCAGAGGAAATCCTCAAAAAACAGTGCTGTTTCTTCTACTTCCCAAACTTCTTCTTCGGCCACAGATCTTGATTTTGATTTATATGTGAGCCAAAGAAAGAAAATGAGAACCTCTGTTGTAACCACTGAGTTAGATCACTATCTAGCTGAGGATCCTCATCCTAGAACACCAGATTTCGATGTGTTGGGTTGGTGGAAATTTAACGGGGCCAAGTATCCCATTTTGCAAGATATTGCAAGGGATTTACTTGCTGTCCCTGTCACGAGTGTTGCCTCTGAATCAGCCTTCAGTTCTGGTGGGAGGCTTCTTGATCCCCATCGGAGCAGACTGGATCCTGCAACAGTAGAAGCAATGATGATATTAAGAACTTGGATTCGGGACGATAGCAAAGGTATATCGATTCTAATTGGTAATTTCATTGCTATGATTTCTGTTTGTTGCTAAGTAAAGCTTATTTATAACTTTTTGCTTTGCCTTGTAGTGTCCGCCTCTGAATTGAAAGCTCTGGAGGGGGTTTTCTCCGCAATGGCAATGGATGATGCCACTGTAGAAGACAACACAGGTAAGTAGATTCATTTCCTTGCTGCGCCTGGTTAAGTTAAAGTTGCTGTAATTTAAGACTGAAAATGAATAAACTGTTTGTTTTGTAACAGATGGAGATGGAGTGCAGTCAGAGATTAATGGGGAGGAAGATGATGCAGCTGCTGTCATCAACTTGCTGGACTAATTCTAGGTTTGTATTTTAATCTATTAAGTTTTTCTGTTCTAAGTATTGCAACAAAATCAAGTGATGAATGACTGAGTTGAATCTGCCATATTGCAGATCTTGTCCAAGAACCTAAAAGTTGGTCAATTACTCTTGATTGATGATTGCTGGACTGATTATGGGTTGCTGGATGTTATGGAGAAGTGAAGAATGAATGATTTTGCCTGCTGTTTCCTTTGTGGCATGTTTCTGAGTTTGTTTTTGTGTTCGAACTACCACTGTTTTGAGTGTTATCATTGTGGCCATGTTTCTGAGTTTGTTAGATGGGATTGCAGATTTCTATTAGTTAGCAGTTAATGTTTCTGCTAGTTGACAGTTCATGTTTCTGGGATTGTTTGCTGGGATTGCAGATTTCTGCTAGTGGACAGGTCATATTTCTGGGTTTTTGCCCATTTTGAAAGTTACATTAATGGATGTTAGACAACTACTGGGTTTGCAGTTCATGGATACTGCTTGAATGTTATTAATATTTAGTTTTCAATTCATTTTTTAGTTCATTGAATGGGTTGTGTTTGATCTTTGCGGGTAAGCCATGACCCGCGGGCTACCCGGAACCCGCTTGGGTTTGGGCTTGGTATCTAAACTGTGCCCATTAAGCTTAGTGGGTCGGTGATGGGTAAAACCCGTGGGCATATATTGTGGGCAACGGATATGGGGTATCCGCACCGTATCCGACCCATTGCCATCCCTACTCCTAAAGAAAGGGGTGGTAGCCCAGTCACAAAAAATCCCGGGAATTGGCATTCCCATTGCCACAAATGGAGAATCAGATGGCGATTATAGCCATAAATACAGACCGCAATAGAGTCAGTCTTGTAGCCCAAGAACCCCTCCTTTATATTGGAGAATGATTATGTGGCTACCTGCAACTATTATTTAAATTAGTTTTTTGCTAGATACTAACAAAAAAAAAAGCTCTCTAATATCTTCAGAAAAGTATTTGTAATTGAATGTTGGTCCTGATCGAAACCTTCCACTACGGATTTGCCACTGTAGCAACCCAGCTCTTCTTGGCAGGAACAATACTTTGGCTTACGAGCATCTATTGTGGCCTGGGTTCTTTCCTCCAATTGATCCAATCCAATCCAATGATTTAGTGTCTTCCACAGGCTCTGCTGCAGATTAGGCAATATGATGATTATTCTTTGTCTTCATCTTCATGATCTTCGTCTGCGGTTAATAAAGCCTGGAATCTGTTCGCTAGACGAGTGATCTTATTACCATCATGTTGCTGATGATGCTTTTTGTTATTATTGGTCTTCCTCTTCGTTACCTTTGCGACGTCCACCGCCGGCCTAGGTTTTACCTGCTCCAACATCCTTTCTTGATCCTTTCTGTGCTTCTGGATATCCCTACGTCACCATGCACCGCAGACAAGAAAAACAACCAGCAGACAAACAATTGGCATAGCTTGATTAATTAGTAAATATAAATTAATCAAAAATTATATGCTTACCATGGCATCGGGAGGAACCAAAAGCTACGTGCCTTCCTCTCCACAATCATTTTGTCATTAGGATCAGGATGACAAAACCTCTCAACCCTTTTGTTCCCAAGATCGAACATGCCACAATCATTGCCATAATCATCGGAGCAATGGTACCTGCAACCCAAGGAATCGAAAACAAAGTAGATTCGGTTTCCTCTAACCCCATTGTTGAGTGGATCCGCAGCAAGGCAGAAGGGCTGGTGAGACCCCAAAAACACAGCGTGGCCATCCAAGTCAGTCACTTCTTCCCAAGAATAACTAGTAGTATTGCTATTACCCTCCTTATAATCGTCTCCTCCTCTCAGTACAAGCTTGTACACCTCGAATTTGAGCTCGGAGGTTGGGTCAGTGGGCTTGTACCAGGTATAACTATGGCTCAGGATAACGAGGGGTTTACCGCGGAGGTTGGCCAAGTGGTACGAGGTCTGGTAGTTGCTAAAAGCATCTCTGTCGATCCAGCTCGTCCTGAAGGACATGGCCTGAGAGAGCGGGAACACTCTCACGGAAAGTTTACAGGTAATCAGTCCGTCGACCACGGACACATACTCTCCGTCCAGCAACACGTACAGCTTCCCTCCCAAGTAGTCCATGTCAACCCACCATGAGTACCGAATGTCGTCGAAAATTCGAGAATCGTGGCTCGTGAATCTCCAGCTCCCTGCTGATGAGGATCTCCTTCCTTCCATCTTGGTGTCATCATCCTTGGTTGCATCCGCGGCCTGGTGCACGTTGCACCAGGCCAGCTGGGGCGTGGAGCTGAAGAGAACGATGACGTGGCAGCTATCGTCGTCAGGGGAAGAGGTGATGAGTGCTTTGAGGATGTAGGAGCGGTGGGAGGGGAAAGGGAGAGGTGGGAGAGGGATGGAGGACTTGGTGATCGGATTGAGGAGGTAGAAGGTGACACCGTGGCGGCGTGGATGGACGATGAGGATCCATCCGTCTTTGGAGGCGACGTAGAGTTCAGATTGGATGGTGGAGCCGAGGTAAGGGTAGTCGTCGAAGTCGATGTACATCTTTTTGTGGCGCTCCGATTCTCGTTGGAGGTGGGATACTTGGGATAGGGATGGGAAGTGAGGGAGCATCACCCGCGGGAGCCGCTTTCTCCTTCTCCCCTTGGTGCTTGTTGTTGGAGTTGGCGATGGAGCTGGCTGCATGGTGGTGGTGATGAGAGGAAGGAACTCGTGTGGTGGCCCGCAGTAGCGTGAGGGTGCGGGGGATTTCGGCAGGATGGCGGCGGCTTGCGAGAAGAGGAGGCCAGGAAGCTGCATGGATTGGAGCAGGCGGTGGCAGTGTGGGATAGCGGCGGATCTCCATGATTTGCAGACTCCGGAGAAGGAGAGCCAGTGAGAGGTTGCGTTCAAGTGCTGGGTTACTAGCTTTTCCTGTATGTCCGCCGGCAATCCAGAGTAATTCATGGGATCGGAGAGATCTAACACTAGCTACAGGGTTTCCTGAACTATGGGGAAAGAAAAAGGAAATAAAAATTCAATCAATCAGAAGATGGATTTGATATTCCAAGTTTCGAACACAAATGAGAGACCAGTTTATACCGATAAATCAAAGTGCGTAAAAATCAAAACCCTAAATAGTGAAGTTTCTAATGAGAACGAACGATTGATGGAGGCTATCAGGGAACCAAGAGAAACGTAAATGACGAGCATGCATGGAAGAGCGAGACGAGAGACGTAGAAGCGCTTACCGGCCGGGGAGATCGACGGTGCGAGAGAAAGGGACGTCAATCTGGTGCACTCTGAAGTGGAGCCGGTGGAGACGAAAATTCTGATGTTTCCCCCGGATGTATGTATGAGTGTGTACGACTGCGTTTTACATTATACGGATTTTCTTTTCTTCTTTTTTCGGTACAACATTTTACGAATTGATTGATATGGGAAGCGGATGGAAATAATTGACCGATCGGAAAGACGGAGAGATTCGTGGCGGCGGGCGAGAGATAGAGGAGGTGAAAAGGAAGTCCGGAATTTCCCACTTGTTAAGGTTGTTAAGCTTTTGCCGGCGAGGAGATGCCGCCGCCGAGAGGCCCAGGGGAGGCGGACGGTTTCTGCTCAAGTGTTTTTTTAATTAGTTTAGGGTTTGATTCTTCTAATTAATTGATTTGAGAAATAAAATAATTAAAACATGTTTAGTACTTAGGAGTAAATGAGTGCAATTGTGCTCATTTTGACAGATAATTAGATGGAAGGGTAAAATCGTTACGTTTTAATAATAGAAGGGTATATTTATGCAAAAAATTAGTAAAGGGGTACATTTGTTACTTTATCATAATAGAGGGGTACAAAATGCTATTAAGCCCCATTTTTAATAACTATCTTATTTGCAGGGTTAGACACTTAGACTTGTGTAGTCTTGGAGTATACTATATATAATCCAGATACTTCTAGTGAGATATCTCTATCTAGACCATGAATTAAACCGAGTTTAAGTTATGATATTATACCCTAACCTCTATTGAGATAAACCCCAAGCCTCGATTCTCTAAAATCAAATCCGAAGTTCAATTTAATAAAAAATAATAATCGTCCGTTGAGATTGGTCGGAGCGCATCGAAGTAGATAATGGTCGGATCACTTGGAGTATAGTATACTCCTGAAGTATACCAGTCTTTACCGTTATTTGTTTATAGATATATTTACAAAATTTATAAAGCGACTCAAACAGGTTGGACTTCAATTAGACCATTGAACCTCAAACCACTTGCTTGACTGCCTCAGCGACTTAATTCGATTTTACAGCCTTTAATGCTAACACTTGTTTTGATAGTTTAGTGACAATACTAGTTCCAGCCAGTAGAAATATTTCTTTAAATAACTTGTTATATTCCAATGTGTTGACCACACTTAATAATGATTTATGAAGAAGGAGCACACTGGTCTGGTAGGGGACACACGTGTTGTGCAATTGGGAGGGAGTGCATTAATTCTGGGGAACCACAAACACAGTAAATCATGGTAGTTGTTTTTTATTTTCCAGGCTATGCCGGATGTTCTATCTTCGGGGGCAAAGCATGCGTCCAATGCAGTAGAAAAACGCAAAGTTACGTAAGTAAAAGTGTTTGGTGACCCAGAAGTTTAAAATCGTAAGTTTTTAAGATTTAAAGTGTAGACTTTGATTATATTTGTAAGTAAAAAGTGTAATTCTACGTAAAAACTTTTTGGTAACTTAAAAGAGTAAAGACGTAAGTTTTTAAGTTTTAAAACCCAATTTCGACTACATTGATGCATTCGCTGAAATAGTAAAACGGCTACAATTGGGGTCCTGCCTCGGTGATATTGTAAACAAGGATGATGCACTAGCGCTCTTTAGTTTATACAAGGACGACGGATACATTTTGTCTGAGCACAGGGAAAGATTCTGCTTAAGTTGCTTTTACTTGCATCTTCTCAAGACTCTTATCCTTACGGTATTTGCTTAAAACTTGCATCACTTTTGACACTATGCTTAAGGAGAGTTGTTCACTGCTAGCCATGTTTCAGTCAGTATTCCAAGAATGTATGATCAAGTCACCTGGATTCTTTCAAGCTAACTCTGTGCATTTGCTACTAGTCAAGTGAGAAGCCGACTCTTGAAAAGTCTTAACTGACCAGCAATATCAGATTCAAATCTGAAAACAAAATAATGAAAGAATGGCAAACAAATTCAAGCAAACTGCAAACAAAAGAATGAGGTTTCCTATTAAGTTCCTATTGCTTCTTCCTTCCACTTTCTGCCAAAAAACAAGTCTAATGTACATTCATGTCCCCCCTAGACATATTCCTTTCCCTGCACCTGTGCTTACTCTACCTTCTATTTCCATCACAATTCAATTCACCAGTACTCTTTACTGCCTATCTCCATTCCGTTCCGTGTCGAAAGTCATAAACAATTAACATTGTCAAGAATAAGCAAGCAACCTTCCCCCACCATTAGCAAGCAACAATTGCTGCATTTCGTACATCCTAATCTACTATATCAGTGTGTCTATCTATCTATATTTTATATATCCATCTATCTTCTTTTTTCCTTGCTTTCTCAGTCAAAAAGAACAAAGAAATGAAGAAACAAGGGAGCTGAAAAGAAGAAAATTGTACATGCTCCTAATGCTGCTGCTGCTGCTGCTGTTCTTGTCTATCATCTGTATCCACGCTAGATCATGACTACTTGACTCCAAATGAAGGTGGTCTGTTTATCTTCTCCAGCAACCTACTGAACACTAACTTCACAGGTATGCAAGCCACCGTGGTGAGCCCAGAACTCTCCCCTTTTATAACCCCTCCTCCCATTTCACTGCTGTTGCTGCTGCCGCCCCCACTGCTGCAACTACTACCGCCCTTCCGCTGTTGGAACCCTATGGAAGAGAGCATCCTTGTCTTCTGACTGGATGACAAAATACCACCGGCTTTCTTCTTCCCCACTTTCCTCATCGGCCGAGGAACCTGACCACTGCTGCCCTTCCGGACTCCACCACCTCCAGACAACCCTCTACGACCCGAACCACTGACCCGGGGAACCTGACCAATGACAGGCCGTGGAACCCTGAAATTGTTGGTCCTCCTGGCAGTTCTCCATGATGGTTGTTGAAGTACTGAAGCTGCAACCCCCTTCCTATCATGGTGTTCAACTGTTGTCTCACTGCTACAGTGATCACTTGTGGAAACCAGAAGAGCATCAGTTGAGCCATGCTCCAGGGGCTCGACTTGAATTGGGTGCCCTATTATTGCCCTTCCGTCTACTTTACTCCTGAGAGACACAATAGGAACAGCTGCTTCTTTCTGATAGCTTGCTTTCACCTTCAAATCCACATCTATTAACATAGACCTCCCTCTACCACCAAAAGGACTAAAATGATCTCCCCTGCCGGCCTTCCAAAAGCTCCTGAAAGCAGGACTCTCCTCCCAGGTGATGTCTTCCCAACTCATCAATTTTTGACCAATAGTATTTGGACGATGACTTCTCTGCACATACTGTAAACCATAAGGAAAACCATCATCACTCAGCCGACCCTTGCGGGACCCGAAATATCTTGTCCCATATTCATCATCATCGTCGTCGTCCTCATCATGAACACCATATGAACCCAAGGTGCTTCCTTCTGTTCTGTAAGGGTGAGAGAACTTTCCATTACCTCTGTCCAGAGAATTTCTTGTAAGATGACGTGTGTTCCTTTTCCCTTTCAACTGCCATTTGGACACTGTTTCATTACTAGCAAGGTAAGGATGATCCTCAAGATAGTGAGGAGGCAAGCCACCTGAAAATGCAGAGTCATCTGTCTCCTCACTGCTTGTAGTTCCATCCTCTCCGTGTCCAGCCAAGCCATCAAGTTGAGTTTCTATGGTACCATCTGAAATATCCAAACATATTATCTAGTTAGATAACACAACTTTCAACTCATATCTCTGAAATGATAAAGTCTACAACTAATAGATATTCAATCTACAAACAAAATAAATCACTCTGAACACAATAGAAAGGAAAATATTGCCAAATAATAAAAGGAAACACTTCCTAAAAACTGGATAACATGTCATAGCTAGAAGATAACATTCATCTTACATAACTGAAAGATCAGTCAAGACCACAATATCTATAACCCTTACACAGAGTAACAAACAACAACCTGTCGAACTTGTTAAAGCAACTTCTTCAGCCCCATTCAATCCTCATAAACTGGCCATGCCTGGCACCATTTGATATAATGAAATCTTCATCCATAAAACAAACATGGGATCTTCACCAACTCCAAAACCACAACACCAACAGCAATGATCATGGTGGATCAAGAGTCATCATAAGCTGTTAATTAGGGCAATATACTTTTGCAAAATACTAAGCCTATAAGGGGGGAAGTGGATATGCTCCTAAACCCTCATCAAAGTGTATCTCATGTATATGCAAAAGTAGTTTCCTAAATCAAACATCGGAAAGCACGTGTTTCTTTCACAGCATGAAAGAATGTGCACTGAAGTCTCTCAAGCATCAATGTGCCATCAATCAAGAAATGAGGAAGCAAGCATAAACAACCTGAAAAGACGGCCACTTCATCATTCATTTCCGGTTCGGTAGCAGAAAAACCGGACTCGGAAGAATCAGATTCAGAAGAATTATGCCCAACATCCTCCATAAAGTCAGATGAAGAGTTTCCCTCATTCAGCGAACCTTGTTGAGGATGGCCGTCATTCTCATCAAACCGTGAAGGGGAGACATTAATGGGGCACATCTTAACCTGATCTGAAGGAAGGCCTTTATCATCCATCAACTCTCCATATTCATCTGGGAGGTAAACGAGTTTACTTCTCTTTGCATAAGAAAGGGTTCCTGTCTGCTCAACTCCTGAAACAAAGCAGAAACATTGTCAAATCAGGTTGCTATGAGTGCATTAGTGAGCAATACTTGGCCAAAGACACTTTACTATGCCTCTTGGCCGAATTTTGTTAAGTCAACCTTCCCCCATAGTGCAGTGACGCTCACCATTATCCGTGACGAGGGCACTGTTTGCAGGGACTTGGTTTTCTGGACTCCTATGATCAATGTCAAAAGAAGACAGCTTCCGCTTCAAATGGACAGTTCTAAGCCCAACATCACGCAAGTCTCTCATCCGCGGCATTTCATCAGAATGATCATCTGCCAAGGATGTTTTGTTTCCTTCACTCATTTGCAAAAAATGCATGGGACTGCTAACTGCCTCATCTTTGTTATCAGCATCTACTCTATTACGAAACTGGTATAGATCAGGGTTTCCACAATCCTTCCCCATATCATCATAAAGAACGCCAAGCTCCGTCTTTATAGATACAGATGATCTCCTTCTAGAATGATCAAAAGAAATGCCTAATTTTTCTCGTCTCTTCAGGAGCTGCTTCTCAAGCTCAAGTGCATGAAGAATAGCATCTTCGCGACGAGCATACTTCTCCCTTTTCTTAATCGGCACCCCGTGGGCAGATTCAGCCTTTTCAATGCATTCATCAAAGTCCCCACATCTGAATGCCTTGACACGCTTAGACTTTTCTAGGTTATACCAATCCCTGCAACAATGTGAAAAAGAAGTAGTCAGAATCAGCAAAGGGTGCTCCAGTGCAAGATGAGCATATCTTTGTGGATGCAGGGCCAACCAATAGTTCAAATAGTATCTGCATATGCAAAACTAGTAGAATATGCATGCATAACCATGACTGTTCCGAATAATCGTTGGAGATCACAGTATGCAGTATGGCCACCCATTTTGATGGATGAGATTGGTAAATGCAGCTGGTTGAACAAATTCGTTTTTTTTTTTTTTTTACTTTAAGTTCCACTTCAACTCCAACATTCATATTACAATGTAATCAAAGAACGTTGTTTCATAAAAAGCAGGGCAGGAACATTTGACCTACTAACACTCCATGGCAGGAAAACCCACAAACACAAGCGCATTGCACGTAAGTGGACCAAGAAACTTAGAAGCTTTTGGACATTAAAAATGGGTTGCATCTTCTTCTTATTTGGGTAAGATTTACAAGGCTTGCAACAAGTAACACCAGCGGCCAATAACTTGCGGAGATTGAATTAACAATTAGGAATGAAGCAACAAACAACAGGCGATCGGGTCAATACCAGGAAAAGGAAAGAAAAGAGATGAAAGGAAACCAAGAATAACTTACACGCTAGCGTCGTCTCTTCCGAGGAGCTTGACAGGGGTGCCGGTCCGAGGAGAGGTGAGGTTACGCTCTGCAAGCTCGTCAGGACAAAGTATCTTGCCCGGCCACCAGGAGCCGTTCCTCCGACGAACCCAGACGATCGGACCTCCCCCAGCGTCGAGCGTACCGCACTCATAACTTCCCATTGGGGAAGCCGGAGGTGGAACGAAATTGCTAGTGTGTGGTTTGGCTGTGCTGTGTTATGTGGAACTCTCTACACTCCGACTCCGCCGTCACTATAACACGACCCAGAATCTGCTGGCTGAGAATGTGGGAAGAAAAAAGAGACAGATGGCCGGTCAGCCACCGGGGAAGAAGAGAGAGAAACGGAGGGCGGTAAAAACAGAGGACGCTGAGGAGGAAGGAGGGAAACAGCAGTGCGCCATTGAGACTCAGATTCAGATGTTGGAAGACTTCATGGTGATGATGGTAAACTGGGAAGAAGGAGTATGGCTTCTTGATCTCTAGATTCAGATGATGCAACAGATTTTGCAGGCCTGCAACTGGAGTCTGGAAGTCAGTTATTAATTTGTTTTTTAGGGTTTGGTGATTATAGATTGTACAAATTTTTGTGCATTTTGGGATTTTTATTTTTTTCCTCCCTTTGTTTAGTTGAGGAGCGAGTGAGAGGGGAGGGACCGCGCCAGCCTGGCAGTCTGGGTGCCAGGATTTGGGTTGGGCTGGCGGTTAAGGCTTGGGATTTTGGGCTATTAGCGAATGGGCTGTGTCCATGTTCTCTGGACTGCCTGGGTCAAGCTTCTTTCTCTTTGCCCGTTTGCCGCTTGTTCAAGAATCAAGGCCACACTTTTTCAAATTTCAACGTGGGGTTTGCCGTTTGCCTTAGTTATTTGGGTTAATATTTTCGTATGGTTTGAACTTTGAGCAAAATAAACATCCTGACCAATCATTTCGATCTATAACATTCTGGTCCAAACTATACACCAAAATAAACAATTTGGCCAATCCCGATGTTTGACCATTAACTTGGACGGTCAAACGCGTTGACCGTTAGTCAGCGCGCCATGTCACTGCCAAGTCAGCATAAAATATTTAAAATAATTCACAATTTCCACACATTCCTATTTTTAAATTATTATAAATCAAAAAAATCATTTAATACCTTAGTTAAACCAAAAAAATTAAATATTTATCAGATCTTCTGACTTGGCAGTGACGTGGCGCGTTGACTTGACCTTCCAAGTTAACGGTCAAATATCGGATTTGGCCAAATTGTTTATTTTGGTGTATAGTTCGGGCCATGATGTTATAGATCGAAAAGATTGGCCAGGATGTTTATTTTGCTCAAAGTTCAAGTCATACGAAAATATTAACCCTAGTTATTTAGTATCAATTATCAAATCGTTTGTTAGCTAAAAGAAATTGCACGAATTATTTGATTTAGACATAATTTCTCACTTTGTGATCATAATAGACAAATTTTGAAAATACCAAGGTTCAAGAATGCCATATACAGGCATTGGGATCATGCCTAGCGCCTAGGCGTATTAAGCGATCATAACAATTTTACATATTGGGATGGTAAAGAGTATGAATGAAGGCTGGAACAACCGAAATTAGATACAAACATGAGAGGAACTGAAGTAGTACATATGGCGACATTATTTTGATTATTTAGCGGTCGACAATGGTGAATAATAGGACGGAGAATCGAGTCAACCAAAGTTGGAGAAGAGAAGCACTCTAGCAGCAGACGTCGAATTTCGGGGCAGGGAAAAAGTCGTTGCAATTCAGAGATCTCTGTTGACCTATTTTTTATATTCCAATCGAGGAATGAGGCAAGTGTAGGACGGGTCACGGGTCGTTGGGAGGAACTAATCGAACATAACGATGGCGCTGCTTTGGGATATTTTAAAACAATTATTTATTTTTATCTTTAGTCACCAGACCACCTAGCTCCAATTTATCGCGCCTAATTGCGCCTAGGCGGTGCTATAGATGGTCAACACTCGGTTTTGGGCAAATGAGTAATTGTTGGTGATAGTTTTGACCACGATATTAATTAGTGACTGGCCAGGATGTTAAAGAAGGGAAAAGTTGGGGCCATATAGAAATCTTAAACCCTAAATATAACTATCACCAAAACCAAAACATCCGTAAGTTGTGGAGCATTTGTTTACGCCAAAATAAATCTCATTAATTATCACATGAGTTATTTGCACATATAATAAGAATAATTAATCGACGTCGCCCTTATGTAAAAAGTTGGTCGTCCATGCTACCATTCTTTCATCACCATGAACATCATTCAAACTCTAAATCGATGGTGTCATCCAACATCATCGATACCATGCAATCGTAAATAAATGATGTCATTCCGTATCATGGATATCATCCCGAGTACCAAATGATGGTAATATTCATGTTATGTTATGATGATCATCCATTAGTATGGTTACCAAGAGTTATGTTGCCATTCAATATGGATATCATCCATGTTGTTAGATGTGTGGTACTATCCAATCAACCATCCATGGTACGTAGTGGATGTTTGTTGAATGGCATGGTGACGTGTCAGGGATTGTTACCGAAAGTAATAACCGACTCACAGCGGATACTTGAAGTGAACGTCGTGGTTGTTAATTGCTATAAGTAGCTAAGCTATAAGTAGCTAGTTTTCGGGAAGAGAAAGAGAGCAATTGGAGAATTGTGCACAACAAAACTTGAAACAAGTTTATGAAAAAAAGATAGACAAATCAAACCACAACAATAATATCCACCAATTTTTTTTTTTTTTCTCTCTAGAACTGTAGTGATAGCAATTACACTAGAGACCTTCAACATGGCTACTTTGTAGTCATAGTTTGTAGTTGCATAGCTCTCAAAGGAATCTTGATAAGAACAAAGGTAAAGGTAAGTAGAAAATATATGAACAGAGTAATATCGTTTTCTGTTTTGTCGAATCATAGTGCTTTTTTTTTTTTTTTTGACAAGGGTCGAATCATAGTGCTTTGATTACAAATTCCACCAAAAACATGGACGACTTCAAATTATTAACCAAAGTGATCGATAAAAATGCTAACATGACAGCATGAACGAAAGTTACATAGATATATACATTAGAGAAATAAGTAGCTTCTTCCTCTTTGTGGTTTTATTTATGGGAAAGGATCATCATTCGAAGGTAATTCAAAACTGGCGACCAATTGGAATATTTGATATCAGATTCCGTGTATTAACTATCACTGCTGATATCATCATCACAAGAAAAATATACAAGTTACAACAACATGAACAACGAGGGAAAGAAAGCAGGGCGACAATTGGTAAGAAGAAAAAGCATCATTCATGGTTCATGGATGGGCTTTCCCGGTAGAGCCAAACAGGCGCATCTTCTCTGCAACCACCACTTTCATGGCATCCACTGAAGCGGCCATGACGTGAACCAGGTCTTTCCTCGGGCTGCTCAGGGAGTCCATGTAAGCTTTCCGCACCTCCGTATTAACGTTGAACTTCCTTACACCCCGTTCTATACAAGCCTGGTTCGTGGTTGTTTACCAATAGAAAACAGGAAACGGAATAAAACTGTTCAGACAAGACGAGCTCTCATGATGCTGATGATGGCGACATGGAAAAATCAGAGTAGTGTTACCTTGATGAGCTGCGGGGACAATCCAGAAGCTCCGTGCAGCACAAGGAACACACCTTTCTTCGAGCTCAAGGCATGTAAATCCTGAAGGAAAATCGACCCCATTCAGCAGTCATGGATAAACAAAATATTGCTCAGGAAATGAAAACAAAAAGGCAAGTGATTCCCAAGAATCACTAACCTTGAGCAAGTCAAGTTTGAGATTCGGTCCGGTTGGAGGGTACTTCCCATGCACATTTCCAATGCAGACGGCCAGTGCATCTATTCCTGTCTCCTCCATGAACTCTTCTGCCTGAGAATGTGATGGTCTAGTTCGGCTCAACAAATTCCAAACACCCCCATATCTGCTAAATTGAGGATTCGTTTACCAACCTGATTTACATCGGTGAATCTTGCTTCATAGTCTTCCACGGTCAAGTCGTCTTCTGTACCAGATAACCTTCCGAGTTCAGCCTCCACCAGGATGTCCTTGTTCTTGGAGTGAGCCAGCACTGATATGTACTTCGTGTACGAAATGTTATCTTTGAACGATAGATGTGAACCGTCTACCATCACTGAATCAAATCCCTGGAAATTGCATGGGTTTACCATTACTGTCATGTATAGTGGAATACATGCACTTTTAAGAATCATGGATCTTGTCACCTAGATGAGATTATAGGAATGTCCGTAATGCAAATGTTTGGTTTGAGGAAATTATAGTGGTGGCGCACCCATTCAAAGATTTCCAGAATGCATCATATCACATATTCTGAAAATATAGGGAGCTCCCACCCAAAAAAAAAAATATATATATATAGGGAGCCTGATGTACATGATGACTATATGCAGACAAGAGAAACTACAAATCCTTAGAAACCATGTATTCTCAAACTCACCGTATCCAATGCTTCCATCAACTCTTGCTTCAAAGTTCCATGATCAAAGTGAACAGTGATAGGAACCTGGCATTACAACATGAATCTTCATTCAACAAACAAAAGACCGAAATATTCTTTTCAAAAGTGAGATGATGCTACCTTAGCGTTTTTAGTAGCAGCAATGCAACAAGCCACTAGTGGCTTCCCTCCTTGTTTCAACGCACTGGGATGAATCTGTAAGATAGCAGGACTATTTTCCTCCTCTGCTGCAGCAACAACAGCCTGAGCTCCTTCCATATTGTACACATTGAACGCCCCAACGGCGTATCCACCTTCCTCTGCATTCTTTTGATCCAGAATACTCCAAATGTCAAACATCTTAAAGCATAAACTTACAACAACTAACACTGGCAACATTATCCTTACAAGAAGGATCTCTTTTGTCGACGAGATTTTGGCAGCTGGAAGAGCCCAAGATTTCACCACATCTGCAACTGCTTTACTATCGCCAACATTACCTGATAAGGTGAAGTTCTTGTGTTTCGATTCAACTTCTTAGAATGTTAATAAAAAACTAGATAAAAACTAAAGTTCGTATTTACCAGGAAAAACAATGTATGGAACACCAGGATGTCTACTTTCTGGACCAAGCTGCCATAAGGGAACACCAGCCAAGGCTTGTCCAACTATTTTGGCACGCTTTGCTCCTAGAGCCTTCGTAGCAAGATCTGATGAGGTGATTCCACCCTTGAAGAAGGCACACCAGTAGATGGTGACTGAAGTTTTTAGACAAAAACACATTGGAACATGACAAGATGCTTGAGGCGTTTCGATAAAGGCTGTTGACATACCTTTGCAAGAATGTATCGAGGACTCACAGATATCTGCTTCACTATTTCCACTAAAGCAGAACTCACTCTGAAATTGATTTCCAAACTCTCAGAAGGAGCTGCTCAACATGGAAAATTATGAAAATCATCAGCCAAGTGCGTCTTCATTCAGCACAATATGAGAAATATGAGTAGGAGAGATTACAGACTTTTTCCTGTTATAAGTTCTCGACTGGTCATTATTAAAGTGTCCTTGGAAGCTCCCAGGAAATGGTTTGCCATCTCAGCTGCTCTATTTATTTCCTCTTCTCTCTCTTCCGCAGACTTTAGGGCTAATTTATCAACAGATACCTTCCCAATCAAACCAGAAAAAATGAGAGCAGTCCTCCATCACAGCCAATGAGAACAGCAGTAAGACCAAATCTCAACAGGAGACATTCTGCATTATGATCACCTCAATGCACTTTAACATATGGCCACATTGCAATTTAAGTTCTTCAACCTGTTTTGTTGTCTTCGGTACATACGACCCTACAACAATGAGTGCCCCTTCCATTTGTTTGTTAATTCCAAGATCTTTTGGAAGCATTGGAGCTTTCGGAATGATACCAATACAAGATGAAACAAAACTTGCAGCAGTGCGGCACAAAAAAGTTTTGCCCTTCAACTCTGCCTGCTCAGTTAAACATAGAGTTGTGAGTAAACCAGAGAGATCAAAGGAATAGGATTACTCCAGGACAACAAAAAAAAAAATACCTGGATCATTCCACATGAGAACACAGCCACGTCCCTTTCACTTGCTGCATTAACTATACATGTGGATTCCTATCAAGTCCAAGAACAGGAAATGAACATAACAAGACTCAGCAAATTTCCAAACTTCAACCCAGAAATCTCATTGAAGAAGGGAAAATTGTTGACCAAACAGTACCTTAGGCAGACCACAAAGAAGTTCACATACAGCATCAGGTCCACCCTTCCTCAATAGTTCGATAGATACAGAGGTGACATCCCGGGCTGGAATTCTTCCCTTAGTCTTTTCTTCAACCCACTAGGAGTTTTTGTAAAAAGTTGAAAAGTTAGGTTAAGATCCAACCCTTTGCAACAATAAAGGGAGAATTTCAGAAGATAACCTCACAAAGGTTTGAAGATTTATATCCAAAAGCAGCATCCTTAGCAAACTCTGTATCCCCAGCAGGAACAAGCCTAGAAGTATTGTTTTTTACACGTTAAATGTACGTTTTATCACATTACAGACAAGATAATCAGGATTCAAAGAGATAATACCTATTAGAATCAGCAACATAGTGTATATCATTGATAGTATAGCGGCCTCCTTGAAGGAAAAATGGACAGATGATCCAAGCATCAACCTCGCCAATCACTGAGACAGCTGCATCTGCTTCCTACAAAATGATTATCTTGTAAGCTTATGCCCATTATTGTTGAAAAGCTAACTGGCAAATTTGAATTATTACAAGGCCTAGAACACTACCTCTGGGAAATGACCGCGTAAAGTTGAATCTCCTCTCAAGACTACCGTATAATCAACATTTTCAACTCCTCTAGCTGCAATACTTAGGTTGGTACACACATCTTTTACCAATGAGCTAGCCTGTAAGCATTTAATTTATGGCTCAGGAATAGGTTCATCTGCTTGTAAAAAACAGATTTAAGAACTTGAGCACCATGATAGTTGAATGATCTATTTACCTTGTCAGAACTCAAAGCTCTAGAGTTGGTTAAAATGAAAAAGCAGGACGGCTTTTTCCTAAACTGATCAACAAGTGCCTCGGTGCTCCTATGAAGAAAGCAATATATTTGTTGCATCTTTATTTGTTTGGGAAAAATTATCAGCTTTTATTTACACACAAAACAAAACAGAGAAGAAATTTACCATTCAGTTAACACTTCAATATCGTGAACAGTTTGGGTACCAGTCGGATCATCATCTAGAACTACCAAGGTTTTCAGATTGCTCTGGTTGAGTCTATGTATATCATCAATAGGATCCAAGGGCCATTCATGTGGAAGAGATAGCAGCACAACATCTTTCTCAAGAATTGGAAGCTTTCCTTCAACTTTTACTCCTGTGAGCGTTTCATAAACCTGTCAACATTCATACAGTTAAAAAGAAACCTAAATTCTAAAAAATGGATGTAATGTGCATTTGCCGTGACTTCTGCATACCCTTACAACTCCAGCATCATCTTGCCGACCCCAACCAGCAGCAGAACCTGTGGAAGAACAAAAGTATGTATAAAATGGAGGACAAAACGAACGGCAGATGGTAGTAGAAAGTTATTGAACCTGCCAGGAAGAGCTGGTTTGCCACTGTTGCAATATGAAGTGGAAGATTTCTGGATGAACATTCGTTACAAACAATTCCCTGAAAATATTATAGAGATTTGATTAGTAACTAGCTTAGAACTCATTGCAATAGTTTTAGAATAGGAATAAGGTGGAAGAATATGAGGACACACCAAATCCTTCACAAAAATGTCAAGTGCAGAATATGGGGTATAATCATTGTCCAACATGTGTGGGACCCGATTCTCAAACATCCTGCAACGAAATGAGTATTGCAGCCAAAGGTTAGCAATCAGCTTCCGAAGTTATACACTTAACTATGTAGCAAGGATGCTAGCTACCAACCAAGATGTAGCTCCGCTATTTGCTATGGATTGAAATAGTTTCCTTGTATGCAGTCCTAGTCGAGCTCCAAAAGCCATTGCTTCAGCTGCTGAAGCTATATGAACTCCAGCAAGCAACTGATTAACCATTTTTATGCCACTACAATGATAATTCAAAGCAATAGAATGAGAAATTCCACACAAGAAAAAAAAAACAAAAATCCTTGAACATCTGACATTCATAAGATAAGGAAAATCAATATCAATCTACCTTCCAGCGCCACAGCCACCTTTAATGACATAAAGCTTCTCACTCATAGCTGTTTTTACCCAGAAACTTAGGATTAAGACACAGTCAAATAGACGAAACTCACCTAAACATGGAAAATATACACAATTCTAGTTACCTGAGAGAACAGAACCAGCACATTCAAGAGCTTCAGGGGTACCAGAAGCCATAATCTGATAAGCATATGAAAATATCATTCATAACAGAGCAAGTAAAAGCACCATAGCTGGCTAGCTGTTAAATAATTAAGCAATTGCATTTTAATCGGACCGTAAGTGTTCCATCAGCAGCTCTCTTAACGCCACCAGAAACAGGAGCATCCACAAACTTCAATTTCTTGCCCTCATCTACAAAAGTTGCATGTTATAGATGCAAAGAAAGAGACAAATGAAACAATGATATGCATGAAATAGACATACTTATCAACCGCTGTTCCAGTTGGATTACAAAAGCAGGAGATACTGTGGAAGAAAGGATGACAGCTGCTCCCGCAGGAAGGACTGCAACCAGAGCAGATTGAAGAGATCATAAAATGAAGCAGTTACTCCCACGTGAATCTCATTTTTCCATGTGTGGTAAACGGATGCAGATATGGTCAGCCCTCAAATTTCAAATATTGTTGGTTACTGAAACTGGAGCCGCGAGTACCTTTAACAGCACCAAACTCTCCATACAGAACACTATCAGCCTGAGCTTCATTTGCAACCATGACTACAAGCACATCAACATCTGCCCAATGGAGAACAAAAGAAGCAGTCATGAAATCATAAAGACAATCATAACATTCAACAATATGCATAGCAAATATCAGAAATGGAAGTAGGAGAGTAACACAAATTACCTTTAGATACATCTGCAGGAGATGCGCCAATTAAACCTCCAGCATCAACAAATCTTGCTAGAGTGGGCTTATAAACCTGCAGTCCAATAAAAGTATCTTGAAAATGATCTATGGAGACCATCAAATAACAGTTACATTACCACTAAGCTTCAGAGATAAATAGTACTTTAACCAGGTTTCCAAAGGAAATATCAGCTAAGCAAATACAGCCAATAAACAGCATTATTGGAAAGGTCAGAAGCAAGAACAAAAGGGTAGCGGAAGTAAACAATGAAGTTTACATCGAATCCAAGGACACAGAAATTTGACTTCAGCAGGTGAGTTGCCATCCCAAAACCCATTGCTCCAAGGCCAATGAAGCCAACACGCTTCACAGCAGCAGATTTGGTGGCAACTTGCAGAGCCAACTGCTCAGGGCTGTACAGTTCAGCATTAGCTGCATCTTGAATATTTAGTCTCAAGAGTTTCTCCCAAGCCTGGAAAATACCTCTGGATTAATCAAACGAAGCAAATTTTACGCAAGTGACAGAAAACATAAAAAAGGAGAAAACTAACCTCAACCAATGGGGCGGCTACATCATTCCCAACTTGAAGACAATGTGAGGATGCTGGGGAAGAAAAAATATCACCACTGAAATTGAGATAGCATGTTCGTAATACTACAGGAATAAGCTCACTGGACAGTAATGTTACCAAGAATGAGCTGTCTATGAGCAACAGCCAAAAGTGGAAGAGGGAATGCGAGTGACTTGGCCATGTCCAACGCAGCCCTCTACAATTTGCAAAAGAGTACATCAATCTAAAACAATTCTATGAATATATGCAAAAAATTGATCGAAAGTCAGGGGTGTTGCAAGGATCAATTCATTCTGGCATAAACACATACATTAAGTGAAGTGTAATTAAGGAATGATAAGTAGTAGTTTCTGATGCACAAGCAAGCCAAGGCATCAAGGACTTCATAACTACGTATTTCCATTGATAGCTTACCAAATCCTGCAGCAAAGTGCTAACAAAATCAGCCTTGATATCGGATTTCAGCAGCTGGGGCATATGATTCTCGAAAACCCTGAAATTCAACAAGGAAATGCAGGTAAAAACTAAAAAGCTTGGTTGGTTCCTGGCTCTGGAGGAAGCTGTTAAGATTGCGACCCCGGTTCCAGTTCAGACTGGTGGCTTGTTCAAGTTTTCGCACTTGGTAACTGCTGGGGCTACTGACTAGTTTAGTTCTTTGTTGTAACCATCTGAATAGTCATCGCCTTTCTAATCATTGTAGTTTTCTTAGCTTTCATCTAGTTCAAACTTGTAAAACAGCTTGGCTGCTAAGTGTCTGATGTAGAAACGTTTAACTGCTGGCCTCAGCAGTCTTGGTCGGTTTGGTCAAGAGGGGCTTCAATTCGGTAACAAAATTACCGGGGATAAGACTAAAAAGCTCAGGCAAAATTGTCAACAACGGTATACATTGCACAGAGTTGAAATCATGGATCAAACACAATCCCTTTTGCAGCTGATAATTCATTAAGACACTGGAGTGAGTCAAAGGGCATATTGAGTACAAACCATGAGTTACCGGCGGCATGGGAGATGATGTCATAAACAATCCAAGGGTGGATTCCTGCCTGAGCACCAAGAGCAATAGCCTCCATCGAAGCAACGAGATGAATACCTTGGAGAAGGTCATGCACCATTTTGGTTTTACTGTCAAAAACAGAAATCAGACAAACAGCCATGAGAATTGAGGAACCCAAAAGACAAAGGCAACTAAGCAATGGAGAAGGGAAGTGAGTTTTGATCAAATAAAGTTTCAACCTTGCTGTTGCGGCAGCGTCCTCTGCTTCACCTGCCGAGACATACTCAGTTGGTTGTGCAGCCATTGCTCTGTATAAGAATGGGAAAATCCCTACAAATTGAAGAGGGAGGTTGCAATTGGAGTAGAGGGTGAGAGGAAGAGAAAAACCAAGACAGGAACTTTGGGTCTTTGACAAGCTTTTGTAAACGAGAAATGGCACAACGAGTGGCACGGGAAAAAAAAGGGAGGGAGCTTCTTCTTCCTTCCCCTTATTTATTGATTATTGTCTTCTCCTTTCTCTTTTTTGTCCGTTCTTTGCTTTGGATTAACAATAATAATGTGTTTGGTATGATTGCTCTCCAGAGATAAGATCAGAAACCCACCCGAGAAACTATTACTTAACTGGCAGAGTGTACGGAGGTGGAGATTCTTTCTCTGAGTAGTTGGTTGGGATGAGAAGAAGACGAAGCCGAGGAGGCTTTCGCTCGAGCTGCAGAGGATGGGAAATTGGGTGTTTAAAAGGAAGCCAAAATGATTCCATCTACTCTGTTTGTCGGGATGTAGTACACGTCCAAATTACGTGGCAGCAACACCAACCCAGCAGCAATTTCCTCCATTACTACAAACTGGTACCTTTCATTGCTCTGTTTTTAATAGTGTCTGCCTGCTCACTCTGCCCACTGCTTCACTTAGCAAAAGGAAGCATCCACGAAATAAACTATCACTATATATATAGGAGTGGGTAACAGGAGTCGGAAAACATGTATTTGGGTATGATCATATCCGTCCTATTTTTTTAAGGGTTATAGCTAGGGGTGTGTCGGATTGGATAGACCTGGCAAATTACAACCCGACTCGTTGACCCGACCCGAAACCGCCCGAAAACTATGAATTTTTGTAACCCGAAATCCGAATGACCCAAACCCGATAACCCGTGATTTTTTTGGCTGGGTTGGGTAGGTTAGTGGGTCGACCCATTAGACCCGTTCCATTTAATATATTACTCCTAAAATATGATAAAATCACTCATAAATTGGTGAGATGTTTAAGAAAATCACAAGGATTTGAATGACATGTTTGGAGTTTAAGGATAATCAAATATCATGTGTTTCTTGTAGCAGTATTACTCTTGTGATTGTTTTTTGACAATTTGCGCAATTTATATTTCATTTCATTAGCGTGGGAGGATTTGAAAATATGTTAATTGCCATGTGTTAGATAAACTATTGTCATGCATATGTGAAAATTTGTGTTCTTTAAGAAAATATGAAGCATGTTTGATATTGTTTCTGAGAACGCTCATAACCCGAAATGACCTGTAACCCGACCCGAAGCCGAATGGGTTGGGTCAATATTTGACCAGAAATAAGCCAACCAAACATGACCCAACCCGTAACCGAAGTTCCCAACCCTAAATTACCCAACCCGACCCGATTGTCAGGTCTAGGACTGGACCACACCGGATCAAAACAAAGTTTGGGCTTGACCGGACCCAACGGCAGATCATGAACACAGAAGAGCACTGGGCTGAATTTTATTATGAAATTAGAACCGTAAAAACAACATAATGATTATAGTTTTTTACTTTTTTTGCAATTTAAATTGTACTTGATGACATTTTAATTTAGAGAATGCATCAATAATATAGTCTACAGAGCAATCGGCAAGAAATTCATCGCTCATTTTGTTGAGCAAATCAGTTCTCGCATGTTTCATTGTTGAAAAGGGTCTCTTCGTAGTAGCTGTTGAAACGAGCAGCATCAACACTAGAAAAATCAATCGACTAAGGGGTCGTTTGGATGAGGAATTCTAATGGATCAATCTGACACAATTGTCTCATTTTGAGTCAATTGTGCTAGATTGATCCGTTTGACAGCAGAAAATTTGGATGAAGCAATTTGGGATGGGGAATTCTGAATTGACTCATTTTGAGCCAATTACAATTGTCTGGGGTGGGGGCAGATAATCTGAATTGACTCGTTTTAAATGACTCGTTTTGTAAAATGAAACAATTGGTCAATTTGTCTCGTTTTACAATTGATCCATCCAAACGATTAATCTTTGGGACTGAAATTTCTAGGCTAAACTTAAGTAGTGATTTGAATATGTTCATCTCAATCATTTTTCTAGTTATACTCAATCTTATTATAAATTAACACTGGGCTGAATGCCTAAATTCGAAAAATTGATAAGGATTATAGTAACTACGGATCCAGAGGAGGGCTAGGCCGGGGCCCAGGGTGGCCACCCCCTGGATCCGCCACTGACCTGACCGCACCGAACCGTGTATAATACGGTCCGGTCATTGATTCACATAAATTTTACAATTACTGAAAAATGATGGACCGAGCTGATATTTGGACCAGACTGAACACAATGATTGTCTGGTCCTTGATCCTAGGATGTCTTTCACTAATGGACCGCGATTCTCATGACCTGACCGGACCGAACCATTGCACACCCCTAACTATGGTTACCCAAATACCCGTTTTATTTATTGTGGGATTGAATTTGAGATTGTAAATTTCAATATTGAGTACTTGCGGGTTACTCGCTAATACCTATTTGAATAATATAAGTAGCCGCTATACCCAATATACATTAACCCAAATATGAAATCAGTTCTCAATCCCACCCAAGAAATATTTGCATGACTACAATGCTCCACTTTAGAGGTGCAGTAGGTTCTTAATTCTTATTGTCCCACCATTAGTAAAGTGTGAAGGTGGACTTATGGACAACAGTGTTGGGTATAATAGGAATACATAATAAATAATTTTATTTTTCTGTACATATATACTCAAAACTCTTTGTAATTGATTCGTAATGCAGCTAGCTAGAAACTCTCAACAAACAAACTTGTATCCTGTATATAATTATGTTTCTACATCAAAGGAAATACATCTGCTATTCCATCATTCTTATTCTCTACAAGCAGCAGGTGTAATTTTGTTCAATTCCAACTTCATTTTTCATTTTTAAGGAGCTTATGGGTTGGGGACAGTAGTAGCTACTTCTATTTTCATTTTGTTTCATTGTAACTTTACTTTCATTTTCAAGCAGCTTATGGGGTTGGGACAGTAGTAGCTACTTCTATTTTGTTCCCAATACATTATCATTTTCAAAGAGGACTTGGGAACAGTAGCCACTTCATTCTTATGTCATTTTGTTTCATGTTTTATTTTATTTTAGGATTAATTGCATGGTTGGTCACTGAGATTATAAAAAACGTTCAAGTTTGGTCACTCGAAATATTTAAATCTATTGGTGGTACTTCATTTTACTAAAACCGTTCACGTTTGGTCACTCTCCGTCCAACTCCGTTAACTTTTGTTGATGTGGCAGTCAACTCTCAAAGTTGACCGTTAACTTAGTGACGTGACAACTAAAAAATTATTAAAAATAAAAAAATAAACTTTCATATTTTCCACCTCATTATTACATTCATTAAAAAATAAAAAACCTAATTTTTTAGTGTTATACTATAAAAAACGATTGAACAACCGAAAATGCTCCATTCATCCGACAAAGCATCTATGTTGTTCCAGTACAGCAACGATAATTGGCGGTATCGTCGGGGCCAAGATCGTCGCCAACTACCTGTTCATTGAGAATGTAAAATCCTTCCTCCTTTTCGCTCTGTTCCTTTCAATTTCCAAACCCTAGATTCAGCTTTGAAAGCTTCGATTGAGTTGCTGCCTCCGCTAATCTTCAATTCGATCTGATTAGAGGATCTTTAACTCGGAGATTGTTCTATTGATTGTCGAATTGTGGACATGTTTTGCCAGCAAATGCTGATTCGTTTGATAAACCTAGATAGGAGATATTACTCGTCGATCAGTAACCTATTGTTTTGGGCATATGTGTCGAATGTTTGTGATTTTGCCTAAAGGAAAGAACTTGTCTCTGCCCATTGATCTTGTTTTGAGGGTGTGTCAATTTTACTCTAATACCTTGGTATGGTACTGCAACTTGCAGGACTGTCTTGTTAAACGAGACCAGAAGAAGCAGCCTGATTCATCATCATCAACAACAAAATAACAAGGTGGGAGAGTGACGGTGCTGTTGTGAAGTCGTCTCCTTTGGTTTGTGCTGGTTCATTTTGCTTTCCTGGACTTGTTGCAAGTCTGGAATTTTAGTTTGGGATGTATTAACCCTTTGGACTTTGCTACGGTGACATGCACTTTTCGGTCGACCTCATATAGGATTAGGTCGACCTAATCTGTTGTTTCAGTGTAAAATCAGTTTCATGGTGCCAACTTCGGAGATTCATATCTTACAATTGGCTAGATGGAAATTGGAGATTAAAGGCTTGTCTTGAAGCTGAAGTGTCCCTCTACACATTAAAGTACTTGGGAGCTCAATAGAAAGTCCAGAAGATCATTTTTGAACCTGGCCAAAACTGGGAAACTGCCTGAAAATGGCTAAGTCAGGCAACGTGTTTGTCAAGCCTACTTTGGAGCTCAATTTGAGAAGCATGGATGCGAGTCAAGTCCAGGGGCCTCTACCACATTAAATTACGTATTTTATTATACAAACTCAAGGCATTGGATGAAAGATTGGATATCTTTAAGGCTTCAAACAAAAGGCTCGAAGTTGCTACGAAGGCTGTTTTTCTGGCAGCTTGCTTGTGCTCGAAGTCTGCCAGAAAAACAGCCTTCGTAGCAACTTCGACCCTTTTGTTTGAAGCCTTACAGATATACAATCTTTCATCCAATGCCTTGAATTTGTATAAAAACATACCTAATTTAACGTGGTAGCGGCTCATGGACTCGACTTGAATTCATGCTTCTCGAATTGAGCTCCAAAATAGGCTTCACAAACATGTTTCCAGACTTAGCCATTTCCAGCAGTTTCCCAGTTTTGGCATAGCCTTTTGATGAGGTTCAAAATGGTCTTCTGGACTTCCTATCGAGCTCTCTTCCACTTCAATATGTAGAGGGACACTCCAGCTTCAAAACAAGTAATTAGTCTTTAATTTCCATCTAGCCAATTGTATGATATGAATATCCAAAGTAGGCACCATGAACTGTTTTTACACTGAAACAACAGATTAGGTCGACCTGATCCTATATGAGGTCGACCGAATCCTAAATGAGGTCGACCAGATCCTATTGAGGTCGACCGAATTCTAAATGAGGTCGACCTAATCCTAACTGAGGTCGACCGGAAAGTGCAAGTCACCATGACATGCATGTCACCGTAGGCACACCCTAACCCTTTTTGTTGTGGAACGATATGGATGCTCTGTCGGATGAATGGAGTAGTTTCGGTCCTCGCTAATAATTCAATTGCTCGAGTTGATTTTTTTATTAGGTTTTATATTTATTATAATTATAAACCTTATTATAGTGTTATACTTTAATCCTCATGCTAGTAACTGCTCATCCTCACTAAGAAATTAGGCTTTTATTTTTATTTTTTAAAGAATTTAATAATGAGGTGGAAAATATAAAAGTTTATTTTTAATAATTTTTAGTTGCCACGTCACTAAGTTAACGGTCAACTTTGAGAGTTGACTGCCACATCAGCAAAAGTTAATGGAGAGTGGCCAAACGTGAACGGTTTCAGTAAACTGAAGTACCACCAATGAATTTAAATATTTCGAGTGACCAAACTTGAACGTTTTTTGTAATCTCAGTGACCAACCATGCAATTAACCCTTTTATTTTATGTTATTTTGTTTTAGGTGTAACTTTGTAATTGTGTCTCATGCTAAACAAGTTTAAACGGGTAGTTTGGGTACTCGTTATCCCTCCCGTATGGGTAACGGATACCCGTTACCTGTACGGGAGGGATACCGTTAATCCGTACGGGTTTGAGACATGGGATGGACTTTGAACTTTAAATAGGATTGGGTACCCGTTTCAAACGAGACGGATACCTAGTCTGGTCCCGTTTCCCACCCTTAACTAGATAGATAAGAAGCCCAGGAAAGCATTTGTCGAGTTCTTTGAGTTGTAAGAACCTCATTACAAGCCACCAGGGGAGGAATTACAGTGGGTTTTAGAGGAGTTCCTTTTACCCGAAAATCTCAAGAGTTACGTATAAAATGAATTGAAATATTATGTAGAAACTAAAAATGGTATATATTAACTAGAACGTGCAAGTTGTAATTATGAAATTTTG